AAACAGAGTACTAAATTACAAATAGCTGGTCTACCATCTGAAAGTGCCATATTTTTCAGCATTATTCAAGCATGAAACTGCTGATTTAGAAGCAATTCTATTCATTTGGAGATTAATAAGGGATGTGGTTTCCTATTGGTGTTAATCAGCTCAACAATGCTAACACCACTGTGGCCATCATCAAATTCTGCTGTTGTGGTTAGTGTGCTTATTTTGCATGCATTTAAACTTCAATTGAATTGTCACACACAATGTTTTCCTCTTCAGGACATCTATTTATTTATTTACTTACTTATTATTTACAGTGGTACCTCGGGTTACATACGCTTCAGGTTACAGACTCCGCTAACCCAGAAATAGTGCTTCAGGTTAAGAACTTTGCTTTAGGATGAGAACAGAAATTGTGCTCTGGTGGTGCGGCGGCAGCAGGAGGCCCCATTAGCTAAAGTGGTGCTTCAGGTTAAGAACAGTTTCAGGTTAAGTATGGACCTCCGGAACGAATTAAGTACTTAACCCAAGGTACCACTGTATTTCAGAGTTCTTATACCCTGGCAATGCTTAGCCTAAACTCGAAACAGCATCAACACTGTCAGGTTTCAAAGGTCTGAACAGATATAAATATATTTTCACCTGTTGTATAAATATAGATAATGTTAAGCAGAGTGGGTGTGGGGAGGATTTGGCCCTTAAGATGTTGCTGAATTACAACTCCCATCAAACATGATCAATGCCAAAAAATGGCGGGAGTTGTAGAGGAGCAGCATCAAGAAGATCAAGAACTCTTTTGTGATTTTTCATTGGTCCTAGACAACGCATTGGATTATTGCAGCTGAGTTTAACAAAGGTTTGTTTTAATTTGTCCGCAGGGCCAACAGCACTTGGTTAGCTGCAACAATATGTTTGGGCTCCATTGTTGTGGTTTAAAGGTGGCTTGTAGAGGGAAATAAATGGACAACTGTTCCTGGCACAGCTGCGTTTGTATGTAGAGCAACACACTGTGAGTCACTGTCTTGCTGCTCTCCCACAGGAATGCCATTGTTAGCAGAGAAGGAAGCTGAGTCACCAAAGAAACACTTAAAAGGTTGTTCTGATGGGACTAAATTATGGCACACAGAAGTACTGCCGTTCCCTTGTATTTATTATTGTTCCTATTGAATACAAACAGGAATTAACCAACCATCCTAAAGCGTGGCCCCCTTCAAAATGGATTTGTATTCGAAACACAATGACCATCGCGTTCCTACTTTCCTGCCACGCTCAAAAATGGAAATGGGGCTTGACTTTGTCTTTGAACTTTACTCACAGAATTAGGCCCTGTGAATTAGGCAACTTTCACTCTGACAGTCACGAAGGGAGATGTTACATCCCCATGTGCTTCTTTTCTTACGACTCCTTCAGGAGGTTGTGGACTCTCCTTCGTTGGAAGTTTTTAGGCAGAGGTTGGATGGTCATCTGTCATGGATGCTTTAGCTGAGATTCCTGTGTTGCAAGGGGTTGAACTAGATGACCCTCAGGGTCCCTTTCCAACTCTATAATTCTATAATACCCTTTGAAAACAGGGAGAGAATCTGAGGGAACACAGAAGGCCACCAAAAGGGCTCTTTCATTAATTTTTTAAGAAGAGTTTGGATTTGATATCCCGCTTTATCACTACCCAAAGGAGTCTCAAAGTGGCTAACATTCTCCTTTCCCTTCCTCCCAGACAACAAACACTCTGTGAGGTGAGTGGGGCTGAGAGACTTCAAAGAAGTGTGACTAGTCCAAGGTCACCCAGCAGCTGCATGTGGAGGAGTGGGGAATCGAACCCGGTTCACCAGATTACGAGTCCACCACTCTTAACCACTACATTTCAAAGCAATAGTCTATACTTTTGAGGCCTAGAACTAGGTTGCTATTTTCTACATAGATAAAGATAACTGGAAAGAAGTAATACAAACGTCCAAACTGTTTCCTTGGTTTCTGGAAGGAAGTGGAAGGAAGATGAGAGCTTCTGGGTTGCTGGCAGCAATAAGTGTCACTATACGTTCCAGCTTCTTTAAGTTCGCTGCACATTATTAACCAAAGTCAGGAAAAGAAATCAGAGTAAATGAAAAAAACCAATCATGATTGTGTCATGCCAGCTGCCTGGAGTTTGCTTTATGGAAACGGTAAACTTTAGGTTAGGAAGACACGAAAGTATTCTGGTTGCTTGGTTACACAGACAGGCTGTTGTTTGTTTTGAATGCTCAGACTACCTATCCTACATGCTTTTTCAGGGGAAAACAATTAAGAATGAGGAACTGTCAAAGGAAAGGCTCACCAATTCAAAAATCTTCATCTAGTCACTATACTGTGTCAATTTTGCCTGTGGAGGTGGCTTGGGCAAAAACAAGCCCCATGTGAAAAACTCAAGTTACTTTGTCAGAGAAAATGCTAGTTGAAGAATTTTGTGTGGTATGGTAAGTTTCCCACATGCAAAAGCATATTGGGTTTGAATATTATAATGGTGCCTGCCTGCCCACCCAGTCCCGTAAGACTCCTGCAAAGAATTTTGCTGGTTACAGTTCTACTCATTGTATGCAATCCTGTCCACACTTACCTCGGAGTAAGTCTCATTGACTATAGTGGAATTTACTTCTGAGAAATGAGACATGGAATTGTGCATTCAGAATTAGAGTTCTCAGGAGAGAAATGCCATTTTAGTCATGGGACGTACTGAAAACAATCAGCCATTTTGTTATCTTGCATGGACCTAAGCCTCAGAAAGGCCTTCTCCCTTCATTTAAAAAAAAACTAGCTTTTTGAACAATATAAATAAAAAGGTCATCTCCCCTTCCTCTGGCTTTCTTTTGTAAGCCACATGGATTTGTCACCTAAGTGAAAGAGCCTGGGAGAGGGGAACACCCTTTTCCTGTGGTTGAGCTCAGAATTATGAAATACCAACATGTTCAACCCAAACCCCTAACTTAATTTGAACTCACTGCATTCCATGGCAGTTTGTTCCACCCACTAATTCTCACCGCCTTGTCCCTGAATGCATTACTTAAGCACTCAGAAATCACTTCAAGTGATGTCACAACCTTAGCATTCGGGTATCACGGCCTTCCCAATTAGCACGCTGACCCATATTTGCAAGTCTTTGTGGAATGATATATTCATAACATGAACGCTGTGAAGCATCAAACAGCCAAGGAAACATGAATTATTGCTCTGGTCATATTGCATTCCCACCCACTCTTCTCCCCAGATATCTCAGCCTGCTGTAAGAATTTAATATTCCCATTTTGATGCACTATGGGGGACACATTCCTCATAATGGAACTCACCAGCAAACAATGTAAATATGAAAACCAGTGGGGGGGAGGAGGTGTTGCTTGACGGTGGGTGATGGCAATACATATTTGACAGAAGCAAGTGATTCCCGGCACTTAGAAGAATTGATTGTAACCTATTTAGCAGTCTGGAGAAAGAGTACTTAGTTGCTTCTCTCTCACTTTTTCTCTCTCTCCTGAGCTTTCAGCCAACTCTGCTTGGATTAAGACAGGCTACTTAATCTTTAAAATATGTGTTTCCATAACAAAGGACAGATCATGCATAAATTCTTCATATGGCCGTGCAAGCCAGAGATGGAGAGCAGGGAGGGCCTACTGGAAACACACACACCCAGGGTGCTGTGTGTGCGCTAACATTGTTTTGTTCTTTCTGAAAAGCAGCCTGTTTGCAGGGCTGCCACAAAAAGCTACCCAATTAACCACTTCTAGCCTGGGAAGAACTAACAGCAGTGCTATTTCCCTTCCTTCCTTCCTTCCTTCCTTCCTTCCTTCCTTCCTTCCGCCTTTAGTCATGGCTGGGAAGCAGTAGTAGTGCTGGGTGGTGCAGGGGAGAATGAGTGGGGAAGGAAGAAAGAGGGAGCTAAAAATAAAAAGGGTATTTTGCCTTCTATTTAGAGTTGTTCTAATCTCTGTTTGCTAATGCCATCCAAAATGCAGATCTAGTGATTGTATGCTTCTGAGGGATAGTCTAACCATAGGCTAGCTTCTCAGGAAGCAAATTATTTATGTTAATAATTCTGCGCCATCAGAGGTTACACTTTGAACTAGATTAGTCCCCTGGCTGAATGATTAACCACTTCCTGTTCTGAAGAGAAATAAATGAGGCTGTGCTAGAATTTAGATGAGAATCCTCATTGCTCTGCTTTCAGAGTGGGAAGAGGCAAAGGAGTCGTACATGAAAGGGATAGAAAGGTGAGAAGTTACAGGGGAGAGGACACAAGAATCCTAGAATTGTAGAGTTGAAAGGGACCATCAGGGTCATCTAGTCCAACCGCCTGCAATGCAGGAAGCTTTCACCCAATATGAGGCTTGAACCCACAACTCTCATATTAAGAGTCTCATGCTCTACCAAGCTGAGCTGAAGAGCACTTTGTTCCAGAGTAAATGGGTAAGGATACAGCAGCTTTTTGTTTCTTTCACTGCTCTAGAACAGGGCTTGACTGGATACCCCGAGTGGCCATAATACATTAAAAGGAACTAACAACACAATTTAGATCTAGGTTTTTCTCCTAGTGGAATTTTAGAAGCTATTGCTCATGGGCTCAGAGGCACTGTTCAGTCCAGGAGCCTCAGGTTCAGGTAGGAAAGGCATTCATCTTTTCACCTGCCAATGACATGTGGCTATCTTTTGCTCATAGTGAACTTTTGAAGCAGGACAATGTGATGTAATGTCTCATCCAGCACAGACCGTAAGACTCGTTGTTATTAATCCTTAACTATTTTAAATTGTTTTTGGCATGCCAGGCCAAAATTCTTTCTTACATTCTAAGGAACTTAGTACTTACATTCTAAGGAAACGTCTCAGATAATTTTTACTTTGCTTTCCTCTCATTATAAAGAACTCTCAAGTGCAGGCAGCAAAATTAAGAAATGAGGCCACACCCTAATGATCCCCCCCACCCATATTGTTTTACTGGAAAATGACAGTCTTGTTTAAAAAAAAATTAATTATTATTTTTGCTTACAAATGGTGTGATGCTTAATATCTCTTGGGGTACATTTGACCACAAAGCCAGACTGAGGCAGGATTTCTTTTCATGCTGATTTTCACAATTTCTTCTATTAAAAATATTACTTTTATTATGCTGTTATTCTAATAAATAAATTTGTGTAATACATTATTTATTCCTATGTTTTTTGTCACTTCATGGGAAAGTAAAATCTTATGCTTTATCAGTTAGGTACATCCAAAACATGCATAGCACAAAACTGCGTACCAACCATTCATCAATCATTATCAAATGTTTATTCACCCGTTTGATCTGACATAATCTCATTTTCATGTATTAAAAATCATGTAATGTACTGCATTGGCATAAATTAAATACACTTTTCCTGATCAATCTCAGGCTTAAGTCAACCGTGCTCAGTGACAACACAATTTTTGATCCTCAGAATCAATTAAATACCAAGGGAGTTGGATCAATATATTATTGAGTCCTTCCAGTAATTATTGAGCTCTGCTGTGCAATAATATACAGACAGAAAAATAACACTAGCTGATAATTGTGGAAATATTTGCTTAGCTAGCAAATATTCATTGACCAACATGGCTAATGTTGACAATCTTTAAATCACTTTTATCTGCATGCAAAAATAAGGGCAGTGAGAGCACAGGCCAGTCACATGTCATTACAGACTTCCATTCTTGGCCTGTGACCAGGTGGGGGAATTCCCCAAATAATAAGTCCTTTGACACACAAGGCTCTGGATTGTTAAGAGGCTGGATTTTTATTTTTTTTAATGCTTTCATCTGTCTCTGGGTAATTTGATTAGACACATACAGTGGTGCCCCGCAAGACGAATGCCTCGCAAGATGGAAAACCCGCTAGACGAAAGGGTTTTCCGTTTTGGAGGTGCTTCGCAAAACGAATTTCCTATGTGCTTGCTTCGCAAGAAGAAAGTGTCTTGCGAGTTCCTGCGGGGGTTTTTTTTCCTTCCCCCCCCCTTTTTCCCAAGCCGCTAAACCGCTTATCAACTGATCGGCTAAGCCGCTTAACAGCTGATTGCTAAGCCGCTTATCAGCTGATCGTTAAGCCGCTTATCAGCTGATCCTTAAGCCGCTTAACAGCTGATCGCTAAGCCGCTTATCAGCTGATCCGCTAAGCCCGCTAAGCCGCTAATACTGTAGCGCTAATCCGCTAAACCGCTAATGGGCTTGCTTCGCAAGACGAAAAAACCCGCAAGACGAAGAGACTCGCGGAACGGATTCTTTTCGTCTTGCGAGGCACCACTGTATTATCAACTGATAGATTAATTTCAACTGGATTTTTCTCCGCATAACTCTCCACTGTGAATCCCCCCCCCCCCCAAAAAAAATAAGATTCGTGGGCAGAAAACTTCATAGTGGCGCTATGTCAAGCAAACATGTTTGATTTCTGTATCCAATGACAGAATTAGTATTTGACAATGCTTGGCAATTGATGCGCACAGATACCAAGGATCTTAATGTACTGTTATCTGACATGTGATAATATAGAACTGTGGTTTTCAGATTCTCAGGGAACATTTTCTACCTTGTCCTGTCTGACAAAAACGCATTGCATATCTGCCACACAACTTTGGTACATTACAAAAGCGTCTAGGCCAGATTTAAGGGATTCTGGAATTCATCAGCCCCCAACAATCCTTTGTAGTGTGCAATTCGTAAAAGATGAGCAGTGGCTGGCCAGCTATCTACCAGGAGAGCCTGTCTGTTATTATTGATCTTCAGGTTCCCCTTATTCCCTTCCTTACCTTCAAAACAGGATTGAAAACCACTTGATGGCTGCAATCATATTTAACATTTGACAGCCTTTGAATGCAGCAGCATTTTTAATCTTACAGGGTTAACTATGAGATAATGTTCAATGGTAATTCGTATTTAACAGTTGTCCATTTACAAATCATATTTGACATTTCTCAGTGTCAAAAAAGCCAAAAAATCTCTGGTATTTATATTCAACTTCTGAAGATAAGAAAATTCAGACTTGAAAATGTCATACTATTATGAATGGCATAAGCGAAAGGAAAAAAGGCAAATTTAAAATACTTACAAATATTAATTTCACTTGGTGGATGCAGATTTTTAAAAATAAGGTCTCAGCATCTGCAAAAAAGGGATGTTCTTTGTGCTTAAAGATGGAAAATGTTATTTGCTTCTAGACACAATTTATTTTCTTACTCCCCAACGTATAAAGTAGATTACACGTACATCCCGAATTAAAATTTATTTTCCTCCCTATATTTCAAGGAAAGGAGACCTGTACAGAGGATAAATAGTTCTCAATAGCCAGACCAAAAATTACAGATAAAGTCAAAGAGGAAGTAGATCATTTGCCTCTCTATTCAAAATTTAGTTGCTGAGTAGTAAAAATTCAAGCATTTCAAAATAAAGTGGCATTAATTTGTGTTCCCTTTTTAAGATGCTGCATTTTATTGCTATTAGTAATTTTGTGCAAGCCACTTTATTATTTTATTTTTAAAAGAGCAACCCATAAATGAAATGAAATATTTATGCACACCTGGTATAACATGAGGCAATTTCAACAGTTAGTATATATTAACCAAGAGATGTAAAATGTATCTACATAAAAATGTACACCTCTTTGTTAATAAGTACGTACCAAATTCCTGTGTGGACCTCTTGCAAGTACATGCAAGTTTTACCTGCACATGTAAACTAGCAAATAGATATTTCAGTGAGTCCTTTTCTCCTGTGTTTGGAATTCAGAAATGCAAAACTATGTTCCGAGAATGGGCATTTATTTAGTTGGGCTCCCTAAAGTCCAGAGCTGCTCTGTTGATTTGGATGCCCCACAAAAAGCTGCATTTGTAAAACAACCGCTGTATTTTATTTTTTTATTTTATTCTATGTGGAATCAAACTGACTAGGGAAACATTTTGAGCTTGAATGGGGAGTGGGTGACAGAAGGTACCTTCTAGGATTTAATCACAGTGAATTATCAAACTGAATGACAAAGAGCTGCTCTGAAATAGGTCAAGATGCCTCCCAAAATTACAGAGAAAAACTGAATCTTGTGGCCCATGCACACCCTTAATACGCAAATAAATAGTGTTATGGTGCTTGTAGTAATTTAATTGTGAGCTAGAAAACTGAGATTTTTCAAGCGACCCACATCATCGCCACTGCCTTGACTATTATATCATACCTCACTCTTGCAAGCTATACTTTGAAACAATGTGCTTATCAGATCGACCTGAGCATCAGATTTCCTCTTCCTATACTTAATGTCTGGGGCTGTTCCACAATATGATATTATTTAATTATCCGTATTTGGTTCCATGCGCTGTTCAGAACGATTGGTTTGGCTTTTGGAAAACTTAACTTGGAGTGTGTGTGTTTTTCTACAATTTATGGCCCATGGCTAACCTGGCTACCTAATAAAGGCTTGGACTTCAGTTTTTAAATGGTTGCATTGTGGCTTGCCCAGGCAGTCGCATTAAAATATGTAGATAGCTAGGTCACATTCCCTCAACCCACATTTGCAGGTCCATTTGTCTGTTGTGGAAAGGGATAATTTTCAGAGGAGTTAGGCATCCCCCCAACCCCCATAATGATGTGTCTCACTTGGGAAATTTATTACTATCTTTGGGTGCCATTTTTGTACCACCCCACTCCCAGGCTGATGAAAAACTATGGACTGACCACTTTGGCCCAAGTCTTGTTTCATACTTCTAGAGCATGGTTCTCGTGACTGCCATGCACTGATGTTTCTTAAATGCCACCTCCATGCTATTATAATCAATTTAATCTCCAGGCCATGAACGTTGCAGTAAGGTAATTGTTAGGCATAGCCTACAGCATACCCACAAATGCAGTAGATGCCATATAAATGCATTGTTCAACCATCCACAAACAACTGAAACCAAAGTACTCATTTATGTTGATGGAATTACAGGCCAAGGAGTCGACATTTACCAATTTGCAAAGCTGTCCTGTAGTGTCTCTACTTCCCCAAGTTTGTGGAGTTCTGAGAGACATTTTTAGTGTCTCACATTCTTCTAGTACAAGGCTATCCAACATGGTGATCTCCTGGTGTCATAGACTACAACTCCCATCATCCCTGACCACTGGCTATGCTGGCTGCAGCTGATGGGAGCTGTAATCCAGCAACATCTGAAAGGCACCATTTTTCTACCTCTGTTCCAGTAGTAAACAATATCAGCCAAAGAAGCCATAATAAAACAAGAACTGAATATCACAAAACATTTTTCTACCTTTCTTTAAAGAGATAAAACTTTTCATATGACTCTTGTGCCCAAGAAGATGCAGAGATTATCTTTGCTGTAACAAACATCACAGGTGTCAGAACCTTCAAGTCTGCGAAAAGAACTTCCAACTGGAGGAAAAAGAAATTAGCTAGAACTGGTACAGAAGTGCATTCATTATACAGAAAAGATGGTTTACAAAGTATTTTACACTGCAAAAAATTACTGTGGCATAAACCCAAAAATGACGCAATATTTGCATAGAGAAGTAATAAATATTAACAACTTTGCTGTGCATTAGGAAGGATAAAAAAAATCCTATTGATAAAAATACTGAAGCTCATTTCCAATTATCTTTCATGACCGAGTGATGTGGCTATGGTTCAACTTTTACATGAGCCTGAAAAAACTGTGATAAAATCTCCAGGATGTAGTCAATTGCAGATTTTACCACTGTGGAAACAGTGGCCCAGTTTGCATGGTTTAGCATTACATAAATAAACTCATGCACTATCCTCTCTTCCTCCTGCATAGCCAAGATGAGGGCTTGGGCAGTGTTTAGTTCTGCTTACATAAGAGTCCTTGCTTGCAATTGCATATGAATCAGAGGTCATGGTTTGTTTTTTTCAAAAGCAACTTCTGGTTAATGTAAAAGCCATGTTGCTTTAAAACTGACCAAAGTTACTTGTAAATCATGATCATGATTCATGCAAACTGGGATTCTGTAAGAGGAGAAGCATCACCCAAGTCGTATTCTTGCTCATTCCAGCCTGCGCATGCAGTGTTAAACCAAAGTTTAGCATTACATGCAAATGCAGCCAATGAGAAGAAATATTCACCATGTAAAAATGACAGTCAGAAGTCACATCATGGCAATTTCATCACCTCAAAAATGAACGTGAGAATTTAGGTTGGATAAAACTTAGTAAACGAAGCCAGTTTTACAATGTTGAAAGTCAACTGAAGCACAGCTTTAAATCTACTTTGTCTATCTACAAAAATAGGCAAAAGCAATACATTTCTTCATAAAATTATACATTTCCTGAAAATCCATAATCCATTAACAAATAAGTGCTAAACTTAGGAGAGAAAAACATGTCTAGCACACAGTTGTTTTGAACACAACGTTTTTGCATTTGTCTTAATACTGTATTTATAAATATGCTTGCTATTTTTCTACATCACCCTATCGAGTTGGTGGCATTCCTCCATGCTTCCCATTCCTTGTCAACACAAACCATTTCACACCTATGCATGCACCAACCAAGCAGTTATAAGTACCTTGGTTGCTACTTATATGTAATTCTGTAGGATCAAACCTCTTGGTGACTTCCTCCCCACACTTCCCTCCCACAAACTATATCACAGCACTCACATTTTGACTCAAGGCTGATCACATAGTACAGTTTCTCTCCCCCCTATCAAAATTAACGTGCAAAGGGGACAGGGAAAACAACTAGGTGATGATGGCTCCTGAGGAAACTACCATGGAAGGGAAGAATTGGAAACTCACCATGGGAATAAACGTTCCCATGACAAGAGTAGCATTTAGCCCAAGCCCATCTGCAGGTGCATAGCATTTCCAAACTCTAACGTTGCATTCGCTCCCCCCGTCAGCATTTTCCTTTGGTTCTGCCCTGGATATGATTCCATCTTATTTAAATCTCATTTCAACAAAACGAAACAAAACAAAAATGAAGTACTGTACAAAATCCACATCTATTAGTCCAGTAAAGTTCCCTTGAAAGCCTGTCCTCTGGGATCAGCCTAGTTAAACATGATGGATTCAGGGTCCTGATTAGCCATTTGAGCCATATGCCTTAACACGTCCTTTTTTGTTATGATGCCCAGAAGCCTCCTAGAGAAGAAGAGAAGGAAAGAAACAGAAAAGGTCATTAATCATGAGTCTGTCTCATCTGCTTCTCACATTCTGCTGCAGGCAGAACTTCACTACAAAGAAACAGAGCAATTTTTAAAAACCAGAAAATTGGAATATTAAAATTTTTTGATTCCCGCTAACGAATACACAGGTTGTTGAAGAAAACTCACAATACAATACAATACAATACAATACAATACAATACACATAACCATGCTTTTACTCTGGGTTTTTCCCACCACCACATTTGGCAAAATGATAAATCTGTCGTAGTTCCTCTAGCTGCATTCCTGAATATATGCTAGGTAAGGCTCATCCTTGGGCAAGTAAGAACTTATGCTACTTGACATCATCTCTCAAACCTCTTTCTGGAATAGTTTCTGGCCTGTAGGCCACAGCAAGCTGAGCTCAGCTCAAGCCAGACCACAAGGAGATGGATGCATACAAGAATCTCAAATGACTTGCAGCCTGAGGCCTTTAAACTGTGACCTGAACCAACTATCGATGGGCATCTTAAATGAAAGATTTCTTGAAGGCAACTGGATTTTATCCCCCACAACCCCCTGAAAAAAACTGATGCAATCTCTCAAGGATTATTCCATTTCACTGTTCGTACACAACCACATACGAGTGTATTCATGTTTCAGCTGTAGGCTGCCATGTCAGTTGCAGAAATGTAAACAGCACAATAGCTTGTAGGCAATAACAAAACAGCAGAATCATTCCATAGAATCATTCAGAAACTTACTCCAGCAGGAAAAATATTTTAAATCAATGCTGATTTATAAACAGTTTACTGCTGGAAATAGTATTTCCTTGTACGTTAACTGCCAAATTTCGAACGTAGACCAAATTGTCAATTTTTAGACAACCTACCAATAATCAACAAAGGAAAGTTAAAGATTTCTAACTTTCTATTCAAGAAGATGGGGAAAATGTAATAAGAAATATCTCCCACCAATACTGCGACTTTGATACAACGATCAGCTTTCATACACAGTATCTGGGAAATGGCTCTCAAAAAAATTACAGTACCTTATTTAACAGGATATGGCAATAACAGCTCTCTGAATTTACTGACGCATTTGGTCATATGTGCACCATATATTTAAAGAACATTTATAGCAATTTAGCACGGGGAATTTTCCCCAAAGGATCCTGGGAACTGCAGTTTTTTGGGGTGGGTGGGTGCGTTTTAAATTTTGAGAGTATTTGACTTCCCCACCTGCCTGGAAAGCAGACAAGAGTTTGGTTCTTAGTAAGTGAAGTTGACACACTGGCAGTTTTAAGGCAAAAATCCAGTGAATTCCTCAAGAACCAGAGAGTTTCCACTGTATCAGAAAAGTATGAGCTGTTGGGTTTAGAAGTCACTCTTCAATACCACCTTGCCTTCTACTTCAACTGTGAAATGAGCACTCAAAGCACCCAACCTTGAAAACGTTCTTTATAGCCAGGTACATCAGTTGTTCCACCACTGAAGCTTGGCCTGTGTCGTGACTTCAGACTGTTTAGAATCCAATTTGAGCTTCTGAGGGACATACTCTGCATTCCTCGCAAGGTCACGGTTTCACTCGAGTTAGCTTCTGTCTCTTATTTTTAATTCCTCACCTTCCTGTAGGCTCCCAAGTCATGTGCACTTTCCGTTCGTGGAAAAACAAACCTCCGCTGCTTAATTCCCTTCATTTGTCATTCAGTTCAGGATTTTCATAAGCACTTTAGGCGCAGTTAAATCTAGCTAGAAGCTCAACACACAAGCAAAACATTTGCTAACAATGACATTCTGCTGGCACTCCTCCCCAGCAGCAAAATATTTGGCAGTCATGCTGTCTGTAGCCACAGTTTAATTACATGCATTATGAATGCTGCTCTCATCAGGAGAGAGGGGTGCACGACTATGAGCTTAAAGGAAAAATATTTTCAAAGGGAACTAGTGATAAAGAATCTTTGGTAACCTGTCAGGCCCAAATTTGTACATTACCAGCACCTGCCCTTGCCTGTTCTAGCTACCAAGAACATGCAAGTGGAAACCTCCATGCTAATACCTGTTCATTTAGGAGGCCCCCCCTTAAAGTGTTTTATCTCACTCAAATAAAGAAAAATGGAAGCTGAACTGGCACAGGAGTCCCAGTTCACATGGTATCAGAAGTCTGTGGTGCAGAAGCTGGGCTGTCCACCCATTTCTCTATCTCACAAGGGCTGCCGATGCTGAAAATATTACAGACTGAAAGGTCTCTTGCACTCTGAATCTGGTTCTAACACCACTGGCTCCCAATATGTTTCTGAGCACAATTCAAAGTGTTGGTGCTGACCTTTAAAGCCCTAAACGGCCTCGGCCCAGTATACTGTACCTGAAGGAGTGTCTCCACCCCCATTGTTCAGCCTGGACACTGAGGTCCAGCTTCGAAGGCCTTCTGTCAGTTCCCTCCCTGCGAGAAGTGAGGTTACAGGGAACCAGGCAGAGGGCCTTCTCGGTAGTGGCGCCTGCCCTGTGGAACGCCCTCCCAGCAGATGTCAAGGCAATAAACAACTATCTGACTTTAAGAAGACATCTGAGGGCAGACCTGTTTAGGGAAATTTTTAATGTTTGATGTTTTATTGTGTTTTTAATATTCTGTTGGGATTCATCCAGAGTGGCTGGGGAGGACCAGCCAGATGGGTGGGGTATAAGTAATTTATCAACATCATCATCGTCGTCATCATGTTCACCTTCCATATGGATTAATTAACTGTTCCATAATTATTATTTTTTACAAAGTATCATTGTATTACAATTATAGCAGGTCACAGGTTGTTCTTGTTTTCATTCCCAAATAAATGTATTCACCTCTGCATCCCTCCATATCCCCAACCTTTGTTTCTAGAAGTAGGTTTGGAAACAAGTGACATTTGTTTCAGACAGTTGCTCCTGATTTTCCTTCAGCTTCCTAGCCTGAAGACTCACCCAGGCCATCCATTACTTTTCAGAAACAAACAATAATTTTCTAGTCATAAATAGTCTGAATCAAGCTAGGTTGTCTGAAGTGGTTCTCTACTACATTATATTTATGTGGACAGCCTACGAAAATCTAACGTATCCAATGAGCAGGGCAAAATAGCTCCGACTTATTATGCCAGCATCTTAGCTACAGACCCTTTTTTGCCTGCTCAGTTACATATATCCAGCCACTTACCCACTGCGTGTGACAAGACACTGCCTGAGTCCAAGCTTCCGGAAAATGTCTACCACTGTTTCCATGGGCGTGTGGTCTGTGACAGTAAAGGGGCTCAGATTGAGAATACGCCGGAGCTTCAGGGGGTGAGGGCTGTTTGCCGGGACTTCCGGAGGCTCTTCAGTGAAATAGATAATGGAATTGCTGACTACACCATCCTGCCGCTGCCTTGCATTTTCTACATTAACAGATAGATAAGGGAAAATACACTTAAAATGAATGCAACATCCATTCTCACTTCCTGGTTTGGGCAAACCATTGTTTGCCATGATGTTCAAACTGAGCAAATGGTAGTTCTAAAACAGAACTGAAAACCCATTTCAAACTATGGCTTCCTATTCTAGTTTAGAGCCAAACTATATCCCCCAATTTAGGTAAAAGAGCAATCTAAAGTTTACCTGAACAAGGAAGTAAGGCGACAGGGAGGAATCAGAATGCATGGAGGTTGGGTCTATTTAAATCATGACTCCTTCATAACAATTTTTGAAAAGTGTACAGGACCTAAAGTGATTACTTAGGTGTTCCTGAGTTAGTTTAATGGCCTACATTGTGGCAACAGTCCTTATTTGACTTTCAAAAATAGTTCTCTTAAACCAGACATGTCCAAAGTCCGATTTGGGGCCTAATCCCACCCACCTGTCATTTTAATCTGGGGTAGGTAAAATCATAAAACAAACTCAACAACTTCAATCCTAAAAAGGTCAACGACTTTGGTCGGCCTCATGGCCCTGCACTTCATCAAATGAAGCCCTCTTTGAAAAAAGTTTGGACACCACAGTCTTAAACAAATGGCATCCCTAAGTACCTATATTGCAGTATATATTATATACTATATATTCTAATAATGGCTACTACTATATCCTTCCCACTCTAATGTTTGCATAGAAATCCTCTGAACAATTATTGCGGAAGGATGCACTGAGATAGGCTAAGGCCCTTTACCCTCTCTCTCTCCTTTCCCTTCTATTTCCTGTGTGCATGCTGAAAGCTCAAGGACACGGAAAGCCATCTAAAAATATCCTGTGTTCAAACACAAATCCTAACTATAGCCAACAATTTTTCCTCTTGATTGATTTGAGTTGCGGCTGATCTTAAGAAGGGGCCTTTATTACAAGTGTGTGTTTGTATCTATACACACTTCTTTTCCATCAATCATGGAACACAAATATGACTCTAACTTTTAAACTCCAGAAACACAGGTTTTCCATTGCAATCCAGCTGTATTCTGTTAAAGGACCCCTGGAAAGTTAAGTACAGTCCAAGGCGACTATGGGGTACAGCGCTCATCACTTTCAGGCCAAGTGAGCCGGCGTTTGTCCACAGACAGGTTTCCGGGTCATGTGGCAGCAGGACTAAACCGTTTCTGGTGCAACGGGACACCGTGATGCATGGAAATGCCGTTTGCCTCCTGTAGCATCAGTGGGCTTAAAACTGCCAAATCCAAAGCTTTATCACCTTCCAATTTATTGCAGTTCACATAAACATTAACTTTTGTACTGTCTTCGTATGATACCCTTCGTATGTGCCCTTTATTTAAATTGCAATGTGCTTCCTGTCACCTACACCAGTCCTCCCCCCCCCCCCCCCGCACATACATTTCCCAAAACTCAAATGTAATCTTGTCAAAACCAGTTTATCAGACTTAAAACTTGGATAAGGTATGGGCCTGAAGAGTGAAAGAGAGAAATGAAGCATATATAAACTGAGGGTTCCTCTCTTCAAACAGTATATTCCTGTAACGCTGCTTTTGCCAATCTTTTCTGATGCGAGTTGCAGTTCACAACATTGGAAGGACCCCAGACTGGCAAAGTACAGAAGTAATAACAGAGGGGAAACTATGCTATGATGCTAATCCTGAAGGAATCGATAGGTTGTACCCAACATCCTCTGTCCACTAGCACAATGACTCTTGTGCTAGCCGATGAATGAGTTGCGGAATGAGGAATCCAACGCAACAGTTGTCCTAGCAGAAACTCATCGTGAAAGAGATTGCGCAATTTACTGCACAATGGCATTAAAAGCAACTTGATTATGCATTCTCCTGCAGAACACATTTGCCGCTGCATTGGATACAACCCCAACTATACTCTTTAAAGCAGAGCTTCAAAAGGAGGCATAAGTCCTACTCAGGCATTCAACCCGTACATGATTCCAGTGGAATGATGGTGGAGCAGGAATGCTCTCACTGGCTCTGTTGCCTCCATCACTTTCCACACATTGGTACGGAGCCTGCTCTGCAAGAGGTGAAGGCAGCAGGGCCAAGAAACAGCGGCCTCCACACTCTCCCTACCTAGTGAATCACCGAGATGACATGCCAAGCTTAGGTCTTTTGAGACCTGATACCTCATCCCTACACAGCTCTCTTACTCCTCTCCTCTGTTCTTCTTCTATGTCATCTATAGCAGTAAGCATGTCTCTGGATGATACAGACTCGTTACTTACTTATGGCAAGAATCAACTCCCGCCTCTGTGCAAAGCCTATAAGGCGTTCAGAGTCTTTAGAAACCACCACTGGAAAGCCGTTGTAGTCTGTCTCCTTGATTAAAGTCTCCACATCTTCCACCGTCATGCTGTCTTGGGTCAGGACGGAGAGAGGCGGCTCTCCGCGCCTAGGTCTCATGACATCAGTGGCCAGTGTTCTGTGGGTGAACTCATCCTTCACATCCAGAAACGGATAGCCGTTCAAATGTATGTGTGCCTCGTAGATCCCTTCTTTGCCAAAGGCATCAGCTACCCATTTGCTAGTGACAGCTGCAGCCATCAAGGGTACTATGTACTCCAATCCTCCTGTTAACTCAAACATGATCACAACAAGAGAGACTGTCATTCTGGTGACTCCGCCTGTCGAAAGAGAGAGAGAGGACCTTTGGTAATGAAAACAATTTGCAACATACATGGGTACCTTTAGCAGTATATCAGTATAACCTACGAATCCTAAATCAGAAGCACCATTGATTTTTTTAATATAAAGTTTATTTAAAAAAAAAACACAACCAGGCATGAGAGAGGTTAAAACTATTTTCTATAAAGTAGCATTACATCAGTAAATACATCCATGAATGTATTTCTTAAAACTTAAAAAAAGGTCCCAGCAATGAATCTCCATTGTGGGGATTCGAACCACCAACCTTCTGATCGGCAAGCCCAAGAAGCTCGGCGGTTTAGACCAGAGTGCCATCCGTGTCCCTATTTAAATACCACATTACATACAACCAAGAGAAAAGTCACATATTGTACCTAAACAAGCTGCAGCTCCCACCATGGCGTAAAGTCCTGGGGTAACACAGTCAGCTCCTGGCCTGCACCAGTTCCGGAAGATGATCCAGTCATGGTGATGGTAGGCCAACTGCTCCACTCCGATGCCAACTATTCTTCCAGCGATAGCTCCCACAGCCATACTAGGTATGAAGAGTCCTGAAGGGATCTCAAATAACATAAGCAGAAGTGAAAAGTCAGATTCTCAAAAGGTCAGCTTGACTACATATAATGAAGACGATTTTAAAGTAATACATAACTTGCGAACACATCTCATTCCAAATTTTAATCCACAATCTTTCTGTGGATTAAACCTGTTAAGTTTGTTATATACCACACTTAAAAAGGATACCTAAGCAGACGGGTTGAATGTAAGCTTTCAAAACTAGAGCCTACTTCTTTACATGTGGCAAAATATAAATCCAGCCACAAGGTAGGGTCACATCGACAAGGCAATGTTACCAGAATGTCAAGGGAAATCAGCCATACTTTACCAGCTCCCTCTGACATAAATGATACATACAGATCTTAATTTTGTCAGAGCTCAACAGCACTGAGAGGGCCACAGGTAGGGGCGCCTTCCTTGTGGAACGCCCTCCCTTCAGATGTCAAGGAGATAAAGAATTATACAACTTTTAGAAGACATCTGAAGGCAGCCCTGTACCGGGAGGTTTTTAATGCTTGATGTTTTTATTATGTCTTTAGATATGCTGTAATCTGTCCAGAGTGGTTGGGGAAACCCAGCCAGATGGGCAGGGTTTAAATAATAAAAATTATTATTATCACAGCCCTTGGGTTTTAAGCTTTTTCTTTCTTAGTCTTTTATGATACCCATATATGACTGGATGTATCCAACTTCGAGAGTAGTGCCTAAGATTGTCGTAAAAGCATTTCAGCTTTGCCTAATTTCATTTATAAATTTATTCCAAGTTTAGCTATTTTACATTTTCTTTTCTTTTTTTCATACAGCTCAAAACATGCATGCCTTTCCCGCCGCCTCCTCCTCTTTCTTGTCAGAATCTGATAACGATTCAGGCATGGTGAGCAAGAAAAGAATTATATCTGTTTAAAACATCTGAAAATGAGCCCCTGTCATTTTGGCATACTTTACAACTTTATTACTGCCCTTTTCTGTATAATTTAGATTGGATTTGAATTACATGTCAAACGCAGCATAAAAATGTTTAACAAGGAGCCTGGCTTTTCACAGGTGAAATCAGGCGGTTCATTCCGGCATCCCTGCTTGTCAAGAGCTTTGTGAATTACGCCTTGCCTTGCCTAGTGTGCAATCAAGTCACCAGTCAGAATAGCAGGCAGAAGGTGAAATAAAAACATCAGTCACTCCACTTGCTCACTCCATCCTGGCAAGATATACATTGCATATTTCATAATAAAGCTATTTCTCAAGCCAAGGCAAGTGTTTGTGCGTGTGTAATGAAATTGTTTAGCATCAAAGTCTGAACCCCAGTACCATCTTATTAAAGTCCAGTTAGTACTACAGAGATGAAATGAGAGAAGCAAGCCCTGTTGAATTCAACAAGGTTTGCTGCCCTGTAAGCAAGGTAGGATTTGCAGCCTTAGATGTCTTCAGCGCATAGGCTGACAATGTTAGTCTTCCTGAGGACACGGTAGGAGAAGAAACAAAATCTGAATCGGATTTCTCCTTTCACATTTCCAGTGAAATGCAATGTACAAAGTGGGAACTAGCACACTTTCCATGAAATAAGATGTCCCTGTACAGTGGTAAATTTAATTAGTTATGGAGGTCCGTTTGTAACCCGAAACCGTTCTTAACATGAGGCATGCTTTCGCTAATGGCGCACCGGTGTGCAACTTCCGCTGGCATCCCGGGGCAAAGTTTGTAACCAGGAGCATCTACTTCTGGGTTAGTGGAGCTCGTAAGCTGAAGCATTCATAAGGAGGACAGTACATAAAACGAGGTTCCACTGTATTTGGAGCAAGCACAGATCATTAACTCAGATTTCGTGCGAGTTTATTCTCCATGCCAGAATTACAAAATTAGGGGATATAACTTTATTTCTACTTCGCTTTCTTCTGCTTCCTTGTAATATGTGAAACCATTTCAATTAGCAGCAGTAAAGGACTAAGCTATGAGGCACCTTAGTAACTAACAAGGGCCAAGCAGCTGGATCTCTTTCTAGAAGGGAAGATATACTGCAACATTTTGTTGCAGTGCCCACTCGTATACAATAACAACCTTACCATTATTAATAAACGTGACTAACAACAAATTAACAGAGCATTTATATTATATATTATTATTATTATTATTATTATTTTATAACCCACCCTTTAATACATAGGTTCTGAGGTTGGTATACAACATTACATTAAGATACCACATAGCAGTATAAAACCATAAAATATCTAAACTCAGAAGCCATTGCGTGTCTCTTGATGCTGAATGTTAAGTTCAGCATACAAGTATACAGCATGCAAGCTTTTGCTGACATAGAAATAGCTAGCTCACTCTAAGTTATGTTCCCAAAGCTAATTTAACCTTTTCATGCTACATGACATGCATATCTTTTCCAACAGTTAAGCTCATATTGAATTCCCAATCTTTTGTGCGTGGAAGTTTTCATCTGTAAAAATTCCTCACCACACCTAGCCAGAAAAACAGGAGGTCTTAATTCAGTATTAAAATAAAGGTGATTTTTACAAATAAAGAAAACAATAAAAGACGAGCAGAGGAGAACATATAGCAGGTTTTCGTTTAATAAGGTCCATTTCCAGTTCACGGCCATGGAATGAATTTTTTGAAATTATACCAGAAAAGTATAGAATGGAAAAAGCACTTCAGAAAAGATTCTCCCCCATGTAGCGTTTTTGAGGGTGAAGATTGGATCTGGGGTGCTAACATTCTTACTTCGGGTCTGGGTCTGGTGGGCCAGAACAAAAACAGAGAGAGGCAACTATGCTGAGCCAAACAACCATTCCACGCCACTGGTATTTGTGTGTTTTTCAAGTTATGTCTCATACTTGCCCTGCAAACCTATCCGAGCTAATATGTGAGTTTTGTTTGAAAGCAAGCTCGTGGGATGCACACAAAATGAACTCTTAACAACACAGACACAAATTGGAAGGTCTTGGCACATGAATCCACAATCGGTCAAATCAAAAAGTTGCCACAATCAGATCATAAAGGGACCTCATGTGCTGTCAGCAGTTTAGGCATTCGGAACAACTCTGTCCAATTGCACATTCTCCCCAGCCTTTGGACACCGTCCAAAACAAAATTAAAATACTTCCAGTGTAGTTTTTGCCAATGGCATGACAAGTTGATTAGGCTGCCATTTAACATTGGTCAGCTAATGCAACAACTTTACTTCCTGTCAGCAGCCCATAAGTTCTTATTTCAATCCAGGGATTTCAGAAAAGCTTAAGGAGTCTAGAGAAGGGGGAAGCTGAGCCTTGCCAGAATGCTGCCATGTCAAAAATTCCTTCAACACAAGAAATAGGGAGGTGCCAAGTTGCTCATGTTACACTATTTGTGAATTGGGTTTATACAGTTTATCCTCTTGCCTCAGTTAAGAGATGCACAAAAGAGATGGGGGGAGGGGGGAATATATGACTCCATGTGCCTCCAGAGGGAAGTACGTCTCACACTTGACATCCAATTGATTTGACTACCCAGAATGCAATGGTTTCCAAGCTCTATTCTCTGAACTAGAATGAACTGTGCAAAAGAAAGCAATGGTTTCAAAGTGAGCATGCAGCATCTTAGTGCACACTGCCAAAACTGTGGGGTCTTCGCTCCTGCACTTCTGGGAGTTAAGCCATGGTCTGTTAAGGCATTACATCTAAACCACTTTAAAAAATAAAAATAAAAATTGGAGACCAGATTGCCACAAAATTGACACAGACACTGCAACTTACCTTCATACCAAAGGTAAATATTGTGATGATGATTTTAAAAACCAGAGCCAGGGCGAGTTGCCACATAGCCATGTACACTCCAATCCCAGCCGGTCTGTCAGGAATATCGTCCACAGGCCTCGTCATATTGGGGTCATTTATGTAGTCGCAGAGCTGCGAGGACTCCAGAGCGCCGCAGTCGTTGAACAGTTCTGAGATGAGCTCGCTGGTGCTCCTGCGAGTGTACGGATTGGGGAAAGCAATGATGGCAGTGATGGCAGTCACCACGATGACCTCTAAGACCGGGTACTTTCCAAGCTTGGTGGTTTTGCGTCTCCTGCACCAGGCAATGTTGCATCGGATGAAAAGCGTCCCCCACAAACCTCCAAAAACTCCCAGCAGAATGAAGGGGAAAAGTTCGGCCATGTACCAAGGCGTGTGATACTCCACATAAAACAGAACCAGGCGGCTGTTTCCAAATGGATTGATGGATCTCAGGGTAAAAGCGGCAACGAGGGCAGCAAAAAAGGATCTCCAGAGAGTCTTCAGCGGAAAATAATAACTCACCTGAGAGAAAATAGAATCAATCAATAACAACCAGAGTGTTTCCCATTGGGAATCAGCATTAAGTTATACAGTGCATTTTAGAACATGCCCATATCCATTGCTTTCAAAGGTACAGTCGTACCTTGGAAGACGAACGGAATCCATTCCGGAAGTCCGTTCAACTTCCAAAACCAAAACGTGGCTTCTGATTGGCTGCAGAAAGCTCCTGCGGCCAATTGAAAGCCGCGGAAGCCCCGTCGGACGCTCAGCTTCCAAAAATAGTTTGTAAACCGGAACAGTCACTTCTGGGTTTGTGATGTTCGGGAGCCAAAATGTTTGGGAACTAAACTGTTCGACTTCCAAGGTACAACTGTATTCCCCTGAGATTTGTGAGGGAAAGGGTGCACTGTCTCTATCACACAAATCTGTAAAAAGATCCCACCCACCCCCACCCAGACTCTGGGAGAGGACAACAGAGTGCCATAGGGAAGAAAAACTGTGCTGTATTAATTTTGAGATATCCATGTAGATTTATGCAAATACATTGTGGAGGGGAATCAGCTCTTTCCCAGACTTTGGGATGGTGCTGGGGAAAGGAAAGGGAACTGGCAGTGGCAGCTGCACCAGAGTAGCAGTGGCAGCCTAGGTAAAGGGACCCCTGACTGTTAGGTCCAGTCGGGGACGACTCTGGGGTTGTGGCACTCATCTCGCTTTATTGGCCGAGGGAGCCGGCGTACAGCTTCCGGGTCATGTGGCCAGCATGACTAAGCCGCTTCTGGCGAACCAGAGCAGCGCATGGAAACACCGTTTACCTTCCCACCAAAGCGGTACCTATTTATCTACTTGCACTTTGACGTGCTTTCGAACTGCTAGGTTGGCAGGAGCAGGGACCGAGCTACTTGAGCTCACCCCGTCGCGGGGATTCAAACCGCTGACCTTCTGATCGGCAAGCCCTAGGCTCTGTAGTTTAGACCACAGCACCTACTCATCTGCTAAATAGGAAACTGGGAGGGTCACTACTCACAAGTTTCTGAGAGTTTTTTAGCAGAATGCTAGTCCCCTCACAGAGCTATTAATTCCCTGAGCACTTTAACAACCAACCAATCCCCCTTCCTAGCAATTATGAGAATTGCAGCTCTGTGCAAGAATAAGGTCCTCCTTACAACTCACAGCATCCTTAACAAGCCACAGATCCCAGGTTTCTTTGGTCTGGTACGGATGTGGCCTGAGTGTGGCCTGCATAGAATCTTCCGGAAACCTGCGGGTTTCTGCATAGCCCAAGTTGCTTCTTACCTCTTCTAGGCTAAAAAGGACACCACCGATTGGTGCTCCAAAGGCAACAGAGACACCGGCAGCAGCGGCGGCTGAAAGCACCTAAGCACGGAAATAATGACACACACGCAAGTTAAAGAGTCTGTGGAAAATACACATAAGTTTACGAGGTGAGGCGAGGAAATTGCAAAGCCCGACGTTACCTCTCGTCTCTTTCCCTCGTTCTTGCTGTACTTGGAGAAGAGGCTGCTGAAAAAGTTGCCACAGCAACAAGCCACATGCACCAGCGGCCCTTCTTTGCCAAGGCTGAGTCCGGAAGACACCACCAGAACCAAGGTTACTGTTTTGATTAAGAGGGTCCATTTGCCCAGGTAGCCCCTTATAATGAAACCACTCAAGATGGTCTTTATCTGGAAGACAGGAAGAACAAAAGTGGTTGGCAGCTCTAGATTTTGTGCAGCCGATGCAAATTTTGAAGAGGTGTTGTTGTTTTTAAGACTTGTGAAAGCTAAGTCTCTAAAAATACAAATCAGATGCTACTTTAACACCAAAAGGTTTCTTCATTTTCACTCCCGATTCCATCTCCTTTAGCAGATTCCCCTACGTCTTTTTCAAACCTTCACTTTAAACCACCCTCAAGCATTGGAAATTAGGAAATTATTCCCACCCCCCGTTTTGAAATGCCTGTCAATCCAGAATGAAAGCAAAAAAAACCCCTTACCTCTGGAATTCCAGAGCCGCAGGCGTAGGGAGCAAAAACCCGGACAAGGGAGACAGCCAGGAAAGCAAACAATAGAGCCCACAAAATGTAAAGAAAATAATTTAGAATGTAAGCGCTTGCACCCTAGAGGGAGGAAAGAGAGAGAGAAAGAAACCAAGAACAAACAACTGTTAAACCAATCCAACAAGTACTATGTTTCTGCTAGTTGCTATATAAATAAGAGACGCTTTGGGGCTAGGTTTCTTCCCTGAATTTAATGACAGGGCTATTGCAGCAAAGAAAGCCCACCACTTATGCAAGGGTTACATTCTGGGGATCCCGCCTGAAGCCAAAATCACATATAGTCAAAACACACTAGGAGCAATGGCAGGTGGGATTGCCAAAGGATGCATACCTCCTTTTTATTTATTTTTTTATGTTTTTGCCAAGCACGTAAAACTGAATGTATGCAAGTTAAATGCACATAAGTTGAGGGCTTACTGTATTTATTACATTGTCACTGATCTCCTCCAAAGGCAGCAGCCAACGGCTGGCCAGAAAGCAAGGTACTGCCCTCCTGGGGGGGGGGCACAAATTGGCTCATTTGAAAAACGCTTTTGGGTGGGAAAACCGGCCCCAAGATCCCACCGGCTGAGGAGAATTCTCTTTGAGGGGCAAGCAAACACACGTGCCCAGGCTAGTGTGGATGGTGGCCGAGAGCGAGGGGCCACAACCATCACCCGCTGGGAAAGCGCTCAGCGGCCATTATTACATAGTCACTGAGTTCCTCCAAATAACCCATTTATTCAGCCACCATCCCAATTTGCTTGCACATAGCTTAGGCAGTCTGTACTAAGCATTCCTTCTGATTTGTTTATGGGGTGGTTGTATGACAATGAGCATTCATTCCAATTTGCTTGTGGGGTGTTAATACATCTCCCTATTGATAATTCGTGCACCCCACACTTTTCAATGCAATTTCCCATCACTTTCCCAACTGCAAAAAGTCTGTTTGGTTTTTTCTAAGTATTTTCTGTGCTGGAGTGACACCTAAATTTGCAGTTGCACTTATCTCCCTCCAGCCACATAGCAACCGGCTGGAGACGCCCAGTGTTTCTCCAACAGTACAAATATCTGCTTCTTGACTGCAGTTCTGCACACACTTAAGCAGGAGCCAGCACTGCAGAACTCAGGGAGACCTACATCGGGGTTAAGTTGTCGCAGAATTGGGCTACGTGTTATCTGTGCGGCACGCACAGTAAAGCAATTCATACAGAAAATGCAGCTGGGGGTAGGAAACACCAAACTCTTTATAAATACAGTGCATGGCCGCCACAACTATACTGCAAACCATATTTAAACAGATGTTAAACCACTGTGGGAGCTGGAGCGACATTTGGAAAATATTCATTAACTGCCCAAGAGAGAAATTGCTCAACACATGTAGAAAAGGGTCTGCCCCATAATCCCTAAAAAGCAAGGATTATGCAGGACAAATGAACACAGATACAGGCAGTCAGGGGGGAAACTTGAATTGTCACCCATTCCCTCCCCACACAGTCAATAGTGTTTTTCTTTTTTAAGATACTGTAATGCAAAGTGGAAGTAAGTAGATGTAAGTAACTCTCAGTATGAATATTGCTGGACTACAACTCCTATCAGCCCCAGCCAGAATTCCCTTATGGTCATGAGAGTTGGAATCATGCAACCATTTGGTGGCACCAGATTGGATACCCCTGAAGTAACCCTTACTGGCAAGAAACGAAGGTTGTGCTAAGAGCCACAGTTTAGTGGGAGAGCATTTGCCTTGAGGGCAGAAGCTCTCTGGTTCAATCGCTGCCCATACAGACTGGGAAAGACTCCGACCTGAAATCCCGGGCCGGCTGCCATTCAGTGTAGACATTACTTAGCAAACTGGACCAGCCAACTGAATAGCTCAACTGGTTAGAGCATGGTGGTGATAATGCCAAGATTGCAGGTTTGATCCCCATATTGGAAAGCTGCATATTCCTGAATTGCAATTCTATAATTCTATTCTATGAATGTTCCCAGCTCAGGATATGGCAGTTTCCTGTGGTCCGTACACCGGATAAGGGAGGATTCAGCTAGCAGCTCATCTAATAGCTGGGTCCTTAACCCCTTGTTAAATCACATGAAATCAATGTGAAGCTCCTTGTACATGAGTAAGAATGGCATTTCACCATAGGATGGCTCCAAATGTTTTACTGCTGCAAAAGCTAAAAAGGGATTACCACTCAGCAGGCGTGGGTCTGCCCACACCTCCCACTAGTCCCTTTGTCTTACCTATTTGCACAGAACAATTATTAATTGGGTGGCTCTTCTCACCAATTTTGACAGCTGGATTTGCTTATCCCCAGCTAAAGAAAATATTAATGGCATCTCTGTTTTGACACTTACTGAAGCCGTGAGTAATCCTTATTGCCACAGCTGAAGAGCATTTGTTTAAATTTCCCCATGAACGTCTTCCCATAGAGCTTTAAACAAGAGCCAGCTATGGCAATAATCATTATTCCTTTACAGGATGGGCTTTGTTTGCAAATCAAGGTCCATACCAGTGTGAATAGCCTTGGAGTTAAGAGAGGCTGCTCTTGAAAATTTGGTTCTCAAAATACTTGGAAGAGAACCTCTTTGTCCTCTTGATGTAGCTAAACTATTGCTGAGCTTGGTTCCTACCACTCCCACCCCTTAAATCACAGATATAAAAACTGAGAAGATATATTTTAGAGAAAGGCTAGGAAGGCTGCCTATTTTCGACAAACCTAAATCTGGTGGAACTGGTTTGAGAATATGCATTCTCTGCTCTGGAAATGAATGTTTTGTGGCGTGGAGACTGTGTGTACCCAGATCTCTCATGCTCAAAATGTTACATATGTCTTCAGCCTAAGTCCCACAGAGATAAAAGAAGACCTATTCCACCCATGCTTTGAGACTCAGCTTTTCCCATAAGTATTTGAATGCCCCTAAGGTACTTTCATTTCCTTTCATCAGTCAAAATCAAACCATGGGTGTTACTTGGTTCATCCTTCCTCCAAGGAACTTACAGCAGAATTTTGGCCTCAACCCCGCAAGGTGTATGTTGAGAGGCAATGGCTTGACTTGGCCAGAAAGAAAACCATGCTTTAGGGTTACATCACGCATTAGCTTATGGGCTGTGTATCCCCAACCCCCTTCTCTGGTATGGCAGCGAGAAGACCTCAAGCTTCCACTTCCATTTTTAATTAACTGAATTTTGGTGTCCGTACCTGTAATGGATTTAGGGGTTGCTTGTGCGTAAGTTGGCGCCACTCCTGGCGAGGTTACCTGGTTAAACCCTTTCTGACTGAACAGCCTCCAGCATCGTGACTGTCTCAGTCACTGGCAGAATCCGTCAGTGGGCGTTTCTTAAACTTCTTCCAGCACAAAAGTTCCTTGACGCCTAGTCTCCGCCTAGACTCCCTGCGCGGAAGCCTTCTGCGCAGGGAGGGTGTGGGCAGCGGAGGACCCGTATTCTCTCCGCTGGTCTCCAGCGAGGAGTCTTGGAGCCTCCTCTCCAATTCCCCCATCTGCCCCCCTTCTCTACTGGTGTTACGCTGATTTCCTTCCCCAGCGGACGGGCTGCCTCTCTCCCTACTGGGACCCTCTCCGCCATCCCTCTGGAGCCTTCCCTCCGCCTCTAGCTCCGATGGCAGTTCCCTGACAGTACCCTAAGTTTTGGTTAGCCTATGGTTTACTGAAACAATCAAAGCCGACTCAGAGTTTTGGGGAAAAAAGCATTCCATTTCAGTTAGTAAAGAACAAAAGCAAAAGTTTACAATCTTCTCACAGCCAGTCCAGGCAAAGGAGAGGGGGTACACAAACCATTGTTTACTGTTGTCCTAACACAGCTGGTTTAGTTGCCCAATGGCTGAGCCCAATACTACACCGCCTCTTGTATTCAGTAACTACAGGACAGTTGACTTACAGGTGACATAGCTTTTGGCACCCATTCACCTCCCAAGGACAGTTTTGATATGGAAACTGGCACAAAATTGGTCTTGGACTGTCAAAGCAGTAGGCTGCACTGGACCAATGTTGCAAGCAAGAGTGGGGAACCTGTGTTTCTGGTCTGCAGCTCCTAGTATGACCACTGGCAGTTCAGCCTTCGGCTGATAGGAGAGTCTGACAACTTTTGGAGAGTCACATGTTTCCCATCCCTGCCTTAGTGTTTTGTGGGCTTACATGGGCGTAGCCAGGGTTTTTGTTAGGGGGCAGAACTGACCTGATTGGTTGGTTAGTTAAGTATTTCTATTGTTTTACTTGATCCCCTGCCCACCCTTCCACCCCCCAGCTACATCCATGTGGGCTTAGCGAGTACCGTTATGCAGAAGGAAAAACAGAAGGAACACGGGATACGGTAGCTGTCTGATTTGCTTCAATATTTTTATACACCAGGCATCTGCTATAGTGGTGTTCTCTCTCTCTCTCTCTCTCTCACACACACACACACACACACACACACACTAATTAAGACAATTCTGACAGGTGTCAGAATTCATAACTGCAGAGTGACAAACAGCTCTGAAGCCACGAAAAGGCACGAAACCTCAGGGTAAAATGGTGTTGCAAAAATATCCATCTATATCCATGTCTTCAATCTGTCAAATTCCATTAGCTATGACAAGCAGAATTCATCAGGCGCAGATAAGGAAGAGTCTGAAAATATTACATCCGAGACACTGCCCTTTAAGGATTGCCTACATAAAGCTAATAATTTTCCATTCTTAGTGCAAACGTTTCATAAAAGTGACAGGAGGATATAAAGTTCGTACAATAGCAATTAGAAAGGGAGGCAGCCATATTTCAGTGGTGGAGAGCACATGCTCTGCATGCAAAGGGTTCCAAGGTCAATCCCTGGTGCTTTCAGGTAGGCTGGGAAAGCCTGCCATTCAAATCCCCGGAGAGTCTCTTTTGGTCAGCACAGGACATGCTAAGCCAAATGGACTAATGGACAAAGGCAGCTTTCTATGTCCCTGTGGTTCCACCAAGCATTAGACATGTACGTAAGTGAACGAGGAGAGTGATTCCAATAATGCTCTTAAACACCCTGTAACTCCATGAGAGCCAGCATCGTGCCATGGCTATAGTGCTGGAGTCCTGTATTAGGTAATTTAATTAGTCGAATTACAACTTTAAAACTATGTGGAATATGATTATGTTGGTTGCAGATGAAAGATGGCATCGTCTCAGCTGCTGTGCTTATGAGCAAAACTTTGCACATGTTCAAGTCATAGAAGCAGGCACAGTGAGTGGCACACCCCCTCTCCTGTGAATTTCAGGTAATTTGCAGGCTCCATATTGTTTTGAACTAACTTGCCTTGGTCCTAATTAGATAAGACTTCAATGACAAAGCACACCTTCTTTCTCCTTCCTTCAGCAAACCAATAATCTCTCCAGGGCTCCTTTCAAGTTTAGCAGAACACATTTTAATGAGAGTTCCTTGCTAAAATATTAACTGTGCAGGGAAGAACAGTGAAAATTATATGAAAGGTGTAGACATACCTCGGACTGGTTAACTAGAAGTTCAGACCACTTTTGCCACTGTGGACATTTGTCCCTGTCCTCAAAAGAAGTTTCGTTAAATGTCCAGCAACACTGCTCATGGCTGTACCAGAATGCGGATAAACAGACACCTTCTTTCAGATCTGTCATCCAGTCCACCGCCAAATCGATAACTCCAGCTAATGTGCCTGGCAAGGGGGGGGGGGACAGACATTAATACACGAAGTATATGTCTAAGGGAAAAACCCAGACATTTGAATGTACGAGAAATGAATGTGGTTCTCACAGAAAACCCATAAATATGAATCAATCCATAAACAGGTGGCATTCACAGTCAACTCTATGTTGAATCACCACCCTGTGGTGACCAAAATAAGAGTTTATCTCACTCTCCGACTGTATATGTAATTTATGACTCCCTATCCACAAAATTGTCTCAGGGCTGCGGGGCCATTTCAAGAACACGTGTCCTTAAAACGCACATTAGGGGGTTGAGAGAGACCTGGGAAAACAGAAGATAAAGGGAAGTTCTCTTTTACCTTCCTGTAGAGTTTACTGTGCAATGTTTCCTTTTAAATGCCATCTGCTTTTCTTGGCTCAGCACAGAGAATTTCTAAACAACAGGCTCCCCTAATCGCACACAAGCAAGCTCATTCGGCCAGACAAGAGTATGTTTGCAGCGCAAGTAAATATGTTCTTGTCTAGACTGCTCCATGTGCCAATAAAATCAATGGGGTCGAAACCGAGGTCAAAACTGGTGGTGGGGCTACTGTGCAGGTCTCATGCCAGGATCAGGCCACCAGATGAACAAGCAAGCATCTTGTGTGCTTATTAGTCTCAATGCCCTGTCACTTAAAATAGGAAAACATTTTAAAAAAAAAGATTTAAGGGATGTCACTTACATTGTGAAGACCAGAAGGTATAATTTACCTACACTATACAACTAAAATGTACAATGGCACACATCTGATCTGATAGCTTTTTCAAATTATATAGCACAACAGCGACATCCAGTGGTAGCTAAAGAATCATGCAGTACTGGGACTGTGTTGCAATACTTTTATACAGACCAATCCAAAAATTACGAAGCAGTAATTTGCCAAATATGTTCTCCAACACTTGGGTTCAGTTTGCTGGTGCACCCAAAGAGATCCAAAACTGTATAGGCTTTTCTGTTCACCATAACACTGAAAACAGTTAAAGGTCTGCACTCTTGGATCTGTACGGACACTGGTAATGAAGGGTAAACTTGTTTCATATGTACACCAAAGTTCTGTTCACATGCAAAAGCCCTTCCTGGGCAAACAATTTTAATTCAGGGATTTATTTATTTTTTGCTTTTCTTTACACTTTTTCAGTCATCGCAGTACTATGAGAATATATGGCCTATTAACTGATAGTAAGCCAAAACACCAGTTAGTAACAGAGTTGCTAGTAAACTGGAAAATGCCTGAAAATAAAATAGCTATAAAATGACCTGGCTCAGGCGATTTTTTAAAAAACATACTTCTAATTCCTCCTCACCGTTTATGGCTTCACCTAAAATGTTCCCAGCAATTAAGCCTGGTGATAGTTGAAATCTGTTTGTAAAATCTTATTGGGTCTACATCTGGAACAGAAATCGAAGTTTTTGGCATTTGAAAAATAAAAGCATAGATAAAGAGGATGAATATAATCCATTCAGGGAGCTACAAGTGTGATTCCACATTTCCAGTGATACAACTTCCCTTTTATTAATGCCTATTTTTGTAGCATAAATTTAGTCAAGGCCAAGAAATGGGCATATTAGTGTCAACAAAACAAGAGCTCATTAAAGCATTTCCATTCACAGGAATATTTTCACAGAGAGCGCCTATTTCTGGTTAATAAAAAAAAAAATCTAGGTCAATGTTCAGCATGCAATTTTACACACATATCCCAAAGCATGAAGCATAGCTACATCTTCCCTTCGGCATGCTGAAATGTTAGGGATCGCACGCATAAACTCAATTTATGCAGATGCCCTCATAGGGAAGCTGAGAATGTCTACATTGGTCAACATAGCATAAGACTTTCTTGAAAATACCTGCCAGCAGTCCTATAAGAAGCATCACTACCCATCCCGACCAGGCATCTAGTAAACTTTTGATGAACTCCCATATTGACTCCTTGCTTTTGTTTGTAATCTGGAAGGGGGAAAATAGTGTTTAGTTGAAAGATATGCAATTTTTATATAGTACAGTTCTATATAACCAAGCAGCCCAACAGAAAAACAACAACATGTGTATGCTTTGATCGCATAATATTTGCATTTGTTTACACTGCAAATTTGTATACAGGATTTGCATGGAATACAATTAAAGCAGAGTTTTGGTTCACATAAATGCATGAGAAGTTAGGATTCCTTGATGAAATTTGGACACTGATATTTGATAGTCTGTCTTGCTGTAAGGCAAAAGATGCTTATTTTCTTCTAGGTCTTTCCCTTAACAGACAACCACATAATGCAGTACAGTGGTACCTCTGGATGCGAACGGGATCTGTTCCAGAGCCCCGTTTGCATCCTGAGAAGAATGCAACCCAATTCGCTGCTTCTGCACATGCACATGACGTCATTTTGAGCGTCTGCACATGCACGAGCGGCGAAACCCGGAAATAATGCATTCCGTTACTTCCAGGTCGCCGCAGAGCATAACCTGAAAACACTCAACTTGAAGTGACTTTAACCCGAGGTATGACTGTATACATTATTTTGAAAGAATAATTTAATCATTGAGAAAGACAGGGATTGCCAACATGGTGCCTCCAGATGTTGCTGAACTCCAACCTCCATCAGTCCCAGCCAACATGGCTAATACTCAGGGATGATGGGTGGGGTATAAATAATGAAAATATCACCATCATCAGAGTTGTAGACCAGAAACATTCAGAGAGCACCATGTTGACAATCCCTGCAGTAGTCTAAAGATTCATATTCCTCCAGAAGTGGATTTTGAAATGTGACTTGTCTTTGATGGCAAGTTCCTTCAACCTTTTCTCAAAGTATTACTTCAGTCATTTTGATTTCTTTATTTCGTAACATTTTATACACGTGATTGTAATATAATCTTAAAGTGGTTTATGAAAAGGTCAGACCTATCAGTTTGGGTGTGTAGGGGTAAATAATCTACCACTTTAGCTATCTGAAATGCTCCCTGCTTTTGAAATATTTTTTCCCCTTACCTTTCTATGCCTGTCTGTGTCACGTGACTTCTCCCTCAACCAATCAATGGTATGAAAGTCTTCATATGTCCCAACATCGGGGAAAGGTTCATCCAAGAAATCCATCAAATTTCCAGACCCATTCATGTTTCCAGCATTAACCATATTAGTACCTGTAAGGAAAATAAAGGGACAAGTTCCATGGCTCAAAATTCCGAAATTTACTCCTCACGTACCTCTTCCTGTCATTCTCACCACCCCAGGCAAACAGAGAACATTATAGAATTGAAGAATAGGACTGATCAATACGAGAAAAATAACTTAAAATCTATTTCCTTTGTTACTCCTGACAATGACCAAGTCAATGATCCCAGGTGAGTCACTGGCACACAGTTAGTCTGATCCCAGTTTCTTGTCCAGAGCACAATTTGAAACTCCACCTTGAATGATCACTCTCCCACTGTACAATAGATTTCAGTTTGTTAAAGACCTAATGAAAGGTGGGTACTGAGCAGACATACCCAACATAATATGAAGGATCCAAAGAATTATGCAACTAGTTCCACATGCTCAGGGGAGATCTGGAATTGTGTTTCTCGCAGAGCAGTTTCCTGTGGCACACAACAAAACCTCTTTTGTAATTGAGGGGGGAAATAGACATTTGTAGCATCACATACAGATGTGAAAAAGTGGGGTGAGGAATCTACTGAGCATGCCTAAAATAGCCCTCTGTATTCTAGCCTTTGCATTTGAGCAATATCTTCTTTATAAGCATGTCTCTGCCCTTTGACAACTGATTATTCTGCAGTCCATAGTATCTTCAATCAGTTTCTCACTCCTACAAGTAACTTTGCACACAAGCATTTTACTCACATTAGCAGAAGATTTGTGCACGTGCTCCCCCTTCTCTTCTGCACTCTCTAAAATCACAAGTTGCAGATTTCCATTTCATGGAAGGCAAATGGCAATCTCAATTGAATCTGTTGATTTGATCTTATACTACTTATCCAAGGAGAAAACCATGTGATCAATTGCTTGGCAAACTAGGCCATATATTGATTATTGGAACCGACTTACTGACTAGCATGGGAGACGTGTTTTGCTCACTGGCAAAAAAAAAAAAAAAGAGCCCACAAGGGTGAATTCCAACAATGTCAATCTGTTCCAGAGGGTTGAAGGATCTACAAGGGCAGGAATGGGGCTGAAAGGAGACTTTTAAAGTATTTTATGTGTTTCATAGTATATTGGGCCAATCTGTAATGAGCATGTTCAAAAAGATGTTTTTATTATTATTCTTAAACAGCTCAGGACCTCAATATCTCAATGACGGCCTCTGCCCATATGAACCAACCCAGACCCTGCAATCATCATCTGAGGCCCTTCTTTGTGTTCCAGAAGTCCAGAGGGCAGCAAAATGGGGACATGCCTTTTCTGAGGTGGCTCCCCAATTGTGGAACGCTCTCCCCAGGGAGGTTCGCCTGACGCCTTCATTGCATATCTTTAGGCACCAGGCAAAAACATTCCTCTTCTCCCATGCCTTAATTAAACAATTAAGGCATGGGAGAAGAGGAATGTTTTTGCCTGGTGCCTAAAGATCTATGGTCTTTTAAACTGGGGGGGGTATTGTTTTTGTTTGTTACTATGTTATATTTTTGTGTTGTAAACCACCCTGTGATCCTCGGGAAGTAGAGAAATTTAATTTTTAAAAAAATATTCTTAGGGATTATTCAGATTTCACCTTTTTGTGAACAATGACAACGGCCATACCTAGAAGTGATTGTAAGGACTGCTGTTGGTGCTGGTGGGCTCTTGATACCCTCATGCAACCCAATTATTAATAATAATTTATTATTTATACCCCATCTGGCTGGGTTTCTACAACATCTAAAAATCTATTTCTAAGTTCGTTATTTGGTTGTTGTTTGGTTGACACTGAAATTGAGTACACCCCCAGGCACCTTCTAGCACCTTCTGCGTGGCTAGACTGGACACTTCGTTTCATTTGAGCTCATTATTGCCACTGTTTTCAAAACTAAAGAACCTGTTCATCAGTCTTTACCCGATAAGAAGAATTTGGCTGAAAGAATGAATGTATTTTAGGATTTGGTGCCCTGCAGATGCATTCAACTATACCTCACAGCAGGCCCAGCCACCATAGCTATGCAGGCTGGGGATGATGGGATGGGAGCTGTGGTCTAAAATATATGGAGGGCACCAGTTCTACAAAAGGCTGTGCTAGAGTTTCGAAGAAATCCTGCATATCCAGTCTGGCTGAGCTAGTAGCAACCTGAAAAGTTGGTAAGGTTTCAAAGCTATCAGCTTATAAGCTTCCTGCAACAGTGACAGCCTAGGAACTCAACACCGTGCTCACACCCAACTTTCTCAAGCTGCAGCTGCAGACACATTCCACACACCCTGGTCAGGAAACCCAAAGATTTCCATTAGCCCGATACCCAATTGTGTTGTAGAACAGGCTTAGAATGAGTTTGAAGTTGTTCTTTACTACTAGCTATCCAAGGATGCCATTTTGGATCAGCTGGAAAAGGGGAGCAAGATCCAGCAAATCCAGTAATTCAGAAGGAAATATCGAAAGGTAAAAATAATACATTCTAGAACATCTTTAAGCCCTAAGATGTCCACCCAGTTGTGAAAAAAGGCAGCTGTGAAAAAGGCAAACTGAACGGAACGGAAATAAAACTACCGGTATCATAACAATATTATACAAATGGACAGTAAGACTACATTTGGAATACAGCGGACAGTTGTGGCCACCTCACTTCAAAAAGGATATTGTAGAGCTGGGCAAGTTTCAGAAAATAACAACCAAAGTGATCAAAAAGCTGGAGCAAATCCACTTTGAAGATAGGTTAAAACATTCAAGGCTTTTTAGTTTAGAAAAAAAGTAGAGTGAGGGAGGACACAATAGAGGTTGATAAAACTATGTCTGCTGTAGAGAAAGTGGACAGGGGTATCTTTTTTTCAGTCTCTCATAATACTAGAACCTGGGGACATCCAAGGTGACAGTGAATGTTAGAAGGCTCCGGCCTGCCAACAGGATTTATTTGCACAGCACATAGTTAAAACCATGGAGTTTTCTCCCACAAAATGTAGTGATGGCCTCTAGCTTGGATGGTTTTAAAAGACAATTAGACAAATTCATGGAGGATATAGCTACTAATCATGATATCTATGTTCTATCTCCACAGTTGAAGGCAACATGCCAGTCAGTGCGGAAGATCTCCTGCTGCACTGAGAACCTGCTTGTGGAGTCCTCACAGGTGTCTGGTTAGCCTATCAGAACAGGGTTAGGTACCGGTAAGTCTTTGGTGTGATCCAGCCAGGCTCTTCTTATGTTGGGAAAAAATGGCATTCTAGGAAGATAAGAAATTGCCTTATATCAGACCATCTCCATTTTGTACACACTGTCAGTTGCCTCCAGAATTTCCCTACATGCATATGCTGGGGATTGAACCGAAGTCTTCTGCATGCAAGGCATGTATTCTACCCTTTCTCATACTTCTCCTTTCTTCTAGCGCTTCTGAAGAAGCCCGACCTTAAAAAATATGGAGAGAACTGTTTTCTTATCAAACTTGGTTATGTTTTACAGAACGATCCTATGTGGGATCGTGGCGGAGCAGAGGAGCAGATCCATTGCCACATCCTAGAGCGGTCATGTGGTTGTCCAAGGACACCCTTCTATTTGAGAACCCTCTAGTCCATTTTAGTTCAGACCCCACACCTTTTACACCCGAGGAGCCCAACCCATAAATACAAGTTAAAATCAAAAACACTAAAAGCACAGAAAAAGTGTGTGTGAGGGTCACCTCAGGAGGCCAAAGGCATGTCTAAAAAACGAAGGCCTGCAGAAACATGAAGGTGCTCTAATATTAAGAGTAGCAGAGGGGGCTTTCTTGATACTTCTATCATCCTCATAAGTGCAAGGAATGACACCCTGAGAGAGGGCTTCTCCTATGGAACGCCAACCCCAGAGAGGTGCATCTAACACCATCATTCATTTTCTGTCATATGCTGAAGATGCATCTGGTTATCCTGGCCTTTGACAGTTAAGAGGTAGTTTTATGGGATGCACATCATCTGGTTTGTTACTTTTACCTATTATGTACTGCTTCTGTTTGGAATTCTTTTACTTGATTAAAAAATAATAATTGTATAAACAGTTTCCCCTGTTGTTTTTAATTGTGTGGTTTTATTGTTGCAACCCACACTTATTCTCACACCTTATGGTGAAGGGCAGGAAAGAAATCTTAGAAATAAATAAGAAAAGATATTTGCTTGCCAACAGAGGTCTGATAAATGGCCCTTTCTCAGAACACTGAGAGAATGTCCTTTCTCATGTCCCCACTGAACATAAGAATGTCCTTTCTCATGTCCCAACTGAACTTGCCTCAGATGTTGGCAGGAAAATTAGCATTGTTTCTGTTGTGCTTTACAAGCATTTATTTAAAACACTTCTGCACTTCTTAACATTACTGAATTTCGAAGAAGTGTACAAAGATAAAATCGAAGGCTAACAAAGCAGGATAGAACAATAGAATTCAATTTCTTCCTTCTCCACAGTGAACTGACCAAATATACAACCCATCATCAGTGATCAAGGAATGCAAGGCGCTTTATTTGCTATGAATGTGGGAAGACAACTAAGCTAGGTAATAATACACGGTTGAAATAATTCCAGGAGTAGGCTGGTACAGAGCAGAAGGGCCTGTTGTGTATACACTACCCAAGTGGCAATACTTTTTAATAGAGGATTTGGAAGGAGTATGGAATAGATGTGGTTATAAGAAGGATCTGTTTCTGCTGTCTAGGCCCAGGCCAGTGTAAGATCTCCTTTTCAGTGTTAAGGAACAAGAAGTGGGTTCTCACTTTTCTGTCAGGGCATTCGGGGTCCAGATGACAGCAATTTGGTTACTGGACAATGAAAATGGATTCTATGCGCCCTAACTGTGGCCAAGAGACCGGTACTGATGAACTGGAAGAATAAAGATTTGGTTCTGTTTAATCAATGGATCAACAACAGGACCACAGATGCAACATATGAACGGATTGCCGATAGACACAGACTTTGTTTGGATAAACATATTGACATTAAGAATGAGTTCTTATAGCATTTAGTGGGTTATTAATAATCATATGTATCAGGACAAAATTAGTACTTATAATAATTATTAATATTAACAAATGACAGCAATTGGGGTATTTGCTAGTGACACAGTACAACATGTGAGGATATTAAATTCCCAAGAGAAGAATTAGCGTGGAAACTCTTCAGCGATAAAAAGCATGCAACACCAAAGAGCTGCTTGCATTTTAACCATGAGTCATCCTTTTTTGTTCAGGGAGAGACATATTTCACCATGTCCTGACAGAAACTGAAAACTGTTCCAGTGTTCCATTCTTATACTGCTCTTTTATATTTGACCCTTTCCAACAACTGCCATCACTCTAGTTAATCCATTTCCAAACATCCCCAAATACCTTACTAATATAAAAGGCATAACTCTCACATAAACGGAAAATGGAAGCCAATTAATGTACTCATAGCTACAGAGGAATTGAAAAGAAAAGAGAAATTATATTTCTATATCTCCCTATCCAGTGTGACAAGCTGTAGCAGATAAGCACACCCACCCACTCCCAAAACATTTCTGTGCATGCCTGAATACTGGGTGTTAATTCCCCACAGACAAAAATAACTAGAATTCACAAACAGAATGAATTACGCTAGAAATTTGATGACTAACACTTCCCTTAAAAGCACGGGAAAATTTACATTGTAATGCAAACGCTGACATCAATATGCTGTAAAGGCTGCATAGCTGCGTTGGTAATACAATCGCTCCTCTCCTGCCCCCCTAATGAAATTGTACCTTGCTCATTTTTTAAAAAAATATATGTTAAAACACTGACAACGGATTGCCTCCTTCAGCTTAAAAAACGCCCCATCTGACAACACAGCTCCTGAACTCTCCAGCCGGAAGATCTGGGGAACAAGCAAAACAGCCTTTGCACCTGCCAACACAGACCGTGCCACGTTTTTATTTACAAAAACAGGAAACCTGCTCGACAGAGGTTGATTTCAAAACAAAGCCAGAAGGGCAAAAGCCCAGTAAGTGGTGTTAATGGAGGGTTTTCTCCTCTTACCTGCAATGCAACATCGTTTAGTTCAACCCCCAAATTCCAGACACCATCCTTTCTTTCCTGCTATGGCTGCAAAGGCAGTGATGTCATATGGAGGAAGCCGTAGCAGTCACGTGACTGCGTGCTCTCTCTATTGGAGAGCTGATTGAGAGACAGGCAGCAGCCGGAGTCCAATCCTTCAGGATTAAAATCAGCCTGTTGAGAAATTTGCTTCCACCTTCGCAGCTGACACTGCAATTACTTGTGGATTCTTTTTATTTTTTTATTTTGCAGCTATGCTATTAGATGACTATTTCATGCACATTCTTGTTATGTTCTTATTTTTTTCGGGGGGGAATATGTATATATATATATATATATATATATATATATATATATATATATGGAATGTCGTTGAATTTGTTTTTATGCTTTTTGAATGAATATTCTGTTTTCACTGGACAGTCTGATACAATCCTGAATAAATTCCACATTTCAATTAATGCAGTTTTTTTTAGTACTTGTGTATAATACTTTAGTACTTGAGTTATATGTGTATATATATTGTTCCGCAAGGGACAATGACAATAAAAGATATCGTATCGTATCGTATATATATATCATATATATCATATATATATACACACACACACACACACACACACACACACTCCCTCCTTCAACTAATGCAGTTTCTTTTAGTAAGGTAAAGGTAAAGGTACCCCTGCCCGTACGGGCCAGTCGTGACCGACTCTAGGGTTGCGCGCTCATCTCGCTCAAGAGGCTGTGAGCCGGCGCCGTCCGAAGACACTTCCGGGTCACGTGGCCATCGTGACGAAGCTGCAGCTGGCGAACCAGCACCAGAGCAGCGCATGGAAACGCCATTTACCTTCCCGCCGGAGCAGTGGCGTAGCGTGGGTTGTCAGCACCCGGGGCAAGGCAAGTAATTTGCGCCCCCTAACCCGTGGATTTGCGCCCCCTAACCCTACCCCCCAGATGTTGCGGCCGGTGCGGCCGGGCCCCCCTGCACCCCCCACACTACGCCACTGCGCCGGAGCGGTACCTATTTATCTACTTGCACTTAGGGGTGCTTTCGAACTGCTAGGTGGGCAGGAGCAGGGACCGAACGACGGGAGCTCACCCCGCCGTGGGGATTCGAACCGCCGACCTTCTGATCAGCAAGTCCTAGGCACTGAGGTTTTACCCACAGCGCCACCCGCGTCCCTGTTTCTTTTAGTACTTGTGTATTATACATTAGTTGAAGGATTTCTATACTGTATCGCATTCATTTCCTCCTTTTCCCTCAGGGTGCACACAAACGCCATACCAGGCTAATATTTTGGAAGCATAGTCTGGGTATGCCTCCCAAGGCCTCTCCCCTTAAAGCAAAATTTCCACTCTGAGGAAAGTCAGAAAGGGATTGCAGGCATGCTTGTTTGCAGGGCCAATGGGGTGGGGGTGGAAGGGGCAGGCGGGAGGTCCACTTGGCCTGGGCATCAAACTCAAAGATGTCTCAAATTCAGACGCGCTAATATTTGGGCACTTGATCAGTTTGGCAATTTATGTGCTTCAAACCAAAATGTAGCATGCATGCTCAGAGATGCAAATTTAAGGAGGAAAGAGTTGTGATTAAGTAAAAGGATCTTTCATTTTGCTTAACAGGTAATGATTTTGTCATTTTAAAGAGTTGATGTTCATAAATATTAATGAATGAGGGGCTGCCCCCCAGGCTGGCCCACCTACCCCTCCCACCAACCCCCCACTCCTTTTACACCTTGCCAAACCCTCATCCCCTCTCCCTCACCACTTCTTTTATGCCTCCCCAACCCCCCCTCCCCTTAACCTTGTCAAACCATACCTTACAGCCATCTGAAACCTCACACCCTTCCCTCAGGCCTTGCTAAAACCACAGGAGCCAACTCCAAGGGGCCAATGGGTCTTTGGCCCCACCAATAAAATATCTGAGGGGGTCAGCCCCCTCCCCAAGTTGATGGACATTGCCATTCAAATGGTGTGTATGTGCTGCATCACATGATTATGAGGGGTAAGGCTTACTTGCTCCCCCAGTATTTTATTCAAGTTGGCATCCCTGGCCCAAACTATGCCCCACTCCGCTTATAACTTGCCAAACCCCCTTCCCCTTAGTTTGCAAATCCTGCGTTGCATCCCCTTACCTGCTTGCCCAAACCCATGAACTGACAGAAGTCATGACAGACCGTTGCACCTTTCCTGCACTGCTGCCATTTCTTTCTTCCTTGACCTCTTGACACTGCTGAGGCTCAATCAGTGGGGTCTGTGCCAGATGAGCAGTGGCAGCACAGCAGGATAGTTGCTGGGGAGCTGCCCTGCCCTGTCTATTCCTCTGCGGCTCACCTGGGCTGTGCCCCATCTGCGCTGGTCTTCTGGGCCACTTGCTAACTCATCTGCCTGCTTTGTTATCGTGCCAGTTTGCATGGATGCCTAATGGCAGCATAACATCCTTACAATTTTATTATATAGGTAGAAATGTATCGGTTCTCCTGGCAGAAGATTAGACCATGATGAATATGTCCCCTCAGATCAACAGATTATGCAAACCAACCTCTCATCCTTTATTATGTGCCTTAGTATGTTTTCATGTTTCCAACTTAATTACTCGGAACTATTTGCACCAATGCTTACATCTTTATTTCCAAGTTTGGCATTCCATAAATGGAATCAGGGGTGCAGACTCCTAGGGGCTGAAACCCTTTGGGGCCCCCTCAATGTTCATCCGTGCTGTACGTGATGTTGTGATGTTGTATGCAACACCCAGATACAATGCTTATTGAGCATCCATCATGTTTCCACTTCTTATTGTTCTAGGTTGCAGCGAGTGAAGAGGAACAACAGAACTTTCAGGACTAATTTCTGGACAAGTTAAATATAGAGTCAATGTGAGTGCATCAACTTCCACTCTTACAACCATGACATGTAAAACTGAGCAGAGTGTAGTGCAACAAATCTGTGCTGTAGTTTCCTTTCAAGGTTATGTAACACGGAATGGGACTGATGGTAATAGTAGTGTGAGCCATTTGCTTTAAACATGGTAAATTCTTCAGCCGCCATCCATCATAAAACAAAGTCTTCCCAATCTTTCCTTTGTGGTGGTGGGGACAGGAACAAAATGAAGATTCAACAAAATTCTATTCTGGAATTCACTACACTGATTCTAGCAGTGTTTCTGCAAAAGTGCCAATGTATATGACATTTAGAGGGTAGCACAAGCAATACTTCAGACTCCCACTTCTCATACGAGAGATTGAACAAGTCATCCTACAGAAGACAATACATATTGAAACCCATGATGGGCTATTGATCTGCAAGTAAAAGTCAGGTGGGTGCCACATGATGTGTAGGTGGAGCCAGAGCAGGTTTTTAAATTCTTGTTTTAATGATGGTTTAACTATGACCTGTAAAAAATATATACACAGAGCACTGTATTTATGGCAAGTTTTTTTAAAATTTATTTTTCAGAATACTTTTCAAATACAAATGACACAATCCATTCAGAAAGTATGACAAACACAAGAAATGAATACTGAAGAGGATATTACGCTTTAACACACTGTAGCAGTATTCATTTTGACAGTCAGAATCTTATCTTCCCTAAAATCTCTGGGCATACTGCACAGCTACCACCACTACAACCCAGCAATATACTTTATCAGGGAGCCTCCAAAACGTTTTCTATTTCACATACAGTGCCTTCCATTTAATCCACATAGGCAAACAAAATACAGTAATTTGTCATAATAGATGGCAACAAATTTACACTGCCTGCTCTTTGTCACAAACAAGGAGTATACATCACAGGTGATAGAACATGGTCTTCATTTGCAGTGTTTATTTGTCTTCACACTGGGGGTAAAATGGGAAAGCCTCCTTTGTCTACTGCATTTTTCAAGTGCATTGGGAGCTGCTGAATTGTAACCCAAATTAATCACGTCAGTTTGTAATACGATGGAACAACTCAAGACCACCTCCTGGTTAAGTGCTGGGAAATACTTAATTCTTCCTAACTAGAGCCGTGATTTTCCCCCCCTTTAGGGCTTCTACCCCAGTTCCAAACCATTATTCTTGTTCCTTTGGAATATTGAGCTCATTTTTTTCAGACAAGAGACCCTTTTCCATCTACCAACATACCAAGCAGAGATTCTATACAGCAACCCGTAACGGTAATGCCAAGCATTTCTCATTTCCAACTGAAAAGCTTGAAGCATCCATCAAAATATGATCATACAAAATTCACATTAACAGATGGAGGCTGCAATCCTTTGTACACTTACCTGGGAGTCAGTCCCACTGTACTCAATGAGTCTTACATCTGAGTCGACATACACAAGATTACACTGTTAATCCAGATTTGATGATTTGCACTACATACGGTTTAAAATCTCTCTCAAAACACAAGACTATGTAAAACAATTTAATGGTTAGGTTCTCGTGAGCTTAACACAATGCTTGAGTTCCAAGCTGACTCGTTTTTAGCTTAACAACTTTCTTTGGTATCAGGCTTCCCTAAGGCAATGTTTGATTTTTAACTAACACCAAAGTTTGACTTGACAGTGTCCCATATAAAAAGGGTGTTCATTTCTTGGAAGTCCCCAAAATATAGGCTCCCATTTTGTGGGACATAATTCTTTGGGTAACTGAAGTTGAATACAATAGCATAATAAAGTCATTTTCATACATTTGCAAGACACACGAAGTGGCACTCTCGGGAATTTAAGGTGACAGTCCATTGTTAACAAAAACTACTAGTTCTCCTAAAGCCCAAGTGACTGTCTTCAAAGCTGTATAACACAAATGGGAAAAAAAAGTTTAACAGGGCAACAAACTGCTTTAGCAGATCTTACCAAATTCAGGAAAACAATCTCAGTTTGATGCAAAAGCTTATGCCATTCAACCACTTTAGCAATGGGATGAGAAAAATGTATTAAACTGTACATGTAATATGAGGTCAGAAGAGATTGCTAGTGCTATGGAGGTTAGGAATGCAACTGAAAATGGTTTTACTCAACAATTTGAATAATTAAAGTGGGAGAGGGAATAGAAATGAACAAAAACAAAGAATTAGCACAGATTTGAAATCACACCACAAAATGGACTACTATCTGAACAGTAGCTTTTTTTGAGGAATATTTCTAATATAGCAAGACGATGCCACATAGTTGAATTTTGCATAGCAGCTCATGTGGAAACCTGAAAAATCGCTGGTGAAGTCTGCAGCATTCATGGAAAGTGATGGGTGAAAAGAGGTAATGTCTGCTAATAGTTCAGAAACTAAAGAAGTTCCAGGCATGTACACAATTAGGCTTTTTTACTACAAAAGTAGACAAAGCCTTGAGTGAACCATAGGCAAAACTCACATCACTGTTATGATGCTTCCGCAAACATAAGCTGGTATTTGATCAGGTGATCCACGGCACCTCCTCTGTATGTAGCATTAAAAGCAGTATGGTGTTAAGTTTCTTTGAGTCGCACTTTAAGATATCGTTATAGTTAAAGAAAATGAAGTTGTGATTGTAAGATTTATGAGGAAATATAACAAATTGGTAAGTCCCATGATAGCTGGGATAGTTTCCTAAATGAGGTCCTAACCACTTTCTGGAACAGTCAAATAGTAGAAGTGTCCAAATTCTACACTGCTGATTAATATGGAAAACTCACAAGTGCCTTTCCTAAAATAACAGCTAGAGAGACCTGTCACCTTCTTCCTTCCCTCGTTAAACAGAAAAACTAGTTAAAATTATAAGAGACATACTTGACACAACTGAAATGAGAACAATCTAGTAGTGCACAGTAAGAACATGCAGTTTCACCTAGCAATGTTTAATGGCATTTTAACTGAATCTCTTTTTAAAAAGAAAAAAAGAAAACATTGCAGGTGATATTTTGATATCAAAACAGTGCCAGAAAAAAACACGATACATTATAAGATGCAGACAGTAAAGCTGATTAAAAAGTGACAAATTTAGAACATAGTATTTTCATTTCAGCTATCAGAAACAAAACCAGCTCAATGGTTCCATTCTACTGTATGACAAATACTGAGTAACAAAATTTCTGTTTTTTAAAAAATACATATTAAAGTAAATATTTTCCTTCAAGGAAAATGAGTTACTATAAATAAATTACAATACAGTGAATTTGCCTGAACTCACGTTGTTTCTGTCTTCCAGCCTTTTAAGTCAAATAAAACAGCATAAAAACAGTACATAACTCTAAGAGGATAGTTGATTTTTTTTTTTTTAATATAAAATAAGTTGTCTTCCGAGATGTCAATTTCACAACAAGGAAAAACCAAGCCTTGCTGCAGTCACTATTATAATATATATTGCTGTATATATTTATATATGTTTTTGTTTACTTTATTATTATTTTTTTACAAAATGTGTATATTAATAGTCTTTGCACAACGATTTTAAAAAATAAACTTAACTAGTTAATAACTTCATTTTAAACAGGCAGATAAATACTTCATGTTTACAAAGCAACATGTTAAACATCATCAGCCGGCAGAGGAGGTATGTTGATCCTTGGCCTTGTGAAGAACGCTATTTTCTCCCTGCAATTGGTAAGGGAAAATATTACACAGATATTTAAGCATCTACTTTTGCTGCTTGTGAGTTCCATGTTAGAGCAGATTTAAGTACCACTTTTAAAACTGGGCATTTCAAGAAACTAAAGCAATGTATTATAACAAATAACACCCATGTTCAAATTGTTTAACTGAATACTTCTGAACTACAAATCCTTTTGGCAGTTTATGTTTTGTGCTGCTAAAATGACAACTAAATATTTCCACACTTGTTCATCCTTCCACAGCACCTCCATGAGAGTAATATTTTTTATTTTGATCTACGTTCTCATGTGAAAGGAAACTTTAATATATTTCCATAAATGTAATAAATCAACTGTTTATTTCAGCGTGTACATTTTAGTCACCTGTAACATGTTTATTATACATGAATGAAAAGGCAAAGCTACAACTGAAAAATGGCTAAATCTGAAAATGTGACTTCAGTGTTTAAGAGTGGCTGCATTCCAAATGTTCCACATATTTTTAATTCTTCCAAGTGCTAGCTCTCAGGATCTCTGTATTAAGGGGACCTATCATAACTTGTCTTAGGCCTACTTCTCACTGAGATGGTAAACCTGTGTCTGGGCTAGATCACTTCAGACTGAAAGTCACTACGAAACAAAAATCTCCACATATGAAGCTGGCATGTTAGGAAGAAGACAAGGCTATGAAATAAGTTGTATACTGCCTTCTCAGGGAGCTAATTCATTCTGTCAGTACCAGGATTTACAATTGCACAACGTAACTCCCCCCCCTCCTCCCGCTGTGCCACCCCGCAAATATGCTCTGGAGGGTTGGGGGAACCTCCATAACAGGTTTAGGGGCACATAGAGTGAGGGAGGAGGGGGTGAAAGTTCCACTGTGTAAGTGTAGATCTTTGTGCTGTCGGAACACATTAGTTGGCTACCACCCTCAATTCTGTTGAGTCCACCTGAAGTTGGAAGTTGTACAGCCCAGAGAAAGGTGGATCACCGTAATGAGAACTAGGCCATAGTCTGGAGATCCTGCCGATTCTCTGCTTTTATTTGTTAAATATTTATACCTCACTTTTTCATTTAAACCCCCATCCCCTATACATACTTGATCACCTTCTGGAGACACAGTTCCATGATTCAAAAATATTTTTTTAATATTTTGAATGTACAAAATGCTCAAGAAAACATCCACTTTTAAAGTGTCTGGCTCTAACAATCTAAAACTACTTCCATGTATTACTGTTATTCTGTATATTACTGTTATCCAGAATGCAAGGCAGGTATTAGACTTAGTAATCCCATTTGAAATCAAACTGTAGAAACATTCAGGAATAAGCAGCGCATAGAGAAGAAACAAACACATAACAACTTGACTGAACTTTTCAAGGAATCTGACATCCAGTACATTGGAATACATTTGAAAGGAGTGGGGTAAAACCATATTTAGTTTACACTTTACTTACCGGAAGGTCTGAACCTGAATAGGCTCCTTCTGGTTTTGACCACGTAGTTGGTAAACTTCTTTGGATGCCTTTTTAAGCAATTTTTCTGCTGCTTGTTGTTGACGATGTTCAAATTTGGTCTGTCTTGTCTAAAGAGGATGTATATGAAATCAAAAATAAGTTGTAAGAGGAACACTGGGCTTAGGATAAAAGCTCAGTCTTTTTCCTTGGACAGAAAGAAACCTCATTTGGATGACATCTCCCACTTTCTTCAAAGGCAGGGCTAAACATGCTACCTTGTAAGTCTTTATGTTGAGAAACTCCCCTAACTTCTACACCACCTGCGTGTGAGGAGAAAAATCCTTCCTTGTACATAACAGGAATATACATTTTGTTGTTGTTGTTGTTGTTGTTGTTGTTGTTGTTGTTGTTGTTTCTTACCCATTCTTCTTTAGAAAGTCCCAGAGCAGGTTACAACAATATTACAATATTAAGTTAAAAGGATTTATAAATCAGTACAGAGTGGATTCGAAATATATATACCTCAGGTGTCAATGGCCACTGTAGAGAAGTGTGTGTTCAGCATATAGCAAAAGCTATACCATTATGATATGGGGAGGGAATTCCACAATTTAGGAGCTGCTACAAAGAAAGCCAGGACGTGGGTAGCACTGTGGGTTAAACCACAGAGCCTAGGACTTGCCAATCAGAAGGTCAGCAGTTCGAATCCCCGCGATGGGGTGAGCTCCCATTGCTCGGTCCCTGCTCCTGCCAACCTAGCAGTTCGAAAGCACCTCAAAGTGCAAGTAGATAAATAGGTTCCACTCCGGCAAGAAGGTAAACGGCGTTTCCGTGCGCTGCTCTGGTTCGCCAGAAGCAGCTTAGTCATGCTGGCCACATGACCTGGAAGCTGTACGCCGGCTCCCTCGGCCAATAAAGCGAGATGAGCGCCGCAGCCCCAGAGTCAGTCATGACTGGACCTAATGGTCAGGGGTCCCTTTACCTTTACCTTTACAGAGAAAGCCATCTCTCAGGCTGACATTCCCTACACTTCTGAGGGTGGCAGAACTACCAAGGCTACCCTTCCATTAGCAGAAGAGCCTCCCCGCAAACTACCTGTCCCAGGCAGAGTAAGATCACCAACCATTACAGTTTGCTCTGTAACAATTTCACTAGAGCAAAGATCACAATTTTAAAAATATTTAAAAATTGTGAAGCTCAGTTCCTTATATTGGAGCTTTCTGCATAACATAATACCCTTGAATGCAATAATCTGCAGGCCCCAATATGCCATACCTGCCTCTCCGCTTCCTTCAGCAAGTTTCGAAACCGTTCATCCCGAAGCACCCAATGAGGCAGATCAGTCTGACCTCTAAGCTGGGCATCCTCCAGGCGCTGCCGCAACTCTCTCAAGATAGATAATTCATCGTTCAACTGCCTCTGCCTTGTTCTGGATGCCTGGAGATCCAGCTCCAGGTCTAGTGACGTCCTCTCCATAAGGTCAGCCAAAGATGATCTACAGGATTGCTGAGACATTAAAACAAGAATGTGATAATAAGTCTCAAATGCAAGCAAGCCTGGACCTCTCCTCCAACTGCAAGGTATTGTGCATTCTCCTGAAATAAACCAAAATATTAGGAAGCAATTTGGGCCAGTTTAATTGACACAGACATTGGCCCAACGGGATGATTTCAAACCATGGTTTGAATTTGTGTGGGCTAGCATATATCCTTTTGAAGGAGACATTCCATCTTCTCGTGGTCCACTTTAATCATATTTTGGAGTTATGTCAGCACTGAGAGGAACACGGCTATAGCTAAGCTCCTATCCAATGTTACTCAAAACTATGGTTTGGGCTGTGTTTAAAAACTATGTTTTTACGAGATTAATCCTGGTTATCTTTCACTATAATAGTGTTGAAGCCAAACGTAATACTAAGCCATTGTTAAAGCATATTATGCGATGGAGAGGGGAATTCACGTGAGAGAAAACAGATGGGGAGGAGAATACAAACAGGGCAATGTCTTGGTAAACCATGAGCTGCAAGTTGTCATATTACATCTTCACAGTGGTGAGCCATAAGAATTCTAAATTTAGTGCTTTAAAAAGGGGCTGATACTTTCTAAAAAGTTAAGAATTGTATTGATCTATGTATTCTATGCTTGTTGGCTTTCCAGTACAGAGTTTGTCTAAACCCCAAGGAAGCTGAGTACAGATTTTTTTAAATCCTGCTGCCAACATTAATCAAGGCTAAATCAGTAAATTCAACAGGAACATATTTAAAATTGATCTAACACTACCAGCTATTTTTATAGCTCTCGCTGCAGTGTATGATTATAAATGCAACATACATTATTACATTGCCATATCAAACTATTCTTAATAGTATCCCAATGTAGTAAAAAAAACCCCTCAGCTTCCTTCTGTAAAAATGCCTCAGCAATGCAAAGCCCCAAATTTTACAGTCACAACTATACCTGCTTATAACGCAGCGTACGTCTTTCCAAAGTATTTCGGATAAATGGAGACTTTCTTGGCAGAGTAGAACTGTCACTGTCACTACGATATAGCTGATAGAAAAAAAGATACAAAATGGAAATTGATACTTTAATCTTTATTCCGGCAACACAAGTGAGACTTATCCATGTCAGTTCAGGAGAAAAATAATAATCAGCCAACCAGTCAGACTTAAGTGCTGCCTTTGAGCCCGTCTACTGGGGGCCTTAGGTCTTTTTATTTTCACCACCTCCCCTCACCAAAACCCACAGCAACGTTATCTAAAAAGTGCATTTAAGAAAATGCAGACATTAAGATATTCATTATCATACTCTCAAACGAAAGAATATGGGAACTGAACCTGACAGCACATAAAAAGCAGTTATTGGTCCAGGTTCAAATGCAAGAGCAAATGCTATAGCATTTACAATAACGTTCAATCTTTAAAGTCACAGTTCCAGACTGCTTGTTTAATAACAATTACTACTCACTCGGCAAACATACTGACTTCGTGCACCAGGTGAGAATGTCTGTGAGCGAACGATGGTACTACTACGAACAAAAGCAGACCCACGGGATCGACGGCCAGTTCTGTTTTTATGAAGCAAAGCTGTTTCTTCTGTGTTGGTCTCCTTATCTACCTAAAATAAGAATCGAAATTTCAAGTGTTGCAAAGGCTTATTTTTTCATTCATCTTATCACACAAGCATTTCCAGTGCTGTATTATTTTTAACACTCGACTGGAAGCTGCCCAGAGTGGCTGGGAAAACTCAGCCAGATGGGCGGGGTATAAAGAATAAATAATAATAATAATAATAATAATAATAATAATAATAATAATTCCAGAGCACTGTAAAGTATAGCTATTTATGGTCCAGCACCATTATAAAAATGACTTGAGCGTAATGAGTTCCATTATAACAAGTTGCAAATCTTCAGCCAAAACTAAAGTAATAATAATAATAATCTATAAATACAGCACAGAATCATAAAAAGTGTTAACAGTTTATCTGTGGCAGTGACATGCAGGCCAGAACTACCTCAAGAGATCAGGTTAGTTAAAAGGTCTGAACAAACAGGAATATTTACATGCTTATAAAGCAGCGTCTCATTTTAAGACAAACAAAAGTACTGAAGGTCAAGGGAGAAGAAAATGAGGATGTATCTTGGAAAGATATCACTGGCCTAGCCCAGTTAAGGATTAACAAAAACTGGAGCAGAAAGTACAATTATTTCTACTTGCCTTTAGAGGTGGAGGCGGGACTTTTTTAGAAGTACACTGATCTGTTTGAGGTGCAAGCATATGACTGTGTAATGATTCACTGCAGTAAGACTCTGGGTGAGGACTAGTCTGCATACAATTACTACATCCACTGTCAACTGATTCTGCTTGCCAGCTTCTGCAGGAAAAAGAATACATCAAGCAATGAAATTTGGTTCCAGTAATTAATTTCACACTGCCCTTTTGCATGTTTAATACAGTGCAAATACTTCCAGAAAACTAGCCCCACATGGCCACTGCTGCTGTTGTTCTATTTTCTTATGAATCTGTGAACACCAGTCCCCCCCCAAAAAAAATTAATGTGAGACACAGGATCAGCAACAATAATATTTAAAAACTACTTAGGGATGCTCTAGACACAGTGTAAGTGATTATGTTACGATTCTAGAAGAAGTGTTACATGAATACATATTTCGGTACCATTACTGATCCTATCAAGGTTTTGCATTCTTGTAAATTAAATGCCATTAAATGCCAAGTTTTGCATATCCAAATCTGAACTAAGAAATATGAAATTGGGTTATGTATGCTCCAATATGATAAAACAGCTAATGCTTACATCTAATAGCTAACGATTACAGATAAATGACGTATAAGATTCGATACATTTAATATCTCAACAGAATCACACATATATTATTTTAAAAACTTAAGTTCTGTCTTAACCCTTTTGAAAAAGTTACCTCTCTGACACAGCTTCTAGCTGGTCTTCCTTTTGCTCCATCTCTAGAATTTCCTCTTCTGTGTACTCCAGTTTTACTCTCTCCTCCGCTAATTCTCTCTCCACAGCTTCCAATTGAGCTGTGGTCCTAGCTAAAAGGGCAGTCACAGCATCCTAGAATGGAAATTGAACTTAGAATCAAATGAGAGTCATTTTCCTAGCAGAAAAACTGAAGTCAGCCTTTCGAAGGAACAACAATAATGACTAAGTTCAAACAAAAGCACAAAGTAGTTTTGGTTGGAAATTTCTCTAAAACCAAAGAGTAGCATTCTGGCTGAATTCAGAATTTTGACATGCTCACAACAAATTAAATTAGAACTTAAGTACTGTGGTGTGAAGTAGCTCAAATTTTTCACAATAATCCAAACATGGCTAGATAGTTGAATATGGAAAAACATGAGCATGTTTACACATGGGTGCAGTTGTGGTGTGTAATCTATAGATAAATTAAAATGACATAATTCTATTGATGAGTATAAGCTCAAATGCAAGTATCTCTCAGCAGATCCAGGCATATCACTGTTTCTGTTTATTGCTGTTGTTGTTTCAACCATCATGGCCATAGCAACCACATCATCATCATCATCTACACTGCTACAGTATTGAAGAAGCACTGACTAAAATATGCCTTTATATGAAAATATACCAAAATACTACTCCATCTACTATTAATATACTACATACAAAAAGGTTTAAAAAAAGCAAGACAAAATATATATTAAAATACAAATGGTTGAGAGACCTAATACATTTAAAAGCATCCATATGAATTTTAAATGGTATCATCCAGTTAAATCATTGCAAATTAACCCTATTTAGCCTCAGTAAAATTTCTCCTCTGAATTCAGGCATATACTATATGCATTTTGCTCACCCTTAACTTTCAGTATCAAATGTTATAAGAACATCTTTTGCATCACACACAAGGAAACATGCAAAAGAAACATGTTAAGAAAAGGTCAGATACAGCCATACCATTTTCATTGTAGCTTTGTTTTCGAAAATCTGAGAAGCATTTTCTTCACATTTTGGTCTGTCTTTTGTCTGCTCACAGTCTGAACCTGTAAATATCTGGATGGGGTACCAGTGAAGTTGCATCTCATTGGAGCTCTCATAGTCAGCTAGGCTAATCTGAGCAATGCCCTGGGAAGACATTGAAGCAAAATGAGTCAATACTCATACTACTAGAGAAAACATTTGCTGTCTACAAGGCTACTTCTTATTATAATACAAAACACCGAAGAAGCAGCTGGGGACTTTTAGTAGGGCATTCTGCAAAGATGCCTTAATTTTTACTTTTATTTGAATACACAGCCTGGATAACTCAGTTGTTTAGAGTAATAACGCCAAGGTTGCATGTTTGACCCCTGTATGGGATAGCTTCATATTCCTGTACTGCAGGGGGTTGGACTAGATCAGGCGTGGCCAAACTTGGCCCTCCAGCTGTTTTGGGACTACAATTCCCATCACCCCTGCCCACTGGTCCTGCTAGCTAGGGATGATGGGAGTTGTAGTCCCAAAACAACTGGAGGGCCAAGTTTGGCCATGCCTGGACTAGATGATCCTCAGGGTCCCTTCCAACTCTACAACTCTATGAATCTATGTCCCTTTGCATACAATATACTCTGATATGTTCTAAGAGAGAACAGGAATGTCCTAAAATGTGGATACTGTGTTCATGACCTGTGAAAGGCTTGGGGCTTTACATATTGAGAGAGGGTTTAAGTAAATATACTTGCTATTGTTTGATAGACTGTCTCCCAAGCATGTGGGAGAAAAAAGGAGGTGGGGGGAGTAGTTTCACTAACATCTACTTCTAAGCTGAATGTTTCCTGTCAGTAAACCAGCAGGGGGCTCTTTCTTAATGCAAAGTTTAGCATTAGGCCTAAAAAAGACCAATGAAGTATTGTAATATTTCAGGGAGGAACACCTTAAAAACCAGAAATGTGACCATGCAATCCTGCAGCCACTAGCTCACTCCAGACTGGAAGCCAAACCACGGTTAAGGCAACTTAAATGTTGTTAGGCATGATGTTTGATAAATATTCATGTATAGGGAAAAAGAGGAGCTATTTTGTATTTCCAACAAGAGAGCTGAATCAGTTTAAGAAACAGTAATACAATGTGGAACTTTTATTAGCCAGTGGTATGACTATAAACCAGATTTTGTTTTAACAGGCTGAGTATTGTAAATGAACATCCATCATAGCCTAAACCAATGACATCACAAACCTATCATCCACAAAAAGGGAATTATCTTGATGATTAGATTAAATCTGAGACACCTTTGAACACAGGGATATGAGGAAACTGAAACCATTTTTTTCATTTACAATAGTTCAGTTTTCATGTAAAGCTAAGCAAACTATGGCTTAGAATGAACAATTAAGTGTTCTGGTGCACATTTAGAAAACTGTGCCCAGTTCACTTCTCCCTCAGTCCTACTGCTGTGAGAATAAACCACAAGCCCGGGTGAAGTTTCCAGCAGCACACTTGCTCATTCAACTAAGCCATAGTTTGTTAGGCTTAGTGTTATGCGGGGACCAGACCAATGTAAAGGAACTCGTAACACCTGTTTGTTTGTTTTTACAAAAAAGGCACCCCTTACCAACAATTCTTCTTGCTGGTGATGGCCAACTGAACAGATATAAAGCTGTAGTGATTTCAGCTTCAAAATATTTGAATGTACAGGAATCTGGAAGACTTCATTCAACACTAAGGGAGTTTGGAATTCCAAAGCTCTGGAGCAGTAAGTGGTTGATGTGCCCGACTCAAGAGATGGTAAGTATATCCTCACATGTCTGAGAACAGGCAAAATAAAAGTCATAGCAGGTAAACAGAAGCAGTAAGATATCATTTTAACTTCCTAAATAAAATTGGACGAAACATAATTTTCATTTTTCCATCCCTGATCATTATACTATTAGTAGGTTAACTTACAACAGACTGAAAAACTCTGTAAACCTGTGCGTGTGTTACAGCAAGTATCTCAAATTTGCCGAATACATGTGAATACTAAAATGAATTTTATGAAGGTTCAAAAGCATAGACTTCCTAAGCATTCACAAGGGAATGCTGGTGAATATTCTATAGATATATATCAGCATTTCCCAGTTTCCCTGCGTTTGTGGACATTTATCTGGGACTGTCATTGCTTATCAAATATCCTTAACACTGCAAGGCCTGCGCCAGTGAGTGTGCCCTCGGCATGGTGCCACAAATGGGCAACTGCACCATCCTGGCACAATCTCCTGCCTATGGCTGATGCAGCTGCCCCCACATCAGATTCCCAGTACAGTGTGACTGCTTGCAGCCACCGTCAGCCACTAACCTCAGTCTCCCCATCCCCACAAATATTTTATCCAGCGGCAGCATTTATTATGAAATCCCAGCTGGTTCTTGCCTCTGTTCTGCCATTTTAGATTCACCAAGGTGAAACTCTGACATCGCTTAACAGATGCCTGGCCATGCCAATCGCTGATTCCGCCCCCTCTACTGATTCATTGTGACATAAACATAAACTTTTGTTATTTGATTAATAATATCAGCATGTTTTACTTTTTGAGTCTGTATATTTTACTGCTTTGTAGTGTTTCTTCTTTCTTTCTTTTTTAAAATCATGTTGTGAGAGCTGCTTTGGCTGCTCTATAATGGGACAAAATGGTAGTTTATAAATGTCTTTAATTAAAAATAAATATATTAACATTGTTTTTCGTAAGTTTTCTGGAGTTCATTGTGAAGTAAATGGATCACATTCTATTCTAAACCCCAAGTAAGACAGATGCGTCGTATTCTGACGCTTGAAGGAATGGAAAGCAAGAAATCGGGCCAATGTAGGTATTTCAACTTACATTTTACAGCCTTCTTTCACAGCAAAGCCTGTGAAGTTCTTGAGCTGCAACACATGGACCAGGAGACACTCAGTCGCACTGTCATGCCTGAAAAAGAAGTTCTCAATTAATTGGTGACCAATTGTGTGGTCTATAGGATACAAAGACAAAACATGCAGAATCACACATGTAGCACAAATGACTATTTTTATCTGCCAGAAACCCTGGAAGCTTCTTCTTTTTTTAAATAAAATAAAATACAAAAATGACAATAAAAACATACTATATGACTGTATCATAGTGAATTACTGACAGAACCATACTTAGTAATAAAAACTAAGGAAGATGACAAAAAACACAACATTCCATTCCGTTATCACATCCCAGAGCACATACAACAAAGACATGAAGATCAAGAAAATATTGCTCACATCTTACCATAAATAAAATTGCACATAGGTCTCTTGAAACTTGAAATTCCAGTCATTTATGTATAAAACCCACCTCTCAATAAACTTATTAGGTGCATGTGCTTATTGCATATCTTAAGGACTGCCTGATTCCTTATCTTGTGACCCAAACACTGAGATCTCAGGAGTATTCTGTTGGTGGTTCCCCATGGCTCAGATAAACAGCTTGGAACTGCTAGAAGCTGTGGGCCCAAGCCTGTAGAACTCTTTCCCAAATGTGATTAGATTGGCACCACCCTAACTGAAATTCAGGCACGTAATTAAGGCTTTCTTGTTCCAGCAGGGTTTTTTTGGGGGGGGGGGAATTGTTTTGTTTTATTGTTTTCATTTTGTGCATAGTTTGTTTCTATGTATACCGCTTAGAAATGCCGATAGCCTTCCTTTTCAACACTAGCGATGTTTAGCTAGTGATACATTGCAATGTTGAAAAGCTGGTATCGCCCAACCCTAGTAGAGAAGAACTGGAATACCACACCTTACCAAACATGATCTGGTAATTTTCTCCTCACTTTTGGAGTATTCTCTCTTTGAAATGATGATCTGCCGCAGCTTAGCTGTGCTCCAAAAGTTCAAAATTATTTAACCATTAAGGACGCTGCACACCTGGCATACACTTGCATTTTAACAAGGAATATTTACCAAAGAAAAGAAAAGAAAAGAAAAGAAAAGAAAAGAAAAGAAAAGAAAAGAAAAGAAAAGAAAAGAAAAGACTTACAGAAATCCAACTTGCATTTTGGGCTCTTCATTGCTGACAGCATCACTGTAAAGTGATTCTTCAATATCCTCATTCCTATGTGGTAAGAGAAAAAGCAATTTAAAAACTAGCAGTAGAGCTGTATTTTCATTACCACAAATGACCTGAGCTACTCTGTATGAACAATGCACATTTTACCTACTGCTTATTAAACTTCTTTATTTAGATTATGAACTTCCATCAAAAGTAAGATTTATTGGCATTATTGAACTCTATGGGAACCACTGCATGTTAACGAGAGATGGCTACAAGCATACATCTTATGTTATATTGCCGAAAAGGAATGAATTAAATATTTACTTCCTATTATCATATGTTGCTATTCACCTTAAAAAAGAATGAACTATAATTTTATTCTCAGACATGCAAACCTGGACAGTTTTTTAGCCATCACCAAATTTCTAGCTGCCTGGGATATTTTGAGCCCTTCAGAAAAGGGGTTTTAGTTTAATGGTATAGCTCATGTTTTACATGCAGGATGTACCAGGTTCAATTCTCGGCAATTCCAAGTAGGGCTGGGAAAGGCCTACAAGTAAACACAGTCAATCCCTACTCATGAGTAACACGTGAATAGCCAAAACAGATAAAGGCACCAACATTAGCAGTTATTGAAACAAGTATCATAGACAGATACTAAAACTAACAGAGAGGCCTTTGTTTTAAAAGGGTGGTTCAAAAACAGGTGGTGTTTAAAACCTGTTTTAAAATCTGCAGCAAAGAGGCCTTGCACACCTCTGAAGGAGGGTGTTCTGTCCTCTGGGAGCCACCACTGAAAAGGCCCTGCTACTCATGCCTGACAAATGAACTGCCTTCACAGGCAGGCATACAAGGCATGAATCTATGCCCAAGCAAGTTCATATGAGCGCAGGTGGTCCTTCAAATAACTGTTTAGTGTTTTAAAGGCTAAAACTAGCACTTTGAATTGGACCTTGAAACACAACAGGAACCAGCGGAACTAGTGAAGAATGGTGCAATATGATGTGATTGTCTTATCCTCCTTCCCATGGAGCAACCTAGCAGAAGCGTTGTGTATATCATCCATGTTATTCAAATTAAAAGCATTTATTTGATTTATTCCCCTCACCCCTTCCTTCCCAAAGGAGCCCAATCCCAAACATATCTTAACTAGCTTGGGGGGGGGGGGAGTTTGCAAGACCCTAAACTGTTATTAAGCAAGGAAAGAAAGAAAGAGCACAATAGTCATCAAGCAGCCAGAGAACCAGGTAAAAAATCTACCTAACTAAAATGTTTTAAAGAATTAGCCATTAGTTAGTAGTGTATATATAAATAAGACTTTTTACCAAGTGTTTTTTGTTGCTTTTTAAGGGAAGGATGTTAAGCACAGTTCCAATTTACAACACATTTATACAACCTGACCTTTTGCTTAAAGCTTCAAACACGCCACTGTCACTAGCCAGTGAATAATTGGACAGACATGCTGAGACTCGCCTGGCTCTCCTCTCTGACCTTCTAGCACTATCTTCACGTAGGGTCACAGCTACAACATGGGAAAACAGCAAAGACAAAGTTCATTCATACATGATTATGATTATTTTGAAAAAAGCAAAGCTCAATCCATACAAAATTTTTATATATCACTAAGGCACCATGGTTTATTCAAGTTTTAAGAAAGGGCCCTTAAGAAACAGAAGGCACTTCTTGGCCTGAACTAACACAAGTTAACACTGAAGTCTCATTCATTTTAGCTGATCGTTAAATACATTCTCATTTATGTCTAGATTGTGTCACTTGCTTCTTTTGTGACGAGGCAAAGACAATACTGTTCATGCAGTTTATTGAAAAAATGAGCAGACAGTTAAGAGACAATGTTGCGAAAACCAGAAGAATATGTTCCATTTTCATTGGTGTAATTCACTGATATTAACTGTGGCCTTCAAGCCATACCATGGCTATGGATGTGCTGTAGATCAATCATAAATTAAATGGGTATTTAAATACTTGCATAGTGCAGGGTTTATTTTGAAGGTTCTGTGAATATAAATCATACCGTAATTGCTATGTACGTTCATGCTTACTAATGGAACCTATAAACCATGGGTTTGATCCAGATTAAGTAAACTGGATTTAGTTCCTACTGAAATAAGAGAGATTTAAGGCAAGTCGTGACTAATTTATCCCATTGGTTTTCATGAAAGCTAAGTGCAAGCAACTTAAGGTAGGAATCGACCTAGTATATACTTCCAAGTCCAAAATAGACTTTTAAAAACAAATAAAGCGGGGAAGGGGGGAATAGGACTGGAGCAAAAGCAAACAAATACACAGTTACACTTCATTTTTACTTGGAACTCAACATATATGAACAGCAGTACCATAACAGCTTTGCAGACATAAAGGACTATAAGCAATTATACGTGCACAACAGGCAAGATACACGAGGAGTTGATTTTTCAAATGGAAACTACAAAAATGTTCACTTAAGACAGGATACGTACAAATAGAGACAATTTATTTTTCTCAAAAGTCAGAAAAGTAGGAAAGCAGCCCAAAAGGTGGACATTTGTTTTATGCAGTTGTTTAGTACACTTATGCCACGCCTTCCTTCAACGGTGACCCTCAAGGTAGATCTGTAGGGTTGCCAGGTGGTCACCATTTTTGGGACTAGTTGCAACATGTGCCCTCAAGACCATGCCCTCAGCAAAAAGTAGAAGCTCCAGTACCATCATTGAATTTTATATACATGCAAATGTGTTCCAAATAATACCTTGAGATGTATATAGCTGACTACACATAGCTTGGCTTGTATCTGCGCTGATTAACATATTCATTTAAGATACACATGAAATTTAGACATCAGAGTTCTATGTGAGATTACTAGTTTATGGGCTGTAAATAACCTACCACTAAGCAACTAGTCTATGAGGCTAGTTGGTATACGTCAGTTATGTGTGGCAAGAGAATATACTATGTATCTGATGTATGTATTTACTCAATTGTGTGCAGCACAAGTAAGTGCAGTCTTAGTGGACCATGGGAAACCTGCTCTGCAATATTCCATTTAAAATAGTTGCAAGGAGGAGTAAAATGCAGCACCCAAGGAATCAAGGGGGAAGTATCAACAAATCAAAACAATAAATGTCCTTTGCTGCATCTTTTATTATTTTCCCAGTAAGTGTTATATTTATGTCCCACCACATGATCCTAGTAGACTAACAAGCCCTAGTAATTTCTCTTATGCTTGCAATACTTTACAATTAATCTACACTATTAAGGTTAGCAGCATTTTTGAACCTGGAAACACAGTTCCCCTTTTGATCAGTTTCCTGGTGAACTGCCTTGACAATGGAGAACATTATGTTGCATGGACTCACTCCAACCCACCAGAGGAAAGAACAAATCTGATTTTTCCAATCTTTGCAAAGTTCAAAGGAGCCGAGGAGAGCTTCACTACCTGAATTTATCTTTCCTATATGGTAATAAAGTTCTGCAAATCTATATAATTTTTACAAAATTGTAATGAACAAAGAAGAAGCGCCTGTGTAGCCACAAAAATCTGGCAGACTAAAAGACTCTTTCACTGACTACTGTACCTTGGAGATCACCAAAAAGAAAAAAGAAAAAGATATACTGTGCTATATAACAGTAAAAAATAATAATAAAGAATCAAGATGCAATATGAAAATGTTGCAAACATGTTATAAATGTTTCAGTTGAAGTTATTTTGCCTGGTGCTTTAAATGGATTAACAAGACAATGCCACTAAAATTAAAGTAGGTGCTACCTATCAGCATGCCTTTTACTAAGTATTAGCAGAAACACAGCTTAACCAAAAAAAAGGGCACAAGATTTGAAATATCATGCAGCAGGCAGACAAAACCTCTGAAATTTAGCATATTATAAAAAGGTAAAGGTAAAGTCTGACAGTTAAGTCCAGTCACAGACAACTCTGGGGTTGCGGCGCTCATTTCGCTTTACGGGCCGAGGGAGCCGATGTTTGTCCACAGACAGTTTTTCCGGGTCATGTGGCCAGCATGACTAAGCCGCATCTGGCGAACCAGAGCAGCACATGGAAACGCCATTTACCTTCCCACCAGAGTGATACCTATTTATCTACTTGCACTTTGACGTGCTTTCGAACTGCTAGGTGGGCAGGAGCTGGGACCGAGCAACGGGAGCTCACCCCGTCACAGGGATTCGAACTGCCGACCTTCTGATCGGCAAGCCCTAGAGGCTCAGTGGTTTAGATCAAAGCACCACCCACGTCGCTTAACATATTATAGTATATAGTAATTATAGTATATAGTAATAGGAACTTAATTTGACAGTTCAGTGATCTGAAGTCCTTGTATAAAGATATACCCACGACCAGTTGTGACATGTCATATAGAGTAATTTGGTTTAATTATCATGAAGCCTGAGACATTAGTTAGTGGACAGAAAAACTACCATCAAGTTAAGTAATTTTAGTTACTAAAACTGTAGAAAGAGATTCACCAAGTAGTAAGAATGTGTGGTTACTTTAATAGCTTTTAAAGTATTGCTATTTTTTGGGTTTAAAATACTTTGATGGCAGTTTTTAAAAAATCCTTCCAAAAATAAGGAAATAGTAAATCCTCACCCACAATTTACCAGGCATGTTGAAGACAGCAATTTAAGCTGCAGACACAGAACATTATTACAGTAGTCAACAGGGGCTATTAAATAGAAAATAATTCAGTTAATACTGCAGCAACATGAATGGGCTATAATGGTTATAAATATGAATTTTTTTGGATGAAATCAAGGAGCGCATATTCCACCCTCCCAACATGCATACAATACAGAACAAAAACAAACAAACAAACAACACACAAACTGGGCTTTACAGGCAGGAAGGAAAAAAACCCACCACAAGAAGAAATTCTAAGTTCACTTACAGCAAATTTTTCTGTTGTGCCACGTGAGAAACAAAATACAAGAATAATTTAAGTAAATAGTGAAATCAGTTGAACAAACCTGTAATTTTTTGTAAAAAAATGAACCATTATTTAAGAACAAACTGAAACTGTGATTCAAGAAAATAGACGGTATTGGGGTGGGAAGTTTAAATTCAATAATGCTTTCCAAAGCTTGTTATTTGGATCTTAACAGTCCAGGGTAAAAACAATACCAAAACAAACAAACAAACAAACAAGCCTATGGCTTGCCACCAAGCAAGAATGCTGCTCTGTTTCATGCTCTTTACCTTATCAAATGCAGCCTTTTTGCACAGCAAGGTGTCAATTCTAGATGCTTTAGGGGCTGCATAAATCTGTGCTGGAGTAAGATTCCTAACTTTGCTTGGCCTGCAGAAAGTGAACTCCTGTAATAAACTAAACCTTACTTGGCTAGGCCACGTAGCAGCAATAAAAATGTTCCTTTTGTTGCACTTCCTCTTCCTGACATTTCCATCCATTGTTGGCAAAAACTTTTGAATGGTAGTAAAAAATCCCAAGTGAACCGAACAACACTTTACTAGTATAAAAAGAGGGGTCCTGGGAGCCCTTAATCTCAGACTGCACTATGAAACATGCCAAGTTAAACAATTTGTCGTACAAATAATAAAGGTGGATTAGACAGCTATTAAATTGGATCACTACTGGCAGCATCATATAAAGGTAAAAAGGTAAAGGGGACCCCTGACCATGAGGTCCAGTCGTGACCGACTCTGGGGTTGCGGCGCTCATCTTGCTTTATTGGCCAAGGGAGCCAGTGGCCAGCATGACTAAGCCGCTTCTGGCGAACCAGAGCAGCACACGGAAACGCCGTTTACCTTCCCGACAGAGCAGTACCTATTTATCTACTTGGACTTTGACGTGCTTTCGAACTGCTAGGTTGGCAGGAGCAGGGACAGAGCAACGGGAGCTCACCCCATCGTGGGGATTCGAACCGCCGACCTTCTGATTAGCAAGTCCTAGGCTCTGTGGTTTAACCCACAGCGCCACCCACATCCCGGCATCATCATGTAGGTCTCTCTTTTTCGGGGGTGGGGGGAACGCTACAGGAAGGCTGCGGCAAATAGAGAACCCTTTTTTTGTGGTCAAAGTTTTTTTGGGGGGAATGGCTACGTATTTCAGTAACTCCACTCTTACCTTTCCTAGACCAGCCCCAGGTGTGGACAAGTGTGGGCAGCACAGGAAAAAGAAACCAAAGGGGAATACAGGATATGAGGGGCTTTTTTGGAAAATGGACATATATTGTCCAAGAGCAGTTTATGGCCAGATTAAATGCAATATAAGCTAACTGGCTGCAGCAAATTTAAACATTTGGCCAAAACCTGATGAGGCTGGAGGAAGTCCCCAGAAGCCTGACATTCTTTGAATGCATCTGTGTCAATAGAGAGACTAATTTGACTGGACAACCTTCAGAATGTATGTCACTATTTATGCTGAAGAACTGGTAGCCTAAAGTGTGGATCATAGCTCTAGCAGAAAAGCTAAAGCATAAGAATTGAGAACTGAGGGGAGCAAAACAGGAAGATACTTTATAGCTAAATGGAGCCACCTTATAACACTAGTGGCTTGACAAGGTGGAATAGTCAAGCATTAAACAAGGTGGAATAGTCAACCAAAAAACATTATGGAAGAATTCACTACCATGGTATATCTGGTTTTGAATTTCATGATTTATGGATGGAGACTGGTTCAGGAAGGAGGACTATATGTTGACTACATGCTCTGACCTGACTATATGCATGTTAGACATGCGCCAAGTTGTATTGTTAATCCTTAATTTGCCGTTTTCGATTGGAATGATACTATGTAGATGTGCATGTACGTTTAACTTAGAAAACTCAGTAAACAATGATAACTGAGGGGAATCCAATGTATACAAAGTACTTAAGGTACATGGGGGGAAAAGGTAACTTAAAAAAATATTATGATAAAATAGAACTAGAAAATAGGATTGGGTGTTTAAAGTGGACCACAAAAGGATGAATCAGGATGATAGTTCACCAGCATGTGTGAAATGTTTTTACTATGAGATGCAGCAGCGAAGGTCATGGAAGAGGCAATAGCCTGGATGTGCCCAGAAGACTTGGAATCAAAGATGGCTATCACAAGAATGCAGACTTGGAACTGAGGAGGAAAATCCACATGTATTCCACATGTACTCATGTGGAAATATTAGGCTCTGCATTTATTACATACAATTTTTTCAGTTCTATAAATAATGCAATATTGAAAAGAATATAGGGAAGACCTACAACAGGCAAGACTTGAAGAGATTTTAGAAAGTACAGTGGTACCTCGGGTTACATACACTTCAGGTTACAGACTCCGCTAACCCAGAAATAGTACCTTGGGTTAAGAACTTTGCTTCAGGATGAGAACAGAAATCGTGCTCTGGCGACGCGGCAGCAGCAGGAGGCCCCATTAGCTAAAGTGGTGCTTCAGGTTAAGAACAGTTTCAGGTTAAAAACAGACCTCCGGAACAAATTAAGTACGTAACCCGAGGTACCACTGTATTCAGTTGAATGCACTTGAAAACTATGTGTATTGAAATAACCTGGTAAGCAAAGTTTCCACTTGCAGAAAGGTTTCTAATTGAACACTATTATAAAAAGCCCAATTTTTGTGCTAATACAGTGGTGCCCTGCAAGACGAATGCCTCGCAAGACGAAAAACTCGCTAGACGAAAGGGTTTTGCGTTTTTTGAGTCGTTCCACAAGACGAATTTCCCTATGGGCTTGAGAGTTCTTGCGAGTTTGTTTCCTTTTTCTTAAAGCCGCTAAGCCGCTAATAGCCGCTAAGCCGCTAATAGCCGTGCTTCGCAAGACGAAAAAACCGCAAGACAAAGAGACTCGCGGAACGGATTAATTTCGTCTTGCGAGGCACCACTGTACCAGCATGCAAAGAAATACTGCACTCAACCCTGGTCAGTCAAACACAGCTTTAATTTTATTTGGATTTGGGCTGCTATTCACTTTGTTGTGAAGAAGAAAGACCCTAATTACATGAAAAACACTTTGAAAAACCATTCTTTCAAGATCTGAAAGACAAGACATGACAGAAGTTTTTCGAGGATGACTTTGGTAGGTATTCTGCATCATGGCCAGCCCACTTGTGGTCCTCTCTTCCAGTACATGAATCCGGAAGATTTGAAACTGTCAAATTCATAACAAGGCACCATGGAGTAAAAAAAATGCTGCTGTGAAGACCAAGCAACAACAATTTGCCTTCCTCCAAACTTATTACCGTAATTCCACGTTAATTAACAAGCTTTATAGCAGGAACACTAACTGATCAGATTTCACTAATACTTTTTTCCATATTCATAGAGAAAAACACAAATTAGTTACAGCAAAACAAAGGGCAGTTTTGAGATTGCTGTATAAATAAATTCACAAACCACCTAGGCAACTTAGTTTCATTAATTCCTGCCACTGCAGTTATTTAAACTTACAAAACTCACTTATGGCATAAGTATATCATGCATTTTAGGGTTTTGAGAATCAACAAAACAAAATGGTGAAAGCCAAAAACCTACCTCCAGAGGTTGGAACATTTGTCAGTTGCAGTCCTGCATCTCGAAGTCCTTCACTGCCTGTAGAATATTCAAGAGCCTTGGATGAAACAGTTTCTTGTGCTTTGTCTTCACCCAAAATAGAGGCCTGAGCTCTGAGCATTTCTAAGGCACCTGTTCCCATCATTTCCTCATATCCTTCTGACCGCTGGGCCAATGGAGAATCCCGAGAAGGAGGTAGGAAGGGGGTATCCAGGGGGGAACTTGGTGGCGATAGTGAGGACAGAGAAGACCGTGAGGACAGAGATGCTAAAGATAAAGGCGTGTCCAATGATCTCCTTTGCTTACTGCAGCTATAATGTCCAACAGTTTCAATATACTGTACATCTTTACTGTGAGAATCAACAGGAACTGGGTCATATCGCATAAGCTGCCCATACTCTGTAGCACTGTCCGATTTCTCATATTGAGGAACACCATAGATGTCTGTGAAGCTGACAGAACTGAGAGAGCCCCTGCTGGACGCCAAAGATCCACGGCTGGATGCCAATGACCCCCGACTACTTCCAGATGATATTGTTAGAGTGCTAGCAGACAAGCTAGAAGACAAAAATGCATTTGTAAATGTCTGAACAAATGCTAAACACAATGGGTTGGTTCAGACAGCCCTTGGTACACAAGCTCCTTTGTTCCTGGCCTCCCACACCTCTCTTTCGTAGCAAGCCATCCTTTGCCATTACATCTGCAATAGCAGCCTATGGTTTGTGTTTGAGCCCTCCCCCCCCACCCCCATATACATTTTTCCTGCTTGACATGCTAGTTGCATGGCAAGTGAAAACCAAGCGTCCCAATTTGAATAGAATGACTAAGTTCAGTAGTTCCAAGCTGAAAGAAGTAGAGTGTCTTAGAGTAGGATTGAAAATATAAGCCTAAAGTTTGATTTTACATGCAAACTGAGTCAATGGAATCCGTATTGTTTTCTCAGATTTATTTTCAAATGTATTCATTTCTTCACTTTCTGTTACTCTCAGATTGGTTTCTTAACAGGATCTCTGTTATAAAAAGTTACCAGAACTTATCCAGTACTTCCAATATCTGTCATCAATTTCCCACAAGAAATTCAGTCTTTTTTAAGTTTCAAAGTCTGTAACTAAGTAAAGTCTGGTCCAAAATTGAACACCTGTATTTCTTAATAAATGCTTACAATAGGAAAAAAATATTATTGCTTTTGATTTAATTAATTGGCAGATGGGAAATATTAATCAGTTACATATAATCATCAGTCATCGTCGTCTTCTAATCAAATATACAGCTAACCCTCAAGATTTAGAAAATTGGCCAACAGCCTACCAAGTTTGTATCATTACTATGTCAATCTGTATTTTGAAACTTAAGAGTGCTTTCTGGATTTTTGGAGTTAAAAATAAAATAATATTCCTAATCTACTGAAATGGCCATGAAGCAATATGCTAGCAATATATAGCTAAAGGTAAAGGTAACCTGTTCAGTCTCATTTATAGTATGAGACTATGAGACTATATCTAGGTCAATTTTACTTTTTTGGAAAGCCAACTGTCATGATTTGCCATAAACACAAGAATCAATTTCTCTGAAGAACTAACCTCTTCAACTGCGAGCATAAATAGGATGTTAAACGAGTTGCTTCTTCCAACTGCATAAGCAGACAGTTCTTCTTTTCTTGTAACAGTATCCTATAATAGAATAAACTAGTATTTTTACTTTGCAATGACAGTAAAAATAAAAAAACCAAGTTCTATTTAGTGACAGATAAAATATTAGCTTGACAGATAAAATACTAGCAGGCAAGCAAACAATAACTGCAACTGGTATTACTCACGTAGTATTTACCTCTATAGTTGAATTAAAGGTAAAGGGACCCCTGACCATTAGGTCCAGTCGTGACAGACTCTGGGGTTGCGTGCTCATCTCGCTCTATAGGCCGAGGGAGCCGGCGTTTGTCCGCAGACAGCTTCCGGGTCATGTGGCCAGCATGACTAAGCCACTTCTGGCAAACCAGAGCAGCACATGGACACGCTGTTTACCTTCCCGCTGGAGTGGTACCTATTTATCTACTTGCACTATGACATGCTTTCAAACTGCTAGGTTGACAGGAGCAGGGACCGAGCAATGAGAGCTCACCCCGTCATGGGGATTCGAACCGCCGACCTTCTGATCGGCAAGTCCTAGGCTCTGTGGTTTAACCCACAGCACCAACCACATCCCTGCATAGTTGAATTAGACTGGTACTGTGTCAGTTAGTTAAACCAGTTCTGGAGACTTAGGAAAATGTGGCATAGTAAATAAGAGCTAAGTAGGATTTGTTAAGAAGTACAAGTATCCACTATTTTAGTATAGCCTCCTAACTTCATTACTATCCCAGTGTGTCTGTTATATACCCCATAGCATCTAACAAAATAATTGAATCCTTAAACCTTTCGGCTGCACCATGAGAAGAAGTGGCCCGAGCCTGCTGGATTTCATCCTCCAACCTCCTCTTTTCCTCCTCTAAACGATCCATGTCTTCCGGGGACCTCTGCTGCTGGCTTATGACCTGCAGTTCTTGTAGGAGAGCTTCTTTCTCTTTGATGAGCTGAAGATGGTCTCTGTCCGCTTCTACCATCCCTGGCCAAGACTCATGATCATGCAGAGCCAACTGTTGCTGGATACTGAAAACCCTTCATTACAAAGGACCACCAAGAAATTACTAACTTACTGAAGAAGAAAAAGCAAGGAAAATCTCTACAGTATAGTTATGAAAGCCCTTAAAATATACACCACACATGTATCATCTGCTATCATAAGCTTCTGGAAAACCCAGGATAAGCTTGTAGAATACTGTTCCATATACTTGTATGCATTAGGTGCTCCTGGTTAAAAAGCACTCTCATAATTTTACTATTACAATCCTTCCAAAGCAGCTTCAAAAGTATGAATTACTGCAAATTCCACTTCTTTGCAGTAGGCTCTTTGTCTTTTAATACCGTACGTGTTCATAAAAATATTCTTACTTTGGAATCTTCTAAAAAATGTTATTATATTGGCAGAAAGAAATGTAAAATCAGGGGAAATGTTTGCATCTATCATCCACAAAAATATTTGTTACACATCCCAAGAAAAAGACTTGCGAACATGAATTTGTACTATCATGGTGCAGGGGGGAAAAGAGGGAAAACACCGATATTGAATTTCTATTATCCTGAGTGACATTTTCCATCAGGAAAGTTGTCTGAAGACTAACTACATCCCAAAATGGAAAATGAAATGTAACACAATTTTGAACTCAAAACAAAAAAAAGTAAAATTTAGTTTCAAGACTACCACCTCAGTTAAATACATCAGGACTTCATTCAAATTAATAATATTTGCTGTAATAAATAAATAAATGCATTTGTTTAGAACTGCTAAAATGACCATGGGACAGAACACCTAAGAAAACGCACAATGTCCAAACAGCTTACTATCTACTACAGGAAAAAAACTTTATCCTTGGTATACTAAATGATTAAGTCTATTATTTTAGATTCCTTGACATTGCTTACAGTAAAGGACAATAAATACTGCATGAATTCTTAGCATGGTCTCTAATGAAAAAGCACACACACACAAATTTCTATTTTGTGGAAGAATTTTCTCAACTCCAATGGCGACACATATACTTTGCTTTCTCATCACTTTGGATAAACAGGAGCCTGACAAAAGTATTTTTAATGTACTGCAACATGTTAATTTAGTAGCTTGTAGATTTAAACCAAACGCAGCACATTCCTACACCCACACTGTGTAGCTGCAATAGATGTTTCATTAGCAAAGTGAGGTTGAACACAGAAATATTTTGTGGAGACAAAAGCCGTACAGAAATGCCAGCAAGCTAAGGGGAAGGAATGCATGATAAATGAAGAATGTGACCACAGAGATAACTGGTAGAAGCAAATGTGCTCTGAGTTCTTACCTAAACATGGTTTTAAATACAATTACTATATATTTGATACAAAAAGCTACAGCTTTTCTGAAAAGGAGAGATTTATGTACTAATTCCAATTATTATTTTATTGCATGCCTACAATAAATGATCTTGGTCTAATTTTTAGAGGTGTTTCCCACTTTTACATGGTGTTTCCTGTGATCTCCTGCCCAAGGAAACTAACTGGCTCCACATCTATTTCAGCAACAGGTGATGTCAAGACAATTCCTTTTGTCCTGTGTTAGTCTACTGTGTTAAATCATTAAAAAACATGCAGTGCTTCTCTGATTTGCCAATCCTTGATGGGAAACACTAACTGCACATTTCATTAAACAACTATTCTTATACTTAGGCACAAAGTTGCAGACACAAACTTTTAGATGTGACTTACATCTATATTCAATGTGTATGAAACTACTAATGATAATATTCAAGCCCCTTTTGAAAACCTGCCCCACTCTAGATGCTCCCTCTTATCTAGCTGACATGATCAGACCTAGAGGTCAACTAAATCACCTGGCAACTATAAGTGGTGTTGGAAATCAGTCATGTTAAGTGACCTTTGAACTAAATGAGGTTTATAACGAGGTTTATAAGCTAACAAACATAGGTTAATGAGCAACCTTTAATCAAACTTAATAATGACAGATGTGTGAATGTAACCCAGCGACTTAACGTTAAGCCATGGTTTAATAAACCATAGTTTAGTTTCCTGTGAGAGCCAGACCACTGATTCATTTCAGAATTGAGTTCCAGCTGGTTAGCACTGGTGATCAACATTTCAGGTTATGCATACTTACTTCTTTCTGGCCTCTTCATATTGCCAGCTCAATTTTATTTTGTCAGCACGTCTTTTGTCATCAAATCCAAACTTTTGAAAGGCAAGAAAAATGACAAAATTAGCATTGCATTAGAAAATAGTAACACTGTGAGGAGAAATGTAACTTCAACATCATCACCTAACCAGGAGTGCTTACTGGGACAGAGCAGGGCAGGGCAGTGGCAAAGTCAGGGCTGCACAGCAGCGCCAATGGAATCAATTCAACACTCTTGCATGGCACCCAACCTTAACATTGTCACCCTGCACCGATAAGCAAAACAGCACTGACTCACTGTACCAGCCACTTCTGTCCCAAATCTAGTCCAAAACTATTTTGAAGCTATTATCATTTTGTTCATGATACAGTATCTTGGATCCCAAGTATAAATGGCTATAGTTATTTACTATATCTAATCTAGGACCCTGAATTCATGCTAAACTATGTTTAAAATACCATATAAACTTTTAGAAAAAATACATAGTTTGCTACAGAATGACATTTTCTTTATAATATCGAAACTCAGAGTGCAAACCTATGCCAATGTACATTGGTTCTCAATACCTCATTCTCACTAATTTCAATTAAATTAATGACTACACAGGCAATTGTTAGACTTCATATTTAACTTCTTTGTTTGAGGCTCTAGACCTTTCTCAAGTAAAGATTGTTTCTGTGATTGATTCAAAATTCTATGAGCACAAAGGGAATTTAATTCTTACGTAATATGATTGCTTCTTAAATCAAGCAATTCAGCCATTATACATACCATGCTGGAGATAGTTGCCCATTCCTGCAACAAAGAAAAAATGATAGACAGAAAATATACTTTGGAACAAACACAGAAAAATGGTAGAAATTACATATGCTATGTAGAGTGAAAAAATGTATGCAAGGTTTAAATAGCTAATGCAAATCTCAACCAGAAAAATAGATTCTAGTTTAATGCCTTAATGAAATGCAATATGTTAAGAGATTTCTTCAATTTAGTTGGATTTGCTGAACAGTCTCACTAACCTATAAAGTGGAAACCAACAGTATAGTTTAGAACAGTGCTACATTTATATTATATTATATGACATTATATTATATGACATTATTCAACCCCATTCTTTTGCTTCAATAAAAGGTAAAAAGCCCATAATGCAATTATATGCATTGTGTGTTTTGATTAAATCCTCTTTTGAACTGAATTGGGAAAATATATTTAAACGCTGTCACTATGCAGTACAACAAAAGTTACGGCTTTTTCATAGCAAACATATTTAAATAAAAATATTTGCATACCTCTCCAATGATATCAGTTTGAGAACAAGCATCAGAGTAGTGTTGAGGTAAACTGGAGTCACTAAGTGGGCTAGAATTATGATGAAGATCCTGCAGAGATTCTGTAATACAACAGCTATTCCTGAATCCATCTGTCAGCTTGGCCAGACTCTTAAAAAAAGAACATTAAGGAAAGCATCTTATAAAAGAATCTATTTGTAGTTTAATCATCCTTTTTAAAACAAGTCACTAATAGCCCATGGATTTCTGTTACTAGTTATGACAGGAAAGATCATCATATAGAATGGAATCATGACTTGCATAGAAAGCTTTTTTAAAATGAGCTTATCTATACAAAAATATAAGTTTAACGTGATGCATATAGCAACAGGAAAACATTGTAAAATGCATGTAGTCTAGACAGACTTAAATAATAGCTAGTATTAAGTAGTCCTCAAGACTGTGTACATGAGGAGCTTTAATTCCGTTGAGTAATATATAAGGAACAATTTTTTAATGCTGTAAAACATCTGTGTTACTTTACATAACTCAGATCTTAGCTTGAAGCAGCTGCCATCCAGGAGGGCAGATCAGAATGGCAAGCGGTAGTGTTCAACAGATACCTTAGAACTATTTGTTGGAAAAGCCAATATTTTCTTTCAGTATCTCCTAGGAAAAGCATTTCAGCCTCCCCCAAATGGTCTGACAATTGGGAAGGTGTTTTCATATTGTAAGTTAAGTTTCACTTTTAGTGGGGAGTTATCTGACTAAGTATTTCTCCCCTCCCATTATGTTCTGACACCTTGTCACGTCAAGCAAACAGAAGGGATTATTCATTAAACAATTCTGTCAGTTAACCCAAAGATGATTTCACTGGAAAACCAGTCTAAGCAGCTAATGAAAGGCTCCCAACACAATATAAATCCAACATTTAGCAAAGTATTACTTACAGTTCAGTTTAGCTACATCCATTTATTGCAACTCTCTAGCTATTCCTCTTTTTTTTTTACCGTAACAATATAATATTTCCAAAATAAAATCTCATATGCTAACAATTTGAGTATATAGAGGACTTGATTCCTGACAGGCCACAAAAACAAATTCTCAAGTAATTTGAATTCTTCTTTAAAGTTTCCTTATAAAAATGATATTTTTTCACATCAATAACATCATTTTAGTCACCATACCCTATTTAGGCCTGGCTAACTCTTCCTGTCCTTTTACCTATATATGGACCAACTGTCAACACATTTTCCATCAGCTCAGTTTTCCAACACCTACACAAAAATGAGTCATGCTCATCTAATCCAAGACCATCAACTAAAAAGGGGGTGTTAAGGTAAGTATTTCCTTCTTCTGGAAATAACCCCATCCCTGGCCATTTAAATTGTCTCTGAAGGCAACCTTGAGTGTTTTAATGGAGCATAGATACATAAATAAATGACTTCCCATTGTGTCAAGTGATACTAGGTGCGATTGTTGCAAAATATAGGGCTGAGAAAAGCCAATGGTGCATTTTGGGATTCTACTAAAAGTCTGGGCACCTGAAAGCCTGTAGCCTTTCCTCCTGGATGTTTTTTGCTTCGTTATAACTGGACCTTGGTCTGGCTGTGAGGAGCATGTGTGATCTCAACACTGGTTTGTTACCCCCCACCCCCCAATTTAACTTCCATATACAGTGGTACCTCGGGTTACATACGCTTCAGGTTACAGACTCTGCTAACCCAGAAATAGTACCTCAGGATAAGAACTTTGCTTCAGGATGAGAACAGAAATCGTGCTCCGGCGGTGCGGCAGCAGCAGGAGGCCCCATTAGCTTAAGTGGTGCTTCAGGTTAAGAACGGTTTCAGGTTAAGAACGGACCTCCGGAACGAATTAAGTATTTAACCCGAGGTACCACTGTACAATACAAACACTGAAGAACAGGAGTCAGTTGAAGAGGAAACACTGATGTGATTAATCTTACATTACATTACATTACATTACATTACATTACATTACATTACATTACATGGAAATGGAACAAACTATGGACCTTTCATATTTCAAAACATGGTAAATCCTTAAATGGTAAAAATGAGAAACACATTTCCATAAAATACGTTACTGACCAACTATGTATGCACAAAGTAGTGTTCTGACTTGGTATAAATTCCCAGTCTTGTATAAGACAACAAATGTCATTAATAAGTAACTGACAGCTTCTTACCTGCATCAAGTCTTGCCTCTCTCTCTCACCCAAACAAATAGCCTTCCTGATGCTTCGAAGCTCATTCATTATTGCTTGGGCTTCATCCAATTTGTAATTCATATGGGCATTTGACATCTTACGGTCAATCCTGTTATACAAACAAGTAGCAGAAAAGTTACCCATTTCTGGTAATATACAAACTGAAATCAATTTTAATGCTCAAGGTGGGGGGAGGGGGGACTGGCCTTCTAGATAATGGCCAGAGAACAGAGAGTACAGGTGTCAAGTAAAGGGAGGGTTCCTACAGGGAACAATTCAGGAGGAGGAGCTTCCCAAATTAAACACTGTGTGTTCATTGTAACATTCCCACAGGAAATGTTAGAATTATTTGGAGAATTGTTGGTAAGCACAAACATCAACAAAGTACTATTATGAACAACATTCATAACTTTACTATCTACACCAGCAAGAATTAGGGCAAAAACACCTCATCCTGCTTCAATTGAACTCACTCTTGTAGTGTCTCTACGCCTCTCTCTTTGTACTGTAGTTCTTGCTTCATCTGCGTTAATTCCCGCTTCAACCTAGAAAGCTGGAGACCAAAAAAAAAAGTTAAGAGAATAGTATGCACTGGAAACATACTACTACTGCTGCAATTGTTCCCTTCATGGTACTTTCTCCATTTCACTGATTAAAGTGGGTTTCTAAATCCTAGTTTATTGGGATACCATTAATCAGAACTTCTGGTCCAGAAGTAATGGCTAATTGTAGTTTCCTAGTTTCCTTCTTCACTTTCACAAAGGTAAGAGAAAAGCAAATGACCACAGCTCATGCACATCCTAGCTTACAGCACAATCCTAACCAGGTGAACTAAGTCCTACTGAATACAGTGGTGCCCCGCAAGACGAATGCCTCGCAAGACGGAAAACCCGCTAGACGAAAGGGTTTTCCGTTTTTGAGTTGCTTCGCAGGACGAATTTCCCTATGGGCTTGCTTCGCAAGACGAAAATGTCTTGCAAGTCTTGAGATTTTTTTTTCGCTTTTGCCCCTTTATCTAACCTGCTAAGCCTTTAATAGCCTTTAATAGCCTTTTAGCAGCTAATCCGCTAAGCCTTTAAGCCTTTAATAGCCGCTAAACCGCTAATAGCGCTAATCCGTTAAGCCGCTAATAGGGTTGCTTCGCAAGACGAAAAAACCGCTAGACGAAGACTCTCCCGGAACGGATTAATTTCGTCTTGCGAGGCACCACTGTACAATGGTGCTTACTCCTAGGGAAGTGGGGTTAGGATTGCCACCTTATTAAGGCAGGAATTGATTTTAGAAAGGCAGCCATATTGGGCTACAGACATACCAACAAAATATTCTAGGTTGTTCAAGCATAAAGAAAAGTAACTGAGGACAAGAACTATGCATGTAGTTTTATCTATGTCTCTGTGTCTTCAGTTCTTTGTTTGCTATATTCATAATCATGCTGTAAAAATGTTCCATGCCTTGACTCAATAGTTCCTTTAGTAGTTTATTTGTGGACAAAACCATTCACCAAATGCCACTTAAACAGTGCATCCAAGTTACGCAGGCAATATAATGGCTCCATGCCTTCTGTTCCTGTGGCTGCCAAGTCAAATTTAAACTTTATTTGTGACTTTTGTACTAATGTTTAATTAGGGTTTTCTAATCCCTAATTATAGCATACATTCAGAAGGAGGAGAGAGAGTAGGAAAAGCTACATCTTCTCCCCACTCTTCTCGATTGCAGAGTAGGAAGATTCAATACTGTAGGAAAGGCACTTGCAAAGGACTGCCTGCACCCAGGACAACTGAAGGAGCAGAGTGAATGGAGAGTTCAATCCTGCAGGGTGCTGATTTGCAAATGCATTCCTGATGGGGTCTGCAGCCTTCCCACCAGATGTCACAACCCCTCCAAGCTGCCCAACTCAGGTCAAGCCTTGATCCCTCTGAATCAGCCCAATTTGGTTTGGGGTTCAGGTTATGGCTAAATCCAGTGCACAGTCCTAGCTACTAAGCTGCAGTGATACCATGTTTGGTCAAAGTAAAAAAGCAAATATCAGTTAAACAACTTGTTAAGTATGGAACAAATGGGGAAGGCCAGGGCAAGTCACTATTTTTTGGTATAACTGATTTAACAGAATTGGCAAGATAATTGGAGAAGTTATGGTCTATTACACTGTACTAAAGAAATTTCTACGTCTATAACTATGTCTTTATTTTGCTATAATTTTACCACTATAAATAGTAAACAACTTAGGAAAACACCAACTGATCTCAGGAAGACTTCTTAAAAAGTCAACTTTTTCTATGTATACACACAGAACAAATACCCCTGATTAAGTTTTGTTTTTAGGACTGGCCACATAAAAAATAGCTAACTCAAATGCATCCACCCTTTAAAAAGATATATTTCATTATCTAGTATGCTTGGAAAGTTGATAACCATTCTCTCAATATAGGTGAATGAAAAGAACTTGCAATTTAGGAACATGTTTGTAGTGCTTAACATTGCTTTGGAATAGCTATGATATATCATGTCAGTTTCAATCTATATTTTATTGCTTACTGTAAAGAGTTACATGCAGCCTAAAGTATAAGCTCAGATGCAATATACTACCTCCATTACTCAACTCAACTCAGCCCAATATGGGAGCATATCATATTGTTAATGGCAGCCAGAACATCTTCCATTTTGCTCCATCCCAATGCCCCCTAGGGCAGTGATGGCCAAACTTGGCCCTCCAGCTGTTTTGGGACTACAACTCCCATCATCCCTAGCTAACAGGACCAGTGGTCAGGGATGATGGGAATTGTAGTCCCAAAACAGCTGGAGGGCCAAGCTTGGCCATCACTGCCCTAGGGTATTACAACTAAATAAGGAACATGCAAAGCTGCCTCATACCAAATCAGACCATTGCTCAATTCAGCAATTCTACTGCTGACCGGCAACAGCTCTCCAGTGTTTCAGACCGAACTAGGGATTTCTTTCTGCACAAAAGCATGCACTCTATCACTGAGCCATTGCCCCTCCTACCCTACCAATGAAGGTATCCGACTTTAATATACGTGTGCTGGAATTAAGTAACTCACAGTGGCAGCTAACAAACATATCTCTCAATAAACATGATTTAAAAAATTTAGATAGAATTTGTGGTGTGATGATTCTGATTTCATTTTTTTTAAGAGAGCATATAACCCTTTAAAACAATAAAGAGTTCGGGTAGTTGCAGGGAGCTGGAGTCAAGTTTTCCACTATAATTACTTCACTAAGGCAAAGCTGAAATGCAAAAACACAAAGAAAGCTTATAGAGTGAAGAAGAAGAGGTGACACTGATTATTTTCAGCATGAAGTATTAGAAAAGGGTTACTCACTCTGTCACGCCTACTTGCTATTTCTGCTTTAATCTGACATGGGTCGTATTTGGTATTGGTTGAAAATCCAGAGAATGCTGAACAAACAGAAAATATCTTAATTTTCAAAACACTAGAAGTAGTTCATTAAGTGCATTGTAAATGCTAGGCTAACTAAATGTTTAACAGCCAGATCTTATGCTTCACTTGTTCCACTTACTCCTCTATAGCTAAAGTGGAAACAAGTAGTCTACCTGAAGACATCAATCAGTTCAACTAATACCAATGCATACCATTAATCAGGACAAGCAGTCTTCTAGTCTATCCTACAAAGAAGTGGAGAGTTTAAAACAAATAATTTTGTAACTTATACGTGCGAGGGGCGACCTGTATTTATTTTATGCAAAAAACAGTTTAGAGGCAACAGATTTATTATCAACTGCATTTAATGAAACCTAGTGAATTACTATTAACCATTTAACAAAATTCCCTTCAACAAGTTTTGTTTTGCTTTCAAGATCAACACTTTCAAATACATTCTCTTTACCTGCCCCAAAATAATCTGCTTAATTGAATGCTAGGGACATGGATGAAAAAATGTAAAATTGTTTCTTTTGTGGTCATAGTTCATATTGTCTGCTGGATACAAAAGTACTAACCTAAAACATCCTATATACAGTAAATACAGGACACTGTATATACAATGTATATAAATGTATATACATGACATCAAATAATTGATGTTGGCTGCCAACACAAAAGATACCATGGGCATATGGTAATATCCCCTTTTGATTAATATTCTTCCTCTGGTAATACAGACTGAACAAAATGAATTATGTCTTGTACATTGCATATGTACGTATTTTTTACCAATTATGTCTTGTACATATGCATATGTACGTATTTTTTTTTCCATTGTACTTTAATACTGTGTCTAAGGCACTAGTCGATCCTCAGAGTCCCCCTCTACAATTCTATTATAGTCTGACAGTAAATTACATTCTGCTTGGATTAAATTCATATTTTGGTAATATATAGTAGTTTTTGTGTATGCACTTTTATAACGAGCAGAATTTATCACAGGCATACTAGAATGTGGTCATTTGCCACAACCCACCATAGGGATTCGTGAGGAGTGCTGTGTCACTTAAAAAAACAAAACCACATTGAAAGTACTCTGGACAAACTTCATAAAGTACAGTATATGACTAGCTTTTCAATTCTGTTTTGTACACAGCTCAGCTTTATTTGTGCTATATAGTTTTGTTTTTATTCTGTTTATAGGAAATTTTACATGGTGTGGTTGTTTTTATGTAAGCTGTGTTAAGAGATTTTGTTATACTGAGTGGTATAAATTGAATTAGTTTCTGATGAGTGGTTCAGCACTATCAGATAGAACTTATGGATTCTACTCACAAAGAAGAATTCCACTTGAACAATGGAACCAACCCTTCCCTCTCCCCTGCAACATCCTCTCAAAATCTACTCCAAAAGGTTAGGAAATCCATTGGAACCATTCTGGAGTGGGCGGGGGGTGGAATGTTGCTTGTACGTTGCTGGATCCAACATTCTGAGTTTAGAGGACACAGTACTTGTAATTTTATCATATGAAGGCATTTGACGTGTGTTGGAACATATTTTTAGGAAACACCATACAGTCATACCTCAGTTTGCGAACGTGATCCGTGCGGGAGGCACGTTCGCAACCCACAGCGCCGCGTCTGTGCATGCGCTTGACACAATTCGGCGCTTCGGCGCATGCGCGTGACATTGTTTTGTGCGTCTGCGCGTGCGCCGAAACCCGGAAGTACCCCGTTCCAGTACTTCCAGGTTTGGCGTGGTCCGTAACCCGAAAACACGTAACCCGCAGTGTTCGCAACCTGAGGTATGACTGTATTCTTTTATTGCAAAAGGTTTTAAATGATTTTGATACTGTACTTTCACATTGTTGGCACCTTATCACATAGGACAAGTAGGCAGTGCAAATAGTAGTAGTAATAACAATAACAATAATAATAATACACATAGCAGCTTCACCACATGAATATTAAGGGAAGAAGTCACTTTGTAATGAAATCCATCTCCTAAATAGCCATATGAACTGCTCCTGGATTAACACTAAACCTGGGCTCACCCAAACAAACTAGGGAGCATAGTTACACATGCCAGTTAAAGAAATGGGCCAAGGAAACTATTTTATCTCATTGATATCTGCACACATAATTTGGGTTATATGCATTATGACTGTTCTTCTACCTGAAAAACCTTCGTTGCTAGATGAACTGTAATACTTCTGTTCCTGCAAAATCAAATACTGAGGCAAGTGTATGCCATTTGTTTTTCATAGTACAAATTATAAATTTAATTTAAAGATTTAGACTGATTAATATGTATCTCCCCTATGAGATACAACTAAGAACAGGAAGGACTGTCGCTGTCCCACCTAACAAAACAACCAATACAGTTGTTATAGTATGTATGAAAGAGGAAAGTATTTTAAATGCTTTTAAGATTCTATCCAATGCCATTTGGCATATTGGTAAAAGGTAAATAGCAAGCTTTTCACAACTACTGTATTCCAGTGCAAATAGTAAAATTTAATCTTTAGAAATAAAATTAATGCAAGCCTATATTGTATTCAATGGTACATGGTTCTGAAAAAAGCATATGTATGTTGAACAGCTTACTAAAGTAACATTCAGTCAAGGAAAATCACCTTCTCTATTAGCATTTTCAGAAGTGAGAAGTAAATTAGCATTTTACACATCTGAAATACACATATTTTAAGAAAAGCAAGGAAGCCGTTTCTGTTTAAACCTTTCTGTTACAAGCAATGTATTTTTCTGGGCTCAAGAATCAAATTAATGAAGAAAAATACAGGCCTTGGTTCTCTAATATTTATGCCAAGCAAACATTAAAATATGTATTTGTAAGCTTCAATAGCTAAAGAAAATCAAGCTTTTTGAAATTTCTGTCAGTTTTGAAAACTATGGAAAAAAATTTTTATAAAAACAGAATGACTCATACTGTAAAGCATCAATTACAACTAAATTGTTTTTCCTGATTCTATTTCTGACATGCTTGGTGCCATGTACACAAGAGATGCGTAGTGCACGAAGTTTTAAACCTTTGTTAAAGAATTATAGAAGTTTTGTTAGATTTTTTCAAAAGGTGTGTGCCATGAGTGATAATTTAAAATGAAAATAATACTGATCACTGAGCTGCTTTAAATGTGTGGGATTTTCTCTTTTAATTTTCACCAAGCAGAATACTCATACCCTGCACAGCCATCACACATACAAAAGGACCCTCTGGATCACATCCCTAGTGTGAAACTTGAATTCCTTTTAGATTCTGGATAAAATGCTGTTTGCCAGCACATTTGAAGTTTTAACTTGTAATGTAAGTTTTCTCTTTATTAAATACTCTGATGCCCTAATTCACAGATACACAAGTCGGAGATCAAAACATACTACAGTGGTACCTCGGGTTACATGCGCTTCAGGTTACATACGCTTCAAGTTACAGACTCCGCTAACCCAGAAATAGTACTTCGGGTTAAGAACTTTGCTTCAGGATGAGAACAGAAATCGTGCTCCGGCGGCACGGTGACAGCAGGAGGCCCCATTAGCTAAAGTAGTGCTTCAGGTTAAGAACAGTTTCAGGTTAAGAACGGACCTCCGGAACGAATAAAGTACTTAACCCGAGGTACCACTGTAGTTGGTTTTTAGCTTAACAGCACTCACCCAACAGAGCACTACCTGATATTTAAAATCCCTAGAGTTTAGAGAAAAAGTTGCAATGCCATATTTGGAGGGCTGGTATTAAACCAAATAAAAACAGAAAGCCACATTGAAGATATAAACAATTCGTTGTGCATATATTCCCTGCCTCAACAATATATAAATCAAGCTTTTCATGCCACACAAAGTTGCATGATGCAAATTTATCACTGGATTGGAACTGGAGCAAGTTAGTTGCACTTAGCGCCTATTGAATCAATGATAGTTAAGTTAGGTATTGCTAACTTTTCACATTATTTCATGGTACGTAACATGACTTGACTGCTTTTGATCCAAACCATTTATAATTTAAATAGCGCCACCATATTCTGAATTCCACAGACAGGATGAATAAATAACAGCATTATATCATGTTTCTCAAATTTTCCACATGTAAGATGGTTTCTTAATAAAGCTCAGAAACTTCAACTTAGCCTGCAAAGTGTAAAACTGGCTTGACTAAGACAGCTTTCAGAAAATAATAAATCAATGAATTATTAAAGGCAATACTAATAAAAGCAAATGTTCCCAATAGTAGCCTTCTAAAGCAGCTTTTCTTTTTTAAAAAAACAAAAAACCTGCTAGATATCGTTCCACATATCTGTACACAGAATCGAGTCAGGCCTTTAATTTTTGAAGATTCTGAATGGAAACAAAATTATTAGTTTCCTGTTACAATTTTTTATTGTATTTTTACTTTTGGATCCTGCCCTTCCCTGCAAAAGAAAACCTGGATTGTTAATACAGGGGTCAGCAAACTTTTTACCCATGGTAGGCAACCTAAGGCCCGGGGGCCGAATCCGGCCCAATCGCCTTCTAAATCCAGCCTGCGGATGGTCTGGGAATCAGCATGTTTTTACATGAGTAGAATGTGTCCTTTTATTTAAAACGCATCTCTGGGTTATTTGTGGGGCCTGCCTGGTGTTTTTACACGAGTACAATGTGTGCTTTTATTTAAAATGCATCTCTGGGTTATTTGTGGGACATAGGAATTCGTTCATTATTTTTTTCAAAATATAGTCCTGCCCCCCACAAGGTCTGAGGGACAGTGGACCGGCCCCCGGCTGAAAAAGTTTGCTGACCCCTGGTTAAGAACATACAATAATACAAATACAAACCACAAAACATTTAAAGTATCACTCAAAACATTCAAATATGAACCATTTGGAGATTAAAGGTAAACTTACAGCTGGCATAAGAGCGACTGTCATCCTCACACATTTTATGCAGCTGCTGATATTCTTCTTGTGCTAGCTCAAAACGCTGCTGCTTAATTTGGTAGATTTCTTTTTTGGCATTAAGTGCTTCCTGGGCAACAATTAAATATTCCTTCAACATGCGCTCCTGCTCTCTTCTCCACTGCTCTCTTGGGTCCTCAATCTGTGTGAGTTCTGACGAGGGGAAAAAAGGTGTTCAGATTTGTAAAGTGGCAAAATACATAATCATCATACTAACACACCAATTTGCAACCTACAAAACTGGCAGGCCTCCACATCTACACTGACTTCTAATTTGAAGACAGTTATTTCTAAAATATGTAGTCTAGCCTTCAACTGCCTGATTTGGATGCAACGAAAAACCACCCTTTAGCATTATGTGCATGGGCCTCTTCCTTGCACCTTCTCTAGCAAGTTTGCAAGAGGTCAGAAACATCCACTCTTCTTTTCAAATAACTGCAGAAGAAACGAATTATGCTGAGCCACGAAAGAAGATCCAAGCAGTTGTGTTTATAAAGGTTGTCCATCTTATTTCACTGTCATACCTCTGTCAAATGCAGCTGCCTTATATCTCAGAAACTTTACATCAAATTACACAAAGATAACCTGAGCTCATGGGAGCCATTAACATATTTCATGTTGTCAGAACTGTTTCATTATGTTTTAGCCTTACCCAACACAGGGCTCCTAAATACATTTCTATAGAAATTACTTATGTGCATTCATTTAGGCTTATGGGTGAATTAAAAATATTAACCGCATTAGTTCCAAGGCATTTTTTTAAAAAAATCCTTTTACTTACGATTGATATGGTCCATGTAATAAACACCAATCTGTTGATCGTAAACAGTTTCCCATCCTAAAGGCAGTTCATCGCCAACACAGTCAGCAAATGTCAATGGCTTTGTAATCCTATAAATAGCATGAAAAATGGAAATGGGTTCAAAGTGAAGCGTTCAGTTAAGTGACACTACAGTTGCCTATGGAAGTTATAATTTGGGGAAAGCCTTAGAGAGCAAGGATGGGGAACCTGTGCATCTCCTGTTGGTGTTGGAATCCAGGTTTCATCAGTCACAACCAACTTGGCCAAAAGATGAGAATAATGGGAGATGTTGTCCAGCAACATCAGGAAAGCCACAGGTTCCCCATTCCTGCACCAAGACTTTGAAAACTGAAGTTAGTACTGGTTGGATGAAGCACATACTATTTCAAGAGGTGGATATTGGAAGATATCTTGTAGAACAAGAGAGGCAAGATTTTCTTTTTGCATTCTAAGCTTAACAGTTTAATTATTGTGGTATGTAGCCCTACAGGTTTCTCCTCTAACAAAAAGGACTGTATTGAAATTCATTGCTATTACAAATTGAGCCTAGTATATGGTTTGTTTTTTGTTTTAGAAATATCAATGCACAAGAAAGTGAGTTTGTTTTCTTTTAAAATCTAGAAGTGAAACATTTACTGACATTAATTTTTTTTTATAACAAATGCAGTCATTTGTAAAATACCCTAATTTCACATCATCAAAACCTACAACATACATCAACTTGAGCCTTTACATGCAGTTATATTTGTAACAATGGCTGTGGACAGATATGATTTATCAAGTTGTTCAAGCATTTTCACAGCATACATTTTTGCAGAAAATGCTTTCAAGTTTTAGTTTCAAGCTAATAGAAGACATATCTAACAACTAGAAACTTTTTACTTTTCTAGTAAAAAACAGAAAGAACATTTCCAATTGCATATTTTCATACTTAAAATTGACTGACATACATTGTCAAAGGCTTGGGGAGAATTAGCAAGCATCCCTTCCACCCTGACAATTACAACAAAGGTAGGAATATTGGTTTATTTGTCATGATACAAGTCTCTGTTGCTTTACATCAGGGATGGGGGAACCAGCAACCTGCCACATGCTGGATGCTCACAGGTTCCCCATTCCTGCTCTAAACAATGATTTCAGCTCTTCCTTTCTAAGTGAGAAATCTTTCCTGAACCTACTGTCCACAAGAAAGAATTACAGCATTTTAAAGTTGTGGTTCGAGGACCCGATCCCCCCCACAGTGGAATGAATACACAAGGACACGTGATATAAGGCTAATGGGCAAGAAAAGGCCACAACTTCATTGATTACAGCAAGTGAAAAGGTATTGGCTTAGGCATTGGATTACGTCAGCTGACTCCACCCCCTCAGAGAGGGGTGAGTCTGAAACAAGGGGGGTTTATTCACCAGTAGGTGGAGCCTGTTGATGCTAATCCAACTATAGGCTCTCTCCTGATGTCACCGAGGGTCGTGCCATGGCCTCCCGCCAAGCAGGCATCGGACTGAATACATGACCACCAGATTCCTTTAACAGAATACCCAAAAATTGAAGGCATAGGCGATGGCCACACCTAGCCCTTCGGCACCACGACACATTATTCCAATGCCTAACCTACCCACCAATACCACGAAAGTTGTGACGATTGCTACGAGGTAGGCAAAAAACCCAAAAAGCCTAATGCCAAATGGAAAAATTCCTACCAGGCCCCCCGGACAACCAGGGAGACCAACCTAAGGTCCATAGCAAGGCCAAGGAAAACTAAGACCCTGAGCTCAAAGGGAGTGGAGGGTGGGTGACTCGCGATGGGTCGACGAAGAGTGAGGCTGAGGAGGGGCTGGCGCCGCAGTATTAAGGCTGCTGTACACGCCCCTCGGAGGCACCTGGTTGGGTGCCTGCCAATGGGCGTGGGCGCCAGCCAGGTGAGTGGGAGGCAGGGGGCTAACGCCCCCTGCTAGAGGCGGGGCTCGGGCTCCCGCCCACAACCACTCCCCTCTCTTCAGGAGGAGAGTCTTTCCTGCGTTATGGTAATTGATTTGACAGAATTTTGTTTCCAACTTCCCAATCATGTTTTCCCACTAACTCGGGAATGTCTGGGATTCACCAGCACTCATGGCTGCAAGGAATACTGCCTAATTCTACCCCAGATGTGTGGGGTGTCTGTGTACTGTTTGGTTCAAACGTCAAAGAAACCCAATAGGTCTTTTATGGCTTTGCCAGGACTTCACTATGGATTAGATTTCTGCTCTTGTATTATTTTGCAAGTCACTCACTACATCTCTACCCTACTCAATACTTGACTGACTGACCTGATAAGACTCTTTCTTTCCTCCAGTCAGCTCTCTGTTCACTGTGTTAATATTAAATTTAAAACCATGATTTCAAATTGATTTTTTAAAAAAATAATTAAAGTTAACTACAGCGTGTTAAATTGGGTGATAAGCTGTGGTTAGGCAAAAACAGGAGCAAAAGCACTCAAACCACCCTCTGCAGAGGAGAACAGGGGACAATGAGATCAGGTGAGGCTCATGCAGATCATGCTGAACTATAGGTTTAGCACAGGGATGGAAAACCTGTCACCTTCCATAAGTTGCTGGCTACAGTCCCAGTCATCTCTGTCTACTGGGCATGGGGATGAGTCTAATGAAATTTGAGAGCCCAGTAACACCTGAAGAGTCACAAGTTCTCCGTCCCTGGTTTCGTATCGCATTCAGACACAGCCAGCCTTCACCACACTGCTTAGCATTCCAGCTGAGCAGCAAGAAAAGCCTAAAGGATACTGCAGAATCTGCATGGAAAATCCTTTAACCAAAGACTAGCAACTCAACTCTTATTTTAAATTACCAAGTCAGCAGACTCACCACAAATGCTCGCTCTCATTGAGGGAATAATTGGCCCTGTGCAGAGATGCCAGTGTGAGCTAATGAAGCAACTTGCAGATCTCTCTTGCACACAGATACCCAGACAGACAAAAGATTTGCTACATCAGTTTTAAGAAGTATTTTGAGAAGTGTTTAATTAAGAGGCTCCAAAGTGACAAGCGCGTGCAGGCTGTTTATCAAGATTATCTCTTGATAGTGCCAAGAAAGGCAACAGTTTTTGACATGTCTTCACTAATAAAATACACAAATGGGAGAAAAGAATACACCTATCTTTAAAAAAAAAATGTCAGACTGAAGTTGCATCACTATTAACACTACATTTGCTTCTGGAAGAACTAAAAGGCAAAACTTTTCTGTTATTAAGTATAGGTTACATACTAGCTCAAATATTTAATAAGCAAATTCCCCAACAGCATTTGTATTTTTATATTATGAATTATTGGTTGCAGAACATTTACTGTCCATATAAAGGTATGCATAAATCACAATGACACAATGTTAGGCTTCTGATTTTATAAGTCTTTGTCTGACATTTTTGAAATATTCTCTTTTGTGAACTTGGCAGCTACACTATCAGAAGAGGGAAACAAGGAGTAAAGTTATTCACAAGAAGAGCTGCTTACTGTGCTTTTTTTTAAAGTAACATTTCAGTGCTGGAGGCACTATTAGAACTTCCTTCACCTTTGCAACTACAGCCTGTCTGGCAATACATTCCAATACATTCCAGACTTAAGGGGAAAGCCAGAGTCAAGCTATGACTCTGTTATGGGCACAATATTGTTTTTCAAAGAATCCGGCCAGCTGTTACCACATAAATATGCATTGTTCCACCTGTACACATTATTCCACCTTCCTTCCAAAGTAGGATCATACAAATGCTAAACATATAATGGAAGCACCTATGGCTTATTGTCTCAATCCTTGTTAATGGCTTGTTATGGATCTCCACTGTTCTCAATCAACTTACAACACCCACCATGTAAGTCACATATATTATCTAGGCACATTCATGAATAGAACTAGTGCACATTTGTTGGTCTCCAACTAGCTGCTTTACTGAATGTGCCTACCATAAAACCTGCCAGCTGAAAAAAGGCAGCTATTTATGTTGCATGCTGTATGAAATTAACGTACATTCCACTTGACACAAAGCCTATTTTCCTTTCATTTTTAACACAGTTGTAAATGTTCTTGTGTAGGCAAGTATTAAACAAAACTAACAATGTATATCTCTATAAGAATTCCAATTTATGTAAGTAGGGCAGAACAGGACTACTTCAGTATTAATAACTTTTGACAATATTGCAGACAATGTTTGAATTCTCTAATGTTTTGGTAACAAGCATCACATACAGTTATTCCACAAATAAAGTTAACTATCTGTGATAAACAACAGGACTATAAATCATCCACTATTTTAAATATAACAATGCACACATCTTAACAACTTGACTAGTGAGCAACACTAGTTAGTTACCTCTTTCTAGATTCTAAAGATTCAAGTTTTACTAGCTATGGATGCAAAAATATATATATATATTTAAATGTAAACTTGCAAACATCTTAACTGTTACCACTCTGGTTTTATTCTGACATTAGCTAAACAATGATTTTTAGTTTATTTTCTATATACTGAATACATAATCCAACCAAAATTAAATGTTTTAAAGTTCAAAATTAAAAGAGAAGTTACATGTTCTTACCTTTCCCACTAAAATCAATGGAACTTCAAAATCTCTAACCTTGGGCAAATTGTGTTCTAGTGCTTAAAATAAATCTATATAAAAGTAATCTTAGTTCTGCACCATTAAAAGTTGAATTCTAAAACCTGTATTAACTATGAAAAAGAAGCCTCTCTGCAATTTTTTGTTTCAATAAAATATTCAGCTTCTGCTGCTCAGTCAGCCTGAAAATAGTCATCTCATACAAGTTAATAATTGTTCCACAGATGATATGCAGTAGCACTGGGTTCATTTTAAAAAATGTGGGCTAGTAAATCTTGTAATTTGCAAAGCTCAAGAATCTCATCCTGTGGGCTCAAGAATCTCATCCTTTGGAAATCCTAGTGAACCCACTTCTGGCTTCTGAAATGGGGAGCAGGTATTATCTGGGCTCAAAACTTTAATATTGCTTTTTTTAAAGGAGAAAAAGAAAAAGAAATTCATTTACTTTTCTCCATTGGCACCTCATGAGGAAAAAAAGGTTTACTTTTCCAGCATTCTACATTATTATTCTTAATATATATGAAAATGTTGTCAGCCACTAGGAGCTACATTCCTCAACAAATTATACCATCACAATTATGTATTTACATTATCATAGAGAACATTGCTGAATATGAAATCCACTGAAAAACCTAAGCTAGGGAGATCAATACAGCTCAGTCAATAGGGCATGAGACTCTTAACCTCTAGATTGTGGGTCTGAGCCCCATGTTGGGCAAAAGATTCTTCCTTTGCAGGGAATTGGGCTAGATGACCCTGGTGATCCCTTTGAACCTTACAATTCTATGATTCTATTATTCTAAGTGGTAATTTATAATACTTCTACAGAGAGGTTATTTTCATAGGATCCAATATTAGCCACAGTTCCATTCTGTTCCCCCACCGCCAGCTCTACTCTCCCCCCTCAATCCAAGTATCATTAAGCTTAAAATAGACATTTCCGTTTCCTCTGATTATTTCCCTTGTAGTTTCCAAACTTCAGAAATGTTTAGTCAGTATATCAGCTTCCTATGTTTGTATTTTAAATAGTATCAGTACCAAGAACTCTCTTCAACAGTGATTACCAACAAGCAAAATTTGTCCTTAGACATCAGCTGCTTGTTGGCATTTTTTTGTGAGCTATACATTGCCGGAAGAATGATAAATGAAAGAACTTAAATCTCTATAGCATAAGTCCACATAGAAGTATTTCACTGAGAGTCCTCAACCTACAGAAAACTCCTTCCAGTAACTATGTAAAACTGCCTACTTAATTTATATAGCTCCTCTATAGCAGAAGCCAATGTGGTATAGTGATTAGGGCATTGGATTGGGACCTGAGAGATCCGGGTTCAACTTGCCACTCAATCATGAAGCTCACCTGGTGACCTTGGGCCAGCCACAGCCTCTTAACCTACCATACAGAATCATTGTAGGGATTAATTAAGGAGTGGGGTAAGCCAGGTACTCTTTGAAGAAAAGGGGGGTGGATGATACAACAACAACAACAACAACCCACCCATCTGGCTGGGTTGCCCCAGCCACTCTGGGTGGCTTCCAAAACAAGAAAACATAATAAAACATCAAACATTAAAAACAACCCAACTTTTAGCTGTCTTCTAAAAGTTTTGGAAGACAGAGAAAGAATAGGTCAGAGGTAAAGACCATGTGATATTAAGATGATGTGTGCCAATGATAATCATGAACTTCCCAGGCAGCCTGGCCACATAGTAGGGCATGGCCCTGGGTCTGAGATGCAATAAATAAGCTCTTCTGATTATCTGCTCAAGAAAGCTGGAGAGGGGCCAGCCAGATGGAGATATCAGTCTCCAACCTGGCATCCAGAGATCTTCACGTGGACCTGCAACTGGACCTGCGCCAGACACAAAACGTGCCTGGCACCTGGGGATATTTGAACACTGCAATTTGTACTTCAATTTGAACTAATTAATTTGGTAAACCATTTGATGGGTGGCATCCTAGCTTACTGTGTACCTCTCTAGAAACTGCTAGCTGTAAAGCTTATGCTTTTGTTCCAGCTAGCAATGCTATCAAACAATAGAGGTGGTACAATGTAAGGAAATAATATCTGCACCCTAAAATGGCCCTTGCAAAGGTTCCATCACTGTGAGAAGATATGAAAAATTTTACGCTAACTGGAACTAAACACAAACATATACAATATTTTTTCAGATCTGATACATTTTGTAAGAATGGCACAGCTACAAAAAGCCCTACTATGGTCATCATTTTGTGACTCATAATACAGAAATCTTAAAATTGACAAGTTGATAAGGTAAATTTGCAAGTTTAGAAACATTAAATTTCTTCTTAACCAAAAGGTACAAAAGGCCAGCAAATGAATTAAATACCATATTTTTCGCCATATAGGATGCACTTTTTCCCCTCCAAAAATGAAGGGGAAATGTGTGTGCGTCCTATGGGGCGAATGCAGGCTTTTGCTGAAGCCTGGAGAGCGAGAGGGGTCGGGGCGCACGGACCCCTCTCGTTCTCCAGGCTTCAGGAAGCTATCCGCAAGCCTTGGGAGCTCTGCGGGAGTTCCCGTTGGGCTCCCCAGGCTTGCGCATAGCAGCCTGCATCCCGAAGCCTGGAGAGCGCTGCACAGTGCGCCCCGGGCTTCGTGCAGATATCGGGCAGCCCCACAAGCTTGGGGGACAGTGGGGAGGCGGAGCGCCGCCACCCCGCTATTCCCCGACCTGGTTTGGAGGCTGGCGGTGGGGAGAAGCAAACTTCTCCCCACCGCCAGCCCCACAAGCTCGGGGGACAACGGGGCAAGCCGCTGCCCCACAGAGGCTAGGGAGGCTGTCCCTGAAGGCAGAAGAGAGAGACGGAGCGCTCCGTCTCCCTCTTCTAGCTTGGGGATGGCTGCGCAAAGCCTCTGCAGGGCAGCGGAGTGCTTTTTTTCTCCTCTAAAAAGTACGGTAGGTGCGTTTTTAAAAGCTCGGGCTTCCCCCGCCCCAGCCCTGCGGCTGGGGGGGGGGAAATAAACTTTGTTTCCTTAATTTCCCCCACAAAAAACTAGGTGCGCCCTATGGGCCGGTGCGCCCTATGGGGCGAAAAATACGGCACTATGCATAGCACTTTGCACCAAAGGTTTCATCAAGCATTATGTCATAGTCTCTTTCAAATGATAGCAATAATATTTCAAGTTTCCATACCAAGACAAATGCATGCAAAAAAATATCCACCGAGCACACCACATCCAAAATATGGTCAAGTACTCCTATTTGCATAATTATTTTCTGGGTGTACTAAAATTGGATGCCAGTCTGGAAATGTTGTAACAGCTGAATATTTTAACTGGCAACACCCTTACACCAACATGTTTTTATGTCATATCAGCTATAAATCCAGACACACAGAACATTTAGTTTCATAATTAAAATCCTTTTGCGAACTTTACCAATACATCATACAAATATATATATATATATATATATATATATATATATATATATATATATAAATTTAATAATGTTCCACTTTACCAGCTTCTCTTAACAATATGCAGCATATGCAGCTAGGAATGTTAGGGCAATGCTTTTTTGTCTATAATGATACAGAGTTGGAGAAGGCTGTTCATATCAAAACACATAATCAATTAGTGGAATTGTCCGTATGTAAGCAATTAGAAAAGGATGCTGTGATTACTAAGAGTCAGCACGGGTTTCTCAAAAACAAGTCATGCCAAACTAATCTTATTACTTAATGGATCAGGGGATTGCTGTGGGTGTGATATATCTTAACTTCAGTAAGGCTTTCAACGAAGTCCCTCATGATATTCTTGTGTAAAAGGTAAAGGTAAAGGGACCCCTGACCATTAGGTCCAGTCGTGACCAACTCTCATCTCGCTTTATTGGCCGAGGAAGTCGGCGTACAGCTTCCGGGTCACGTGGCCAGCATGACTAAGCCGCTTCTAGCGAACCAGAAGCCGTTTACCTTCCCGCTGGAGCGGTACCTATTTATCTACTTGCACTTTGACGTGCTTTCGAACTGCTAGGTTGGCAGGAGCAGGGACCGAGCAACGGGAGCTCACCCCGTCACGGGGATTCAAACTGCCGACCTTCTGATCGGCAAGTCCTAGGCTCTGTGGTTTAACCCACAGCGCCATCCACGTCAGGCAGTGTTATTATTTGGTGCATTTGTAACTGGTTGACTGATCAAACCCAAAGAATGTTCTCCAATGGTTCCTTGTCATCCTGGAAAGAAGTTACAAGTGGGCTGCCGCAGGGTTCTGTCCCAAACCCAGTGCTGTTCGACATCACAAGGTCCCTGGCCCAATCCATGCAGATATTGTAGACAGATATCCACTAGCCTCTGATTGTCAATAATTTTGTGTTGCTCATAGTTTGTAGCAATTCATTTATCCAGACAGACTTACAAGCATCTGCCATCATCAGAAGTACAAAGTGTCTTATCTGTGCAAGCTATGACTTCTGCTGATGTAGTGAATGCCTGTGATTATGCCTAGCAATAAAAAGCATAGCTCAGGATCAAAATGCCTGCCACAACTATTTAACTACCTCACTAAAAGTACTTTTTCCAGCGTGCAAGTACTCTCTAAGATAGGCGCTGGGGATCTCAAACCTAGGGGACTCTGCTCAGGCCACACACCCTCACCTGCCTGCCCTGCTCCCACCTTTGAATGTTTCTTCCTTGCTGGAATAAGCCATTCAGCTGTGGTGCCTCTTGCTTGCTTGGATGAAGAAGAGTTACGTATGTGGGGAGGAGGTGGATGTGTATATATAGAAACCTCTGTGTGAAGGTAAAAGTCACATTCATTGCTCCTCTACTTTTGCTTCTGGTCCCACCCACCACTGGCATGCAGCCTATGAGACTGAAAAAGGTTCCTCACCACTGCCAAGGCACCAACTGAAGGAGAAATATTTTGATTTGGAAATGGAAACAGTATGTATATAGCTGTCCGATACATGGAAAGTAGTCTGCTATTCTTCCTGAAGGAACTAGAGCAAGCATACCTTTCATTCCACAACTTATAAATGCTGTATTGGACTTTCTTTTACATATAGTATCTTTACCTGAATACCAGAAAGAACAAATCTGTCCTGCTAAAGAAAAATACAGAAAAAGAAAGGGTGGGAAAACCTTCCAATATGGAATAGTGCTCTTTGTTCAATAAAACATTAACATGAATCTACAGATAAAACACTTGCGTAGGCTCTTAATGATATATTCAATTATTAAGCAATTGGTTTTGAAATTCAAAATTAGCGTAGCGAAAAGCTGTTTCAGTGCAAGTAGAACAAAAAATGGAAATCCTGCCATATTATGAGCACTATGATTTCTCTGATGTATGTGTGTAAAATATATATAGCTGGATTCATTTTAAATAGCTGGGAGTAATGCTGGCACCCAAATAATAAAAAAATAGTGACAAACATGAGACATTTAAAAAATATTTTAATTAATTTTTCTGTCTCCACCAAAAGTAGACACCACAGAGCTTTTTCAAGTCCAAGAGTGTATTTTAAATATACATTATATACATACTTAAAGAATATTTAAGCTACAAATTTACAATCCTGCATTTTGAAAGGTTTATTCATGGAAAAGCAAAATAAATGCATTTCCATGGGCAGACACATATTTTCCAGACCAGAACTGTAGACGCTCTGTGATTGATTCTCAACTTTAAAACATCCTTCTGCTTAATAATGGCTCATCTTCACTGCAGTTTTCTATACATGAACTTTGTCCATACGTCTATAAATCCTCTGAAACATTTATAAACTAATTTCAGAGTACAACCTGCAGAGCAAAACCTATATGAAATAATTTTGCAATCTCTAGGCCTTTTAGTATTTTGCAAAACCCGCTATGTGCTCATTTAGCTTACAAGACATAGGCAAATGAACAGCTTGATGTGAATCTTAACAAAAATAGATTATCAAATATTGAAGCATGTAACCTAAGCATTCAAGTCAAATCAAAGCCTATTTATTTTTTAAATTTGCATTTAATATTCAGACAAGTTTACACAAATCTTTGATGTCTAGCTTGTACATATGCCAAGGCAGAGATACATCTCAGGCTTACGCAATTTCCTTCCCCTCTTGCCAGCACACGGGAAAATTTACTGGATTCTGGTTATATAAATGGCTACATAAGTAGGTCCTACTCAGTTCAGTATGAAAAAGGACAGAGATTCTTGTCTTCAGTCTCTGTCCCACATTAAAATGTTCTACACACAGCAGGAAAGAAAGCTCAGTAGTGTGCCCTGCTGTGTGTACAGCCTGAATGCTAAGAAAACTGTTTCCAAAAACAGTGAAAGAAAAGGAGCATGTACAAAGAAAATTCGCCAAGGAGAATGAATCTTTAAAAGAGCTAAAAATGTCATTTTATTTGCTTTTTGAAATCTTGGTACTATTTCAAGATACTATTATTTGTTGTTTTTTGGCCCGGTGGCTAAAAAAGTCTACATAACTATATTATTTTAAAAAGAAGGAACAGGAAGCACAGAAACACATTATTTGATGGTGAAATTGAAGTATGTCTATTGTACTAAATAGTTTAAAAAAATTAAGTTTAAAAGTCATCTAGCAATAGCATTAGAACTCTACTATCTATTTGCAAATGAAATCCTAAATGAAATCCTTAGAACTGGAGAAAACAACTTGAATAATACTGCATACCAGTTTTTGTAAGCTCACCTATGTTGTAGCAGGATATTCAAGTGAAATTCAGAATGACAAATAAAGTTATTCATATCAAATTAATCACCACTTTCACAACAAGTTCCCTAACCAGTTTCGTGCCTGAATGGCATATGAGAATTTGAGAAGTGTGTCCTAGCACAAAGGGAGTCCAGAATAAGAATGATTTCCATTGCAAAACAGTTTGGATATACAAGAATGACACTTAAAGGGAGCTGGAATTGTGCAAAATATTCTTCATCATCTAATCCACAGCTGTATTAAATTGGCATATATCACCATCTCTTTCCCCATCCTCTTAAGCAGAGGTGGGCACACTGGCAGGATCTTCTACGTTTTACTAGAACCCCAGGATAAACTAACCAGAAACAGGTGTAAAAGGGATAAAACAGTATTCTCAGCATTAAGGAACAAGGTGCCTCTAAGCTAAGGTTACCAGATTTTTTTCAATGAATCCGGGGACACTTTTCAACTTCAATAGGAATGATAGGATTTTGTCAGGGGACTGATTTGTAAATCCAGGGACTGTCCCCGGGAAACAGGGATGTTTGGTAACCTTACTCTAAGCAAAACTGAACTCAGAAAATTGTTTTCAATACAGTGGTATCTCTACTTACATGCACGTCTTGTTACGTATCCTTTGGAATACGCACGTGGAAAACTCGGAAGTATTTTTCCGGGTTTCGCCACACACACATGCGCAGAAGCGCTCTACCGTGCTGTGTGTATATGCAGAAACGCTCTATTGTGCCGCACGCATGCGCAGAGCAGGCACCTCCGGCTGCGGAAACCTTGGGATCCAACCAGAGCTCTGGAACAGATCCCAACCACAACCGGAGGTACCACTGTACTAGAAGTGAGTTCACAGTCCTGTCAAACATCACTCCACTCCTGGTGCCCTGCATCCTCCAAGTTTTCTTCATTCTAACAACCTCAATTAGGAGAGAAATAAAACTCCTGTTCCATGCACTAGCATACTAGACCAGGGTAGGCTATAAGGTGACCTCCAGATGTGTTGGACTACACTCACATTAGCCCCAATCAGCATTATCAATAGTCAGGGAGGTGCGAGTGGAGATCTGGAAGGTCCACATTGGGTACACCTGTGTTAAGTGGTGCAAGCAGAATGACATTCATTTGGACTCTTCCCCTCTCTTCCTCCTGCATGCCCCCTAAATACGAAGCATATTTGGGGACAGTGGGGGGCAAATTTGGAAGGAGAGGAAATAAAAAGTCCTGTTGTGCAAGCAAAGTCATTCTGCTCATGTATTTATTTAGTTGAAAACGACGCATATTTTGCCAATTAAAAGTATTACTGATTAAGGTTGCTTTTATCATTGAGAGACTTTCACACTTCTGAAGTTTTAAGAGAAGCTTCTGAAGTTTCCAAGCCCACAGCTCTGTACAACATGTACTTCCACACAGAGAGCTGTATCAGCTACAAATTAAGCAGGTGCCTAAATACAATACTAGTTTCACTAAGCCATCATCTAACATCTTCATTCAGTTTGCAAACAAGGAAGACGGTTCTCATTTTCATCTGAATTTTGGTGCAACCTTCAATTATTTAATGTGTGTTAGTATGCTATCAGTACTTGCGTAATATTGTTTTGTGTGTGTGTGTGTGTGTGTGTGTGTATGGAATTTCATAGATCATCCCTGCCAAAAGCGGTTTGAAATCACCATCAATCACCTGATCGGCAGTGACCTCAAATCCTGGTGAGATGTAGCTGGAACCCAAGCCATGCCTGCAAAGAAACATTTTGCTTTGAACTTCATTTTTACTTTCAGGCTGCAAAAGAAAATGAGCCACCTGTTGTCAGGAGCTAAGGGAGCCCATTGCTGTTCTTCACCCCGATTTAGCTCCTGGGTTGGTAGAGTATTTAAATTATGTTAGAAGCAATTTGAAATATTTTTTTAAAAAAACACCTTGCAATGCCTTCTATACATCCAAACGAACTTTATATTACGCTTCTCAAATGCCAGTTCCTTATGCCACAGGGCAAACTGTTTTTGAAACCACAAGAATTTTCAGCAAAGCAGTGATATAGCAAGACCTGCTTTTCAAAACAAAATGTCCCACTAAAGATGCTCAAAGTAGCTCTTTGAATCCTGGCCATAGATTTGTTTATTAGAGCTAAACATGGGAAACTTGGTAACAAAGTTTGTGTTGAAAAATTAAAATGATTTGAAAATTTGGCTAGTGCCCTTCGTTCATTATTAATACAAAAAGAAACTGCACACATTTTTACTGTTTTGTAAAAAACAAAAGCACAACATTTCATGGCTTTACTTAACATTCCATGCGTATTTCTGGTAAAGTAGTTTTGGCTGATATTCAAGCTCTCCAGTTATGAAAACACAATTCAGTATAGGAAAACACACAGATATTTCTTCTTTCATAGGAATGCATAATACTCACAAACATTCTTTCTTGGAAATGTAGATAAAAGGTTTATGACTAGTTTCTAAATGACAACATACTCAGCTTTCGTTTTAAAAAAATCAAACAAGAACAGATGTAATCTTATTAAAGCAAGTGCCTGTAAAAATTTAATCTATATAAATAATAATGTATAAATATAAATAATAATAATAATAAACGTATACTGCCACATGGCATTTTAAAAAGAATTAGGGTCACACGATCAAGCAATCTACAAAAGCAGTCTACAGATTAAAGTGATGGGAATGAGTGCTGAAGACCACTCCCTGCAAGGCCGTTTCCACCTGGCCTAGGGGCAGGGGCCAAGACTCAATCTGCCTGGAGGATGAGGACCATTTAGATCCCTTCAAATTTGGATTCAGGCCTCATCAAGGGACTGAAACTGCCTTGGTCGTGCTGGTTGATGATCTCCGACGGGCTAGGGACAAGGGTGAAAGCTGGGTCCTAGTTCTGCTGGATCTCTCAGTGGCCTTTGATACCACTGACCACAACATCCTTCTGGACCGGCTAGAAGGGCTAGGAGCTGGGGGCACTGTTATTCAGTGGTTTCACTCCTTTCTCCTGCGCCGTGTCCAGAAAGTGGTGTTGGGGGGATGAATGTTCAGACCCCTGGACTCTCAATTGTGGGGTGCCTCAGGGCTCTGTCATTTCCCCCAAGCTTTTTAACATCTGTATGAAGCCGCTGGGAGAGATCATCGGGGGTTTGGGCTGGGTGTTCATCAGTATGTGCATGATACACAGCTCTACCTCTCTTTCAAATCAGAAACAGTGTAGGCAGTGAAGGTCCTGTGTGAGTGTCTGGAGGCGGTTGGAGAATGGATGGTGGCTAACAGATTGAGGTTGAATCCTGACAAGACAGAAGTACTGTTTTGGAGGAACAGGGGGCAGGTGGGTGTAGAGGACTCCCTGGTCCTGAATGGGGTAACTGTGCCCCTGAAGGGCCAGGTCCGCAGCCTGGGAGTCATTTTGGACCCACAGCTGTACATGGAGGTGTAGATCAGTTCTGTGTCCAGGACAGCTGTCTACCAGCTCCATCTGGGACACAGGCTGAGACCCTACCTTCCCCCAGACTGTCTCGACAGAGTGGTGCATGCTCTAGTTATCTCCCGCTTGGACTACCGCAATGCGCTCTACATGGGGCTACCTTTGAAGGTGACTCGGAAACTGCAATTAATCCAGAATGCGGCAGCTAGACTGGTGACTGGGAGTGGACGCCAAGACCATATAACACTGGTCCTGAGAGATCTGCATTGGCTCCCAGTAAGTTTCCGGGCACAAATCAAAGTCTGGGTGCCGACCTTTAAAACCCTAAATGGCCTCGGTCCTGTATACCTAAAGGAGCATCTCCACCCCCATCGTTCAGCCCGGACCCTGAGGTCCAGCTCCGAGGGCCTTCTGGCGGTTCCCTCACTGAGAGAAGTGAGGTTACAAGGAACGAGGCAGAGGGACTTCTCGGTAGTGGCGCCCACCCTGTGGAACACCCTCCCATCAGATGCCAAGGAAATAATCAACTATTTGACTTTTAGAAGACATCTGAAGGCAACTCTGTATCCGGAAATTTTTAATGTTTAATGTTTTACAATTTCTTATGTGCTGCAAGCTGCCCAGAGTGGCTGGGGAAACCCAGCCGGATGGGCGGAGTATAAAACAACAACAACAACAACAACAACAACAACAACAACAACAGAGGCGGTGGGTTAACAGGAAAATAACTTAATTATTGAAGTTATTCAGATTTAGTTATAACAACATTTGGAGACCAGTGAGTTGTACCAACAGCTTCAATGAAAAGGAGAGGATAGGTTTGAAGCAGAAGTAAGCACATTGGCACTCTGGAAGACAGTTCCATGTATAAAACACAGCAAAAACGTCATCTGTGAAGAACTTTAGATGGCTTAGGGGAGCAATAGGTGGTCAAGATAAGGGCACAGATGGAGATGTATATGAAAACTAGAGAGATAAAGAAGGCAAGGCCTACATGGTTTTAAAAGCAAGGATAAGAAGCTTGAACAGGATTCAGGAATGGACAGGAAGTCAGTGTAAGGATTTAAGGAAGGGCATTACAAAGAGGTAGTGAATGATTCTGGCAGAGGTGAATGCTTTGTCAGCAAGTTGCTGGAAAAGCAGTAGACCCAGGTGAGAGAAGGGAAAACCAGAGGAGGATATTATGTAGTAATCAAGGAAAGATATGACCAGGGTGAGGCCCAGAGGGTTGTTGTTGCTTTTTGTTTGTTTGTTTTTGCTGAATCAAGCAGCAACAGCCATGTTTTTATAACGGGAAACACACCATAGTTTGACAATGGACTAGACGTGGGAAGCACAGGAAGCAGTTTCTGCTACATGCCTGCTCAATATTTCAATGGGTAAGTAAAATGAGCAAAGGAAATAAGTGCTTGGAAAATGACAACAAAGCAGAAATATGTCTAGGTGGAAATATTAGAGGCAGATGGAGATATGAAACTTGGGGAAGGGCGAGAGCTTGGGGGCAAAGTAGTAGAAGTGTCATCAGCGTGTAGGTGGTACAAAATCATGGGCTGTGGGCAGGCCACTCAGGCAGCGCATGCAGCAAGGGCAGCTCACACTTTTTAGCCAGAGGGATGCATTCAAAAACTCAGCCAACCTTCTAATGCTCATATGGACTCTTTCTCATAATTACACACAGGTGCACACATGCAACCCCCACTACAGTGATAGGTTGAGAAGAGATATTTCAATGTCTCCTCTCAGCCCTGTGCTACAACAGAGCAATTTCTTAACCGTTGCACTGGTCGGAGTGGAAAGGTTTGAACTTCTCATCTGAGATCTGTACTGTGATGGAGACTCAGATCGCAGACAAGAAACCATGACTGAACTTACTGGGTTGGCAGAACTCATCAAACTGCTTTATGGCCTGACCCAGTTTGTAGGCACACCACTCCTCATAAATGCAGAGGGAAGTGGAGAGGACCAAGAACACTTTCCTGAAGAACTCCAATGAAGCAAAAGGAAAGTAAGAGCTTCCCAGTAGGAAAACATTCAGAAGGTGCTCAGGCAGATCAAAAGAGGCCCAACTGGATCATGGAGATGTTGTAAAAAGACATGCAACAAAACAGAATTCCCTGTTTGCCAAGGATGGCAGGGTACTAGAATACTTCAGGACAACCCACTCTGAGCTTTCCGTTACTTGATATTAGCTACAGGTGAACTCTCCTTAATTTTTTCATTCCTGACATGCAGTGTGTTAGGAACTGGAATTGAAAAAGCAATGGCACTTGGGACCACTGCAGCAGCCCTTGCTATTACTTTTATTCAGTTCTGAAATGCAGCACTACTTTAGTCCTTATGTGCTACAGTGAGTATCAAGATGACAGAAAAAGCGGATGGGGGAACTTCCTTCTCTCTGCTCTTCACCAATTTTCCTGTTTAAGAATTGGGAAGGGAGGGGAGGGCTAGTGGAGGCTAGGAGTAAGGCAGCTAGAACACCTGCCCCCAATCCATGTGTGTTTGTGTCCTGGAATTTTGCCTGTCCATTGAGATGGCCTTTAAAAAATCCAGAAGTTAGTTTACAAAACCAGGCTGGAGCAAATTTTGACAGCACCCCTAATCAGTATGCATCTCAAAAGAAGGCAGGTGAATTGTCTCTGCAAGTATTTCTCAAATAGATCATAAAAAGCATATTATAGCTAGATTCCTTCTGAAACAAGTCTTTTCCTGACATTTTTTCCCTTCAAATATTTCTTTTCTTTGATCTATCTAGGCAAACATGGTTGTAATTAGTTTAGTAGGATCCATAAAAGCATATGATAAAATAGGAACTCTGCCTGCATATACCACAGGAATCATAGTCTTAGCCCTAGCCCACATGCCGTCATGGGAAATCCTGCTGACAGTTAAGGAGTTCTGCCAGAAGATATTGCTTGTTCTATTTTCCTTTTAGCACCAGCATACAATAGTCACAAACAGGAGCAAGATCTTTAAAACAAAATACCAAAAAAAAAAAAAGGCTTGACAGTACATTAATTCATAAATGTTTTGGCAGCATCTATGTGAGCTTCCAAACATGACTATGATTATTTTAATTTTGATTGTACTGTATTGTTTCTTTGATGTTTGCTGCCCTTGAAGTGTAATAAAACAAACAAATAAATATGAATGAAATTTTGAACATGTGTGCACAGGGATCAATGTCAAAAGCTATAAAAATAAACTTTGCATTCTTGGATCCACCACAGTATTCTAGTCATGATGTTTTCAAAGGCATAGTAAGTAACAACATGTTTTCTGTAGCACTTCCCATGTGTAAAGCAACTTAATGCAACATCATCTCAATCATGCAACTGTACAAAGTGTTACTATTTTCTAATTTGTAAACACAGGAAAATAAGTGATTACAATTCATCCCAAGTCTTCAGCTGAAATGCAGTTTGAGCTCCAGTCTTCTAGACTCAGTTTCAATGTTTTATCCATTCAACCATGCTGGCTCTAGACAAAAAAAAGACCTGCAGCTTTTTGACAAGTAAACTCACTACATGAAATCACTGACAACTGTTAAGAGGGTGTGTTTAGCTTCTTTTGTCACTGGTACCAATAGTGCCTAAGTTTAAATACTATTATCAGTTCAATTTCATGCATATTTTATCAGAAGTTAGGTCTACTAATTTCTACAGAATAAACTTTCAAGTTACAATGCATAGGATTTCAGGCTTAGAAATAACATTTTTAAAACTTGTTCAAAGTTTCCTAAAAGTAACATGTTTGTGACCTTTTTGGTTGTTCTTATTAAAGGTACTATGCAACTGTAGACGCTGGAGTTTTTTCTTATGCACCAACACAACCTTTGCTTTTAGTGTTAGATGTTTGGAAAGGTGCTTTTTTTTTCAGCAAAAGAAGCTGACAGCTTTCTATTATGGAGAGGGAGCCAAAGAACCCTTCTGCTTTTTGATGATTAAAGCTTCATTCAAGAAATATACAAAGACACATCAGGATACTGATTGGTCCCAAAGCAATTTTAGTAACAATACTTATTAATGTCAGAATACAAGATGGTATGCCTTAAAAATGCTGCATTTGCCATAACCTCTAAAAGAAACAAAATGTCAAAGAACAGAGCCAGAATGAACTGTTGCAATACCGTTGTTTTAGATTTTAGCTCCAGGACACAACACCTAAGCATTATTGGGGGCAGGGGGGCTTTTCTACTCTTATTAAGTAAAACAACCTAATAACACGTTACCCATGCAAAGCTGAGATATTGCTGAGTCCTGCCTGTTTACTAATTTACTGTTCAGAACAGAGGCAATCCTTCCCACGCAGGAAAAAAAAAGATTTACAGGGGCACCTAGGTCAGAATCCGTTGCTGTTATCAGACAGAGGTATAGGAATTCAAACCACAATCTGCTAAAACAAGATACTGAAGGAGAAGGAAAGAAAACAGTCCTGGCTTCACGGCACTGAGAAGGAGAAAATGCCCCCCGCCCTGCCCCGTCTCCTGCGAGTGAGAACAATGAGGCGCGCTCAGCACTATTCTCGCCAGCCTCCCCTCCCCAAAAAATGACACGGGACAAAATGGAGTTGCGGCGTTATCCCCGGAACCGGGAACGACCATCCCTAAACTTGCAAGGAAGGAAGGAGGGCGACTCGGGGAAAGAGCGTGAAAGGGGGGTGGCCCTTGCTCCGAATTAAAATCGCAGGCCCCTCCAGATGCTCTTTCCCAGAGCCTAGACCTTCCCTTCCGACGACCATTTCTGCAGGCCCCGCCGCCTTCAAGCAAGCGCCGTCCCAGGACACGGCGGGGATGTTGCTAAAGGGAGCCTCGTTTCGGAGGGAGGAAAAGGGGCCTCCTCGCCCTTCCTGACCTGTCCCGGGGGTCGATCCACGACGTCTGCCGGGTGTTGTGGTCGATATAGAAGACTCGCCCGTCGTAGTCCCTCGCTTCCTCCCAGCCGGCGGGTAAAGGCAGCTCCGAGTTCTCCCGGCCACGCGGCGCTGCCGGCTGCCCCATGGGCGCCTGCCCCATCCCTTGCCCCATAGCGGCCGGAGCCTGTTGCTGCGGCGGCGGCGGCGGCTGCTGCGGTGGCTGTTGTTGCTGGCGCCGCCGCCGCCCTCCGCTCAGCCACGGCATGGCCCCGCCGGGCCGGAGCCTGGGCGGTAAGCGCTCCCCTTCCAGCAGCTGCTCTGCGGCCGCGGCGCCCGGGCTGCCCTGCGCCGCCTCCAGCACGGACTAGCGAGCGGCCCGGCCTGGTGGGACACAACTGGGGCGGCTCCCCGGGTTGCAGCAGCAACGCCGCCGCGCCGGGCTCTTCATCCTCTCGCTTTCCCGCCTCCACACCCCTGGTCGGGCCCCGGGACGAGCCCTGCCGCCGCCGCCACCGCCGGCTCCTCTGGTCCGAGGAAGAGCGAGAGCGCCGCCACCGCGAAATTCCCGCCCTTCCTTCCTCCCTCTCGGCCTCCCAGCAGCCCCCGAGAGCGGCCTCCTCCCGCAGCTCAGCCTCGCAGCCCCGTCGGCTCCCTGAGCTCCATCCCGCCGGCGCCTGCCCCCGCCATCTTTCTCCGCTCGGGCAGGGAAAAAAAGGAAACCCAGCAAGCTCCCTCCGCCTCCCGCTCCGCCCCGTCGTCTCTTCTCCGGCGCGGCGGCAGCAGCAGCAGCAGCAGAGCTGCTCCCTCGTGAGGGAGAAAGAGGGGGAACTGGCCTGAGAGGAATGAAAGGACTCCGCTCTGAAATGGGGTCTGAAAGGACGTGAGGAATGAATACAGCTGAAAGAGCTGTGTGGGGTTTGTTTTTAAAAGTTAAAACAAAAAATACGCTTCAGGCAAAGTTGGGCATGTTCCCCCCCCGACGTTTGGGCTCAAGGGCACATTGCTTGAAATCATGTTGCCAGGGAAGCTGGTCGGATATTAGAACGAGATGCAGGTAGCCTTGCAAACGAGGGGTGCTGGTATCCTTGCAAACATGTAAAGAGGCCCATTGATGCCAGGGATGCCAACTTGAATAAAATGTTGAGGTTGACGCAATCACATCATTTGAATGAAATAAAAAAAATTCCTTCCAGTAGCACCTTAGAGACCAACTAAGTTTGTTATTGGCATGAGCTTTCATGTTCATGCACACTTCTTCAGATACGAATCTGGAAGGAATTTTAAAATTTTGTTTCGACTATGGCAGACCAACACGGCTACCTACCTGTAACTAGAACCATTTGAATGGCAATGACCATTAACTTAGGGGGGCTCAAATCTTTTATTGGGGAGGACCTCAGCCGCTAGGACAGGTCAGCAACCTAAGGCCCATAGGTCACAAGCGGCCCATGGGGGTCGTTTAACTGGCCCATGGACCCTCGCTGCCCGCTCGGGGACCCCCACCGCCTGCTTGGTCGGCTCCCATGCACCACGCTAAACCACTGTGGAGCAGAGCGGGAACCGCCTTCCGCGATGCTGGCTGGTTTCCCATTGGCTCCTCTGTGCCGAAAGGAGCGCCAGAAATAGCGTTTGCGCATGCATGCATACGCGCACTGCGGTGTCTGTGGAACTGTGAACCGGCCCAAGCCACAAAAACGTTGCTGATCCCTGCTCTAGGAGTTGGCTCCTACGACTGGCGCTGAGGCTCAAGGCACGCTTTATGCATAGCCCTGTACACATCTAGTTGGAAACGAGTGCTCTTCCTGTGGACTCGTTCCCTTTTAACAACACAGCGTGGGATTGCAGCCCAACATGCACAAGCAGGGAGGCAGAACCTGACACCCTCCAGGAGACTCCCAACACCCACCAGCACCTTCCCAACATGATTCGTGGTGGGGGTGGGGTCTGTGGCCTAACAACATCTGGAGAAGAAACACAAGCTCCCCATTGCTCAGCCAAAATGAAGGACAAGAAGAAATGAAGAGCCAAGCTGAGTCTGGCTGAAGGACCAGTCTCTTCCAGCATCCTGTTCTCATAGTGGTTGACCACATGCCAATGGGAAGCCTGCAATAGTACTCCATGGGCGTAGCTGGGGGAGGGGCAGCTGCCCCCCTAAGTCAATCAAAATCAATACAAATCTGAGGTTCTGTCCCTCCTAACAAAAGCCTACCCCCTCATAACAATTCTGGCCAAGTCCATATAGTACTCTGTCCACTTGCAGTTCGCAGAAACTGGTATTCAGGACCCTATTCCCAACGTTAAGAATGGAAAGCGTAATGCCGGTGGCAGTGGCGTAGCGTGGGGGGGTGCAGGGGGGGCCGGCCGCACCGGGCGCAACATCTGGGGGATAGGGTTAGGGGGCGCAAATCCACGGGTTAGGGGGCGCAAATTACTTGCCTTGCCCCGGGTGCTGACAACCCACGCTACGCCACTGGCCGGTGGACAACAAAAGAGATTTAAAGATGCTTTCAAGGCAAATCTTTTAAAAATGCAGTATAAGCACAGATAACTGGGAAACCTTGGCCTGCGAGCGCTCCAATTAGAGAATAGCCTCTAGCAAACGTGTCATGGACTTTGAAGAAGCCCAAACTCAGGGCGAAAGGGGAAAACGAGCTAAGAGGAAGGCACATTTGGCAAACGCTCACCGTGATCGGCTCCCACCTGAAAAACTATGTCCCTACTGTGGAAGGCCGTGTGGATCCAGTCACTTTTGGACCATATTCATGAGAGACAATCTTACTTGGCAATGAGTGATCACCAAAGAAGCAGAGGCGTAGCAGGGTCAAGTGGTACCCAGTGAAGGAAAGCTTCCTCAGAAATGCTGAGCTTTTTTAAGGAACGGTCCCCCAAAGTTGTGGCTTGCGGCGTGGGATCTACGGGGGTACGAGCGTCGAGGATGCGGGTCCAAGAACCACCACAGGGGTGCAAGCACCGCTGATGAGGGTGAGGGAGCCGCCATGAGGATGCAAGTCCCACCGACGGGTGAGAGAGCCGGTGCGGGGATGCGAGAGCTGCCATGGGGGTGTGAGCACCGCTGATGGGTGTGAGCGCCGCCGCGGGATGCGAGCACTGCCAATGAGGGTGCAAGTGCCACCCTGCTGATACAAATGGTGGGGATTTTATCACACACACCCTTAGGGATGACGCCTGGGGTGGCCCACCCACCCCATCCCCCTTGCGACACCCCTGCAGAGAAGAAAGAAGATTCAGAGGGATACTGCTTCCAATGGTGGAGGTGGAATGCAGCCATCATGACTAGTAGCCACTGACCACCATGGGGGGGGGGGTTAAAAGGTTTTGTTACTATGTTGCGTATTTTTATGTTTTTATATTGTAAACCTCCCTGTGATCCTCAGATGAAGGGCATTATAGACATTTAATAAACAATCATTATCCTCCATTAACTTATTCTACACACACACACACACACACACACACACACGTACAATTGATATAAGCTTTTTCACAACGGTCTATATCGCAGTTATCTCTGACTTTGCAAACTTGCATGCCGATACTAACTATATTTACTCAGAAGTGAGTTCAGTGCAATTTACTCCCAAGTAAGTATACACAGCATTGTAGCCTTGGAAATGGCAAAGAAGCCAGCACCCTTAGTAATTATATTAAGAAGACAGAGGGAGGCTGATTTCATCCAAAGTAGGGTTTGAGGTGGACCTTGTGGGTTTCATTTAAAACAAAAAAACAAAAAACCCTCTACCTTTTCTCTCATAATTAGAGCATTGGTTTCCAGGTTCTTTACCCTGGTCTTTAACCACAGTGTTGTCTGTGAAAAAAAGTATGGCTGAGTCATAGCAGATCTGAGGTTGCAGAAACCACAAAATAGAACCACTCTGTGAAGAGTATTTGTCAGTGAGAAAAAACAGTCACGCTGTTCATCCCCTGCATATCTCATGTAGATTTTCTCCGCCTGCACAAAACATGCAAATCATATTTGATTACTGAAATGTCTAGTCTGCCCCAACTTGAAGATGAGAGCAACAATAAATACATACATATACAGTAGTACCTCCGGTTGTGAACGGGATCTGTTCCGGAGCTCTGGTCGGACCCCGAGGTTTCTGCAACCGGAGGGACCACTTCTGCGCATGCGGCAAAAACCCATAAATATACTTCCGGGTTTGCTGCTTACGTATCCCAAAGTTTACGTAACTGGAGGGATACGTAAGTGGAGATATGACTGTATATGTATGTGTGTGTGTGTGTACACACACACACACACACACACACACACTGGAGAGCTGGTGTGTTGTGGTTAGAGTGTCCGACCAGGATGTGGGAGACCATGGTTCAAACCCCCAGTCAGTCGTAAAGACTACTGGGTGACCTAACCTACCTCAGAGGGTTGTTGTTGGAATAAAATGGAGAAAGGGAGAGCCTTGGTGGAAAGGTGTGGTTAAACACTATAGAAATAAATAAGCCATTTGTACGTATGTACGGCAGGGGATAAGCAACATTTTTATCCTTGGGGCCACATGTGGTGGTGGGTGGTGACTTGGGGGTAGCATAGTCATGTGCACATGCACACACATATGCAAACACACAACCATCCCCATCCACACATTCACAGACACTGACTAGGGAATCATGGAATAATTTTGTTGGCATCCATCTGTTTCAAGAGACAAGGGAAGAGTGCACCTTCGGGCATGAAGTCAAACCATTGGAGAGTTACAGCACTTGCTGTGGCTGTAGGGACTGATGAGAGAGAAGAAGAAGAAGAAGAAGAAGAAGAAGAAGAAGAAGAAGAAGAGGAGGAGTAGTTTGGATTTGGTATCCCGTTTTATCACTACGCAAAGGAGTCTCAAAGCGGCTAACATTCTCCTTTCCCTTCCTCCCCCACAACGAACACTCTGTGAGGTGAGTGGGGCTGAGAGACTTCAAAGAAGTGTGACTAGCCCAAGGTCACCCAGCAGCTGCATGTGGAGGAGCGGGGAAGCGAACCCGGTTCCCCAGATTACGAATCTACCGCTCTTAACCACTACACCACACTGGAGGCATCTGGTTGTCCCCTTCTGATCATTGCTATGGATAAATGGTCTGACAGTCTGTCTCCAGGCGCTGCAATCGTCTGCAAGGGATTCCCACACAGCAGGGTTCATGCTGCCAGTCTTCATGTCATATTTGCAGGATGGAAGGATGTGCAGATTGGAAATTCCCTCCAGCCCTGTAGCACAATAGCATCAGACTGCTGAAGTGGGGCCTGGGTGAGCAAGAAGCTACCAAACTTGAATAGTACCCTGCAGAGAAGGGAAGGGGGTTAACCATCCCTCAGAATGTGCAGCCCTGGTCCTATTTTCACTCCTTCTTCCAATATACTTTTAAGGGCCAAGGCAGACGGGACATTAATTGCATAAATACAGTTAAGGTGCACATTTTTGGGTTGTATACATAGCAGCTTGGGATGGGTTAGACAGTAGAAGGAAAAGTTAATTCTTTCTGTCCTTGCCATGGCCTTCACAAAAATTGCCTCTCTGAGGCGGCTATGCTATATGAGCTTCCAATGAGAACTTCCCTTGAAATGCAAATAAATTTGGAGAGCATAATTTTGCTGGATTCCTCCTAGTTGTTGGGTCTCATCTCTGGAGCCCTAAGGGTATAGAGGATCTGCCTCTCTGCAAGTGGAAAGGAAGATCTGCCCTCAGATGCCTCTCTGTAGCAG